TTATATATAAAATATAGAATTCATTTAGATGGAATAAGATTCAAATAAGATCATTAATATTTCAGAACTTATGAATAATTGCACAAATTTTTTTTTTTTACATCTTTGACCAAATACGAAAATCATTATATATAATATTGTAAAGAAATTTAGCTAATTTTACTTAATAAAATGAGGGATAACTTTTAAAACTAATTTTAGATAGTGAGCATACAAAATCACCTTAATTTGAAACTACACCGAATTAAATTAAAATTAAAGTGAATTTTCAAAATAAAAACATCTCCAAATTAAATATAGTTCCAAATCTAATTAGTCTAATCGATTTTATATACACTTTTACATTTATCAATTTAAATCTTTCTAAAAACAAAAATCGAATAAAAAAAATTCAGTTTATCCATGCAAACTAAAAACCAACTTAAAATCAGTTTCACTCAATGTTTCAATATCCTTAAAATTAGAAAACATCCCTAAAATTGCAAAGGGATATAAGTTCTCTTTTTTTAGAGAAATCTTAGACCATTAATTAATAAAATATTTAATTAATTAATCTAATAATATTTTTGAACATATTGAATAACTCCAACTAGGTGAAAAATTGACAAAGTATATTGTACAATTTGTTTCTACTTACTATTTATCATTCTTTTTCTCTCTCTATTCATAGGTATCCGAAATGAGATAAATGGTTTAAATGTGTGTATATATATTTCACATAAATATATTCAAGAGAAGATTAAAAGAAATATAAAATTTCACATAAACTATTAGATTAATTAACACATAAACTATTAGATTAATTAAAATATTTACTTAATTCCTATTATTTGTATAAGATTTTTTTATTGGCAATAGAATCCGGAATTTATTACTTAAGGTATTATAAAAGAAAAATATCACATTTCTTTTTTAAATAAAAAAATTTAGGTACTGTTTTATTTAGATAAAAAAAAAAAAAAAAGTGAAGGAAAAAATTAATTAAAAACTATCATATACACCACTTTATCATGAAATTATATTATTTTTTCCATAGAAAAAACTAAAAAAATATATATCAGAATATTTATATGTAAATATAATTTCAAAATTTTATATTTCAAAATTTATTCTATTTGAAAATTTATTTTTAAAAAATATATTCAATCAAATCATACCAACATTAAAAAAGAATATTCATAAAAATATTTTTTTTTTCTATTTTTATCTCCCTTCTAAATAAAATACTTTAAATTATAATCAAAAATAAAATTAAATAAATACTGAAATTACAAAATAAAATATAAAAATTTTCAAATGTCTTATCAACATATATATTTATTAAAAAATAAATTAAAAAAAAACAAAACTAAAAATTTTGAATGCTTAATTATCTATATGTTTAATTATCTATATGTATTTATTTAAAAAAAATAATTTTTAATAAATTATATCCAATCAAACTTAATAAACTTATATTATAATATATATATATATATATATATATATTATATATATCATAATATTATATATATTTCACCATTAAATATATTCAAGAGAAGATTAAAAGAAATTTCAAAAATTTCACAATAAACTATTAGAAAATATATTCAAGAGAAGATTAAAAGAAATTTCAAATTTCACATAAACTATTAGATTAATTAAATATTTATTAATCTTATTATTGTATAAGATTTTCGCCTTTATTGCCATAATCTATAAAATAAAAATATCACATATTATTTTCTATAATAAGAAAAAAAGAAAACTATTGGGAGCTAGACTATCTTTATTTTAGATAATCGTTTATAAGAAAAAAAGTGAAGAAAAATTAATTAAATATTTTCATGTACACTACTTCATCATGAAATTATATTTTATTTTTCATAGAAAAAACTAAAAAATTAAATTTCAGAATATTTATATGCAATATAATTTCGAAAATATACAACTTTCAAAATAAAATCAAATAAATAATAATTTCAAAAAATAAAATATACAAATTTCATATGTCTTATTTATCGTATATATTTATTAAAAAATAAATTTAAAATATATTATATCTAATCAACTAATAAATTATAATTTTTTAGTTGACCATCATTAATGGTATTTTATAGTACTAGCATTTTATATATCGTGCGTTGCACGTTGACTATGCTCGTTATACACTCATTTTTTTATCTATATAATATTAAAGTATAAGTTTTGTTTAGAATAAAATAAATACAAGTGGTTAATTTATATTGCACTTTGAGGTATAAAATACTTGCAATGCTACATTTTATGTCGTTAATTCTATTTTTATGCAATAAAGTGGTCTCATAATAAAGTTTAACATAATCCTTTCGTCCATAATTTATGGATGCAAATTTTTAAAATCCTAATAGGTGCCCAAAAAGAAAATCAAGTTATTACTCAATTTTCAACTCATGACTCAATCCCAAATCAATATCTATATTTAACTATAATGAAAAATGATATTCCCTCCATTTTATTTATTTGAACAAAAGTTGATTTGCACATGAATTAAGAAAAGAAAAATTTTTTCCAAATTTACCTTCAACATTGCATTGATTATACCGTTCTTTACTTAAAGACATTTATGTCAGGCTCTCTTCTCCCAATAAAATCAACTAATGACAAAAACTCAAAAGTAACGATTTAAGATTAAAAAATTTGAATAATTGAAGCAAATCTTACAGAAAACATTTTATATGTATTTGTTTCAATCATTTTCATTGCATACGTGCACTTTCTGTTAAGTTGCACGCATTTTTTGTATTTTCGGGATTTACATATGAGTAAAAGGTGTGCACCAACTTTTTGAACTACTGATACATGTTTGCAAAATAACGGACAAACATTGTCATTATAAATGATAAACAGAAAATAAACACAACATTGTCCGTAGGAAGCGGTGGATTTTGGGAAGATATGAGTTTAGTAATGTATGATTTTCAATTTCTAAATACGAGTTAAAATTGAAAATCGTTGATTTAGGGTTTAGGATGGATACAGTCTTCTAATTTGTGCATTATCGTTTGAAGAGAATTATAAGAATGACGTAGAGAACTAAAATTGTGCTCATAAATTCATTTTTCGTACATATTTAATTAAAGTGGAGAGAGAATGAAACAAAACAATTACCTTGTAAACATAACCTCATTAAATGCATTTTCTGTACTTTGTCTGCCACTATTTTAATATTTTCAAATATTGAAAGCTATGTAAAGGGCGATATAGACTCTGTATCTTCATTTTTTACTGAAAATAGCAAGTTTATCTAAATAAATGGAACACCCTAAATGGAAAATTTGTCCAAATAAATGAAACGGAGGGAGTAATAAATTATTTTTTACCGCCGGATAACAGAAAAGAAATAAAAAGATGATCTAAATTAATAATGTAAATCATTTTGGCAATAATAATGGTATTACTTACCCAGTATATCAAAGAAAGAAATATATATACAAACACACAAATTCTTAAAACCTAACCCATATAGTTCTAATTCTTTTCCAGTTTTCTAAATCTTATTTTCTTTTAAGTTAAACAAATTTAGGATATTAAAGAAAAAATATCAAGAAAATTAAAAATGCTTAATCATCAATAGGTCACCTATTTATTGTAAGGGAGGTATAAATCTCTTACTAAATTAAAATGATAGTAGTTTCAAATTATTTAGTAACAAAAAAAGAAAATAAAAAATTATTATTAAGAATAAAATTCTTTTAAAACTCACTTAACATAAAAAATGTTTCAATGTATATCGATATATAAATATATCAATAAAATATTATATATATTTTTTAAATTAAAAATTTCAACTATTTACCATCTAGGTTTAATTATATAAATTCTGTTTGAAAATTTACTTTTTTAAAAATATATCTAATCAAACCTTACAAATATAAAGAAAAAAATATTAATAAAAATAATATATTTTTTTCCTTTTTTTTATCTACTTTCTAAATAAAATATTATATATATATACACTTAACTTATTCTTTAAAAAATATATATCTAATCGAACCATACAAATCAAAGAAAAAAGAATATTAATAAAAAAATATATTTTTTAAATAAAATATATATCTAATCGAACCATACAAATCAAAGAAAAAAGAATATTAATAAAAAAAATATAATTTCTTTCTTTTTTTATAATATATCATAAAAAATAATTAAATATTTTAATAAATAAAATATATATTTTTTTAAATGTGGTCATTATAATAATTAAATATTTAATAAATAAAATATATATTTTTTAAATGTGTCATTATCATATATATTTATTAAAAAATAAATTTAGTAAATATAAAACTTTCGCTTTGTCAAAACTGGTACAGAAATGGTTGCTCTTATATAGGGAATTTACCTTTTTTTTTCACTATTTTGAAATGCTTAATTATATATATGTATTTATTTAAAAAATAAATTTTTTATTAATTAAGAGGTCTGATGGACCGAAATAATACTGTGGGCTACACAATAAGAAATAACCTCTACTCACCAAATTGGTGAAAACATCTCACTCTTCGTATAAGTGAAAAGATAATCGGGTTGCACATGATTGACTGAAAAAATAATTTTTATAAATTATATCTAATCAACTAATAAATTGTAATTTTTTAACTAACTGTCATTAAGGGTACTTTAGAACATTTTAATTTCATCAAGTGTAATATAGAAAATCTCATTATTCTTCAATATTTCCTTTATATAGTATAGATAAATAGATAGATAAACAATATAAAATTGAATTTCTTCTAAAAAAATACTATTGAATTGAATTGAATTCTACATTTATCATGTTGATTTCATATTTTAAATTTAAATAGAATTTATTTGACATGATATTAATACTCTAAAAGGATATCATGTTGTTGTGTTTTTTCTTTATTGTTATCATAACATAAAAAAGCTACTAATTATTAATAATAAGAAAAAACTCTGCCATTCATTTTATTTTATCAATTTAAAAATAAATAAAAGGAAGGAAAAGAAAGAATCCAATCTACCTTCTCTTCTCAACTTATTAGCTAATTATCTCACTCGCTCCCTCACTCACGCAGTCACGCGCTCTCTCATTTCATCTTCGTTCACTGCGCAAAGCCAACTGCGAGAGAAACTGAAAAAGAAGACACAAAGAACCATATCAGTTCAATCTTTAGGGTTAGGGCTATCCCTAATCCGCGAAGCAGAACAGAACAATCAAGATGGGCGCCAATTCGATTTCTTCAGATTCAGTCACCGATCTCGATGAGCAGATCTCGCAGCTCATGCAGTGCAAGCCACTCTCCGAGACCCAGGTTCATCTGCAATTTTTGTTTGGTTGCCAAGAACGTATTAAATTTTTGAAAATTGATCTGAATTGCTTAATTTAATGACGATTTGTGTTTGTTTCTTTGCTTGGGAAATGAATTCTGTGGTATTTACATGATATTGTTGAGTTGATCTATGCCCATTTGTTTTATTTGGTTCTAAAATAAGAGCCCTAATAGGAAAATGATTCGCAAAATATTCAAATTTTGCAGAGGATGTGTGGTGATTAAATTCCCATTTTATCCTATGAGAAATAACACATTTTACAAATGCATATGTGCTTTTGCTATTAGTGAAGCATTTAGCTTTTAATTCCATTTTCAGTTTACTTGCTTTTGCTATTAACAACGTTTTCATTTTGGGTTGTGCGAGAATTGTATAGTTTGTTCATTTTGATTTTCTTTTGCTCTGCAGGTTAGAGCATTATGTGACAAGGCTAAGGAGATACTAATGCAAGAAAGCAATGTTCAGGTACAGCTCGTTATCCTTCTTGGTTTAAACATGGAACCCAGTTGTGGTGCTGTAGGAACCTGCCTGCGTCATTATTAATTTTAAATTTCGAAAATGAAAATATACTTTTAGTAGTTAGCAGGTGCTTGTGAAATTTGGCAGTCTTTCTAGAATTTCAGCTTTATTTCTAATTTTATTTGGCTGCCTGTTAAGTGTACTCAATCTTTCCTGTACTTCAAAGCATTATATTACTCGGGTAGTAATTCTTTAAAAGAAATTTTAATATTCCTTTTTTTTTTTTTTTTTTTTTCTTAATATTCCTTTTTATTTTTTTTTTTTTTTTGAATTTACCACAGCCTGTTGAAAAGGCCCTGTTGACAATCTTGTGGCGATATTCATGGGCAGGTTTCATGATCTTGCAGAACTTTTTCCCGTATTGGAGGGGGAAGGTTCATTCAGTTTCTGAAACTATCACCCTTTGTATTTTTAAAACTCTTCTGCTTTCAGCTGAGGGATTGTCTAAATTTTTTTTTTTTTTTTTTTTTTGAATTTACCACAGCCTGTGAAAAGCCCTGTGACAATCTGTGGCGATATTCATGGGCAGTTTCATGATCTTGCAGAACTTTTTCGTATTGGAGGGAAGGTATCAGTTCTGACTATCACCACTTTGTATTTTAACTCTTCTGTTTCAGCTGAGGGATTGTCTAAAATAATTTATTGAGACCTGCCAATGCTTTTGAAGGTTGAAGTACTCTTGAGGTATAGTCAAGTAAATTGCCACTGGTTAGGAAACTACTTGTTTTTGTTCATTTTATCTTGGATATTTAGTGCGTCTCATTTGGAGAAGTACAAACAGTCATTTCCCATATCAAAGATTATGTCAATAGAACAGTTCCAATTCATGGTTTCAGCAGAGTTCATTTCATATTATTCATTTTGGTTCATGCTATCTTGGCATCTTGCACACCTTGAATCCTCATTAAAAAATTGTTTTCACTCATCTAGGTTTTAAATTATTTGTTTATGTGTTTACCTTTCGTTATCATTTTATCTTATGAAAAAATGGCCTATGCAAATTTCAAATTTAATTCTTTTTGGTATTTTCTTTCCTCTCTTCCTCATTGGATATTTTGGTAAGGCATTTGTTGGATTCATTCTATCACTTTCAGATTCAAGACCTGTAACCATATCTTAAAATTTTATTGACAGTGTCCCGATACCAATTACTTGTTTATGGGAGATTATGTGGACCGTGGTTATTATTCTGTTGAAACTGTGACGGTATGTATATCTTCATTTATGTCATTTGCAATTATTCATTGGATGCTAATTAACACTTCTGCACATGCCAGTAGAAAGAAGCACAAATTAGCAACAATGCACGAGGTGCTTTGTTTATATTTTGATCTGCTGTTATTGATGTTATTTATTTATTTATTTTAATTCTTCACCATAATATGAAGTACGTAGGGGTGGCAATATTATACATGACCTGCAAACTGGCTGTACCTAATATTAATCACAGTTTGGTGTTTGCTTTATTGGCAGCTTTTACACAATTTTGGAATCAGATGGCTGTGCTGTCTAGTAGTTTGACCTATAATATTCTATTGATGCAGTTTTGTGCATCGGCTAATATGGTTATGAGCTGATGTCCACATGGTTTAATGCCACCTCTTTAGAAAATACTAGAGTTGCAAAATCCCTTTTTCAGTAGTTGTTCTCATGTCATCTAAGGTGTATGCCTTGCTTTCTTTTCTTTTGCAACTTCAATAAGCTCAGCTTTCTGTACAACACACTCATTTTCTATAATGAACATGTGCAGACTATATCAATCTCTCTTCTCTTAACTTTCCCCTAGTGGGTTCCGTTTTGACCTTTATACAGGTGCAAAATAGGTGCACTGTTATCTTGTTTAATAGATTGGTCATATTTGTGATTAAGTTTGTGGCCCAAATAATTAATCACACTGTATTCATGTTGCCTCAATTGCTTTCATGTCTAGCTTTTGATGTAAGATGAATGTGACACATTAATCTGGATTTTGACCCTGTAGTAGTAGATGAAGCATGTGGATTAAAATTTGCAATTTTTGTTGGTGGTACGAATATATTGCCATTGTTGAAACATTTGAAATCTGGTACAAAGGACGATCTCATATGATGGCTTGGCATCTCTTTTAGTAGCAATCTTTGAAATTCAACCAGCCTTAGATATTTAGTATAGTTATTATAGATGTTGAAATGCACATGCTCAGACATTGATCCTCATTTTTGACTTGCTGCTTATTGTGCTAGCTAATTATGGATTTTTGATTTTGGATTTTGGCTTTTGGCTTTTTCAAAGCTCAGCAAATGTCTGAAGCATTTTCTTTTCACACTATAATACTGATTTATTTCCTTAGTCCAGCTCTTAGTGGCTCTGAAAGTGTGTTATCCACAGCGAATAACCATTCTTAGAGGAAATCATGAAAGTCGCCAGGTATTTCATTCATATTCTCTGTTATTGAGTTCCCATATTTTAATTGAATGGGTGCAGTAATGCTTGCAAAATGAAGAGCATAACTCAACCTGTGATTGACTGTTTAGCTGTTTTAATTTCTTCAGTATGGATCCTTTATAATTTGACACCATATTTATTTTGGATAGTTGAATTTATCAAATCTACTTATTGCTTCATTTTTGTTTTTCCTTCTGGCAGATTACTCAGGTTTATGGGTTTTATGATGAATGTCTACGAAAGTGAGTATAGTGTACACAGCTTTTATTCGTTGTTATTACCATGTTCTAGTAGTGATAATGTACTGGAATGATAAGAGTGCATGCACACATACGCATGTTATATGTATTCATGTTCCCTTGTTTCTGTTCTATTTATATTACTTTGTCTGCCTTTTCAGTTTATTAGCAAGCATAAAAGTTTTTAGGGTTGAGTTGCAGACTCTTTTCTCTCTCATATGAACTTTCTAATATCTGTTTGAATGTAAGTGTTTCTTGCATGTGTTTATCTTCCTCCCCCACCCCCCAACCCCCACCCCCCCTCTCTTTCTCCCTTTTATATGTTTACCTTATTGTGAGGAAGACTTTCTAATAGGTAATCTTAACTGTGGAACTTATTGGTTTCAAGTTGGTCATCCTAACTGGACTTTGTCATTGATCCAGATTGTAGAAATCAGCAGTGACTTAAAAAGAGAAAAAGGACTTCTCATTAAAAATAATTAGTATTTATATTTCAAATGTCGAAATTAATTGACATATTCTATTGATTTTGGAAAGACTAAGTTTCTGTGACACTGAAAGAATTCACAGAACTGTGAATTCTTTTATTGGAATGAGGAAATGCAATGAGATGCATGATTCATTTGTAAACTCTTTTCTGGAGCTAGGTCCTAGCTAGTTTTAATGTTTAAGTCCTCATATCTTGATTATGTGGTAAAAATATGCAAAAATGAATGACCATGTGCACTGCATTTTAGAGTTTCTTTTAGATTATGGAGGATGCCCCTTCTGCATACTTTTGCATGTGATGTGCTGTTATTTTTTATGTGTTACTACGTATTTTCTAGGATGGAACATAATTGACCAAACCTTTTGGTGGACTTCAAATTGTATTAACACTAATGGAGGCCAAGTGTGTTGGCAGTTGGAAGTGGAATTTGTTCATATGGCCTCAATGACAAGAAGCATGCCCTTGTGGAGGAGTTGGATGATTTGATATGCTTGCTTGGAGTTGTAAAACATTCTTGCCTTCTCTTGCAAACGTTTGATGCTATTTTTTTTTATATGATTCTATTACAGGTATGGCAATGCTAATGTTTGGAAGACCTTCACAGACCTTTTTGACTATTTTCCATTGACTGCATTGGTTAGTAAGACTCATTATAGCTGTGCTGTTTGTTAATGATTACAAATTTGCAAATAACAGAAATTTGGATGTGGAGAAAACTATAGAATGATTTACCTGCTTATTTTATTTCTAAGATACAAGATTAAAGAGATTGCTTTAGCTAATGCTGTTGGGTATTATTCATTCACCATTATCATTGTTCTATGATGTACTTCCTGTTTATGTTAGTTACTGAATATCATGTCATTATGACAATCATTATTGTCTTTGGTTTTTCTATGATGATCTGACTATTCCAATTGCTTAATTCGCTCTAAAGCACAAATGCCATATGCAAAGAATAATGAGTTTACCTAATGATTATGAGTGTGCTTCTTGGGAAAAAAATTTTAATTCTTCCTGTAAATAGACAGAAAACCTCTCCAATAGGTGTGACATTCTTGGGGTGAAATTTTCTGCTTTATTTATTTTGTAACAAAGCTTGGTCACAAAATGATCTGGGATAAATGATGCATATTTCTGAAATCAAATTATATTCTGTGCAGGTAGAGTCAGAAATATTTTGTCTACATGGTGGATTGTCACCGTCAATAGAAACCCTCGACAACATAAGAAATTTTGATCGTGTCCAGGAGGTTCCTCATGAAGGAGCAATGTGCGATCTTTTATGGTCTGACCCAGATGACCGATGTGGTTGGGGTATATCACCTCGTGGTGCTGGATATACTTTTGGACAGGTAACTCCTTTCTTTATTACAAAGACTATTCTTCTCTCTCTATTTTACTCCTTGTTCCATTCTCTTTTATTCTCTCTCAAGTTGTGATGGTTACCTTAATATGCTGAAATTTCCTAACGTAATTTTTATTGCTTTGTATAGGATATATCTGAGCAATTTAATCATTCAAACAACTTGAAGTTGATTGCTAGAGCACATCAGCTTGTAATGGATGGATTTAATTGGGCTCATGTAATTATCATTTTCATAATTCATGAATATATTTCTATTAATCTAGTTTTGCATTCTAGACAACAAGTTAGGTTTTAAGATATTACATTGTTTTCTTGGGGCAGGAACAAAAGGTGGTTACCATATTTAGTGCGCCTAATTATTGTTATCGCTGTGGAAACATGGCTTCTATATTGGAAGTCGATGACTGCAAAGGTCACACTTTCATTCAGGTCAGTCTATCTCCCCCTGTTCCAAATTTATTTTGCTTGTCAATGTTAATGCTTTAGTGTGGTGAGAATTCTTAGGGTGAATCTTCGATGCTTTGCAGTTTGAGCCAGCTCCTAGGAGGGGGGAGCCTGATGTTACCCGTAGAACTCCTGATTACTTCCTATGAATGAGCCTTCTACTGTGCCGCTGTCCCTGCTCCTGGTGCTGCCTCTCAATCCTGATATCAAGAAATATATATCTACTGAGTTCATCTATAGAACTTTCTTTGCATGCTTCTGGTGGATATATAAACTGAAAAGCATGTATGATAGGGCAGGTTTTGTTTTTTTTTATCTTTTTCTTATGTTTATATTTGAAATGATGCTTAATATTCTCCACAATTTGCTAAAGCTAATGGCAGATCATCAGCAATAGATATTATCTTCCTAGCAGAATTGTGAATACTCTTGTTTTATTTCCACGTTCAACTAATGTCGCATCCTTCTGGAGACAAGTGGATTAGATGTTAAGTAGATGCTTTTGCTTTTCTTTTTATCTTGTAATTGTGAGCAAGAGTTGTTTGAAAAAATATATTACTCTCTCTCTCTCTTCAACAGTTATTTATTAGTCTTTTGCAGTATTTTAACTGTATATTTTCACATAAAGTAGCCAAATGCAAATTCCGAAATAGCCAAGAAAGAGTTTTATAGAGTGATATTGCAGGTGTGAAGAAAATCCCTGATAATTGTTTTCCAATACCGTGAGTTTCTTTGCTATCTCCAATGTGCAGACAGATATTTCTTTGAGGCAAAATGAACTAACAAAATTACAAGGTAACACAAGCTCTCCAATTAGAGCTAAGGTCCAAAGCTGCTGCTTCTTCTTCTTCTTTTTTTTTTTTTTTTTTTTTTTTTTTTTTTTTTTTGAGGCAAAATGCAACTAAACAAAATTACAACGGTAACACAAACTCTCCAATTAGAGCTAAGGTTCCAAAGCTGACTGCTTTCTTTTCTTCCTTCCTTTTTTTTTTTTTTTCTTTTTTTTTTTTTTTTTTTTTTTTTTTTTTTTTTTTTTTTTTTTTTTTTTTTTTTTGCATGGAATGAGGAAATATAGTAACTATTTGGTGCACGAAATTGCTTGAAATAGGAAGAGAATAAAATTCTTATTTTTGTGGAATGATGATTACTAACTTCGATTTTTCTTTTCTTTGAACGAAATATTATATTACTTCCTAACATAGGGCAAGAAAAAAGATGTAGTCCAGTTAGTACAACAAAAATATGAGCAAGATATATTATAAAAGAAAATTACATTTTTATCCTTGTATTCTATGGAAATATGACTTTGCCCTTGCATTTTTAGAAATGCATAGTTCTGTCCCTATTTTTGCTTGCATTTCACTGTTATATCATTCTATCAATTTTTTATAAGCAAAAGATAAGGACAAAACTATATATTTTTAAAAATACAGGGGTAATGTTATATATTATAGTAAAATAGATAGATAAAATCATATTTTTCCCCTCTAATTATGAAAAATATGGCATTGTCAAAGCCAAACCACACCCATCTTTAAGCATTGGAAATACCATCTCTCATTTCTCGTATCTATCTAGTATCTACCCTCATGAGATATTGTTGCGTAAACCTCCTTTAACAAGAGCATATCCATAAACCTGTCTTTGAGGAAGAGGGCGAAATGACCCTAGAGCGGAGAGTTTTGAGACAGAAAGTCTAGAGGTACTTTGATTCAAATTTATAAAATAACAAATTTATAATCTTTAAGTTCTGATTTTAAATTTATAACAATCTATTACATAAAAAGTGAAGAAAGTATTATGGAGTAGCTATTCTGTTTTAGGGTTTAAAAGATTAAGACAAAATAGTAAGTGCCAATATTTACTTTGGACACCAATTGAGATGTTCATGTTCTTAACATCCTTGCATAACTCACCTCAAAATTCTAATGCTAGTTTCACCTGCAACTACACGTTCCGTTAACTATATTTTTTTCATGCGCTTGCAGAGACTCTAAAGTACATTTATGTGCTTCTAAGCATAACTTCCATTAAATACATGAACAATTGATTCGTTTTGTCCGTGGACAAAATTTGATTTACAAAATTAAAGCGTAGAAAAAAAAAATTCCAATTGGAACTTGATAAAACCATCCTAATTACTTACCAATGGCTAACTCCCCCTCACCCAATTAGAAAAAGAAAAAAAAAAAAAAAAAAAAAAAAAAAAAAAAAAAAAAAAAAAAACACCAGATATTCAATATATAAAAAAAAAAAAAAAAAAAAAAAAAAAAAAAAAAAGAAAAGAAACGAAAAACACCCTAGATATCAATATATATACAAAACAGGATCACTACAACCTCAAATGAGAGAATAGAGAAGGAACAAGATCTACCACAGACCAAGCAAGGCCAGCATATTGGAGGAATCTAATACCTGTATCAACATCAAATGAGTCCTGATGGGAGAAGAAGAATAACTTTCTGATATATCCCGATTGCTTAATCTCGTCCGATTTTTTGACACTAATTGATCCATTCAACATGGGAATATAGCTAGTTGATTTTATGGGAATGCCCAAGGTGTTTGATATCACAGGAAGTACCCATTTAGCTAGGGCCTTGCTGCAGAACTTCACGATGAGTATTGTCGGTATTCCCACGAGCATTCTTCCAAAAAAGGCAGGGACAGTGAGTTGTGTAAACAAGCGTGGCACAGATTCATGGTGGAACTGGTGGAATGTTTGCTGAATCCCAGCCACCTGAACAACAAAGCAAATTTAGTTTATGTTTTGAAAGCTTATTTCATAAAGAACTTCAACGTGAGGCTGCAAAATGCTAGATGAAAAAGAAAAATCTATTAAACATCATTTTGTCCGAGCAAATTGTAACTAAAAAGTGAAACCTCATCAGAAATGTTCCAGCAAGCCCAAAAGCACACATTAGAAGACCATTATTTGATGGTAAATTAGAAGACCATGCCCTTACCACTCCCCAAGGGGCAAACCAGGCATTTGATTCCCAGGCCCTCTAAATCCCATCCTTAATGGCAAAATGATTTCAACTCTTCACTTCTATCAAAAGTACCTGTGTTAGATAAGGATGCCTAAGTGTAGGTATGAGTTTTTGAAATTCAATCATAATAGTTCCTGATGGTCCCCTCACCAATTTGCTCATTCAGAAGCATAGACAAGCTCTAATGGTATTGGTACCAAGGGAGGAATAACCAGGAAATTTCCAAACATCTCGCACTTCTACTCCTCATTCTACAATATTTAACCCTTTTCCTGAACTTAGATAACTAGTTCACATAACTCGCTATATTGACGTGCCAGAGTGTGTGTGTGCGCGCGCGTGCGCACCTGCATGATTGAGTGCACCTTTCCCATCTTATCTTTCCTTTGTGTTTGTGCACGTGTTGTAGACCCCAATTCTATCATACCCCTCTTTTTCATTTATAATCTACCAAAAGAATAGTAATAAATTGGTGATTTCACTGTGCTAAGATTATCTTCTTCAATGAACAAGTGATATCTCAACTCTCATAAAATTTTCTTCTTTTTCTTTTTCATGTACCTTTTAAGATTATTCTAAGCATACCCCATGCCTCTTCTTTGTCTTTTAGGGAATTCTACAAGTAACATCGTGATTTCACTACCAGCACATGGAATTTAGAACTTGATTCCAGTTTCATAACCTATAATAACACTTTTGGTAATTGAAAACTAAAAAAGATAAGTCAGAATGAAAATCAAGTTTTAAATAGTAGTTGCTTACTATTCCAAATGCAACACCATTGAAAGCCGTATGGTACTCAAAGCTTGGAGTAGGGAGCTCAGGAGTTGGATAAGCAAAAAGCAACAAGAAGCTTAGGGCAGCCCAGAAGGTCGTAACTGTAAGCAAAATAGCGTATGCAGAAGTCAGAATAAAGCAAAATTTTCATATTCTGAATCTTAAATTTGTATGACATTTCAAGACATTAAAAACAAAACTGGAATCCACCTTCCGTTAAAGTAATAGCTAGTGTTAAAACACAAGCCCATTCTAGCAACTCGAATCCCATTCAAATGTTATCATTCTTTGATTGATGTGAGGTTCCAACAAAGAATTTTCAAGTGCTTGAGGACTTTGCAACCTCAAGTTCCCAAGAATTTTCTTTAATCTTTATTGCGCCAATTAAGTAGAAAGACCAGAAATCTACTCCCAATCTACTTGCCACTTGGCATCACGTGGCTAAATAGAGCCCTAGCATCCTACCATAGGAGTCAGAAATGTGGAATGCTTAGATACAGAGGCACATTTCTCCTCTTTAGAGGAATAGACATTTGAGACCATCAACTGAAGCTTGCTAGGAAAATTTGATAGTGGTCTTTGACTCCCAGGCCGACATTAATTAACTCGTTCTACATTCGTAGGGTCTGCATAAGGCTTTCATCAATTTTCACCGCACAAGTAAGTTGCCTTGTGCCAGGATTCATCCTATTTGTCCTATTTTCATGCCTCGATCAAGAACTTTTGGAGTTAATAAGATTTTTTCTTTTTTGAAGTTTACACCGAAGGATAATTGAAGAAAAAGGCAAAAGAATCCAATGCAATTATCTATGCTTCTATTTCTTGCCTCACTCAAACTCAAAAGCGATAGAGCATTCCATAAAAACTACTCAAGAGGCTTGAGGACAATTTGGCAGTCCAAAGAAAGCTTTTGGAATTTACTAATTAAAAATATAAAACATGAGATAATTAAAACAGAACTCTACATACCATTTTGTCCCGAGACAATAAATTCGTCAACATAATCATGGACAGTAAGCCAAAAGGCGAGGATTGCCAACCCAGTGAAAAAACCACCTATAATATCAACCAAACTGTGCATCCCAAGGTACACTCTTCCTGTCAAGCAAAAACTAATTTCATTTGAAATCCCCAAAGAAAACTGATAAAGCTAGCAGCACCTTGTGAAACAAAGATACACTTACCCAAACCAATGAGGCCCACAAGCAAACAAGCAATAGCAAATCCAGCAAGCTCAACAGAGAAATCTTGATTTCGGGTATGTGATAGGAAGTAGTGCAAGAGGTACCTGGTAAGTGTCCATTAAGCGAGGATATAAATATTGCCATAAAACTATGTTTCCGAAAGTTCCAGTGACACAGGCATTCGTATTTTTACACAATAAATAAATAACATATTGATAATATACTAGTGCTAATTGCTAGGACTTTCACAAACTCAAAAAAATAAAAGAAAGTACAAATAATCAGCTTTGCACCAATAAGCAAGAATTGAGCATAGTCGCTGATCCCAATTTCTTGTAGTACACTTGATAACAACAACCAAACCACTACTAATTTCGATCTTACAATACAAACCAGTACAATGTGTACTAAATCTGCTCATAACACAAGTAGAAAATTAATATAGAGTAGAACACGAATATAAGGAGGAGACATCAATACCCAGATAAACAAACTGTGTTAAGTGTGTGGGAAGAAGGTAATCCATATTCCAAAGCATTGTCTTCCTCATCTTTTGTGGCAGTTATTCTCCTGACAGGAGGACAATTGGGTCTAGGAGCTGATACCACATCCTATGACACATAAACACAAAAGTAAGGAACAAAAGATGAGCTGATCATATTATTCCTTCATTTACAAATGAAAGAATACAGAAATGGAAAAATGGAAGGATCAAGCCAAAAAAAAAAAATGCAAGAGTACCTTTATGCAGTTCCCTGCATAATCACAGAATGCAATTAGAAGGGTCATTTGCCTAGCCAATTTTCCATGCCCACTCTACAGTTTTACCCAAAAAACCACTAAATTAAAATTCAGGTGTATAAATTTATCAACAACCTCAAAAAAAAAAAAAAAAAAAAAAAACCCAATTTCCATTGCCCACTCACAGTTTTATACCCCAAAAAACACTAATTAAAATTAGGTTGTTTATAAATTTATCAACCAACCTCAAAAAAAAAAAAAAAAAAAAAAAAAAAAAAAAAAAAGTAAACTAAACTAAACTAAAAGAGAAAGAAATGATACCCAGAAGAGGAAAGGAAGAAAAGCAGTATAAAAGGGAACAGAAACAACACAGGACAACCCAGAAAATAAAGCATCCAAGAATCCATGCTGGTGCTTCTGCAAAATAGCAAAAACAAAATAAAATTTAAACAATTCAGCATAAATTCTTCAACAAACAATCAAAAGACGATCTGGGTTTTGTTTATTCGAGGGAAATCTAGTTGAAAAACCTGGATCCGGAGGATGAAAGGAGTGCCGCAAATGACATGATGGGTGACCCAAGGTTGCAGGAAAGATCTAATCTTTAAGGTCACATTAAGACATGACGATATGACAATCCATGATGCAATCGCACAAAGAGTCACCCCTTGCCACAATGCTATGCTTTCCATTAATATCTCCCTCCAAAAAAAGCCAGAGGAGTCAAAAAAAAAGAAATAAATGGAAATTCAGAAAAAAAAAAAATTTTTTGACAAACTATTAGCAATAGAAATTGGGGGAAGAAAAACAGAAACTTTGAAAAACTACTGGCAATGACTCGCGGGGTCAGAAGTCAGGAGGCAAATGGGTTTTGATTTTGATTTTTTTGATTGCAATTTTCTGGTTTTTTTATTTGTGATTTTTTTTTTTTTTTTTTTTTTTTTTTTTTTTTTTGGGCTTGGATATTTTGTGATTTTTTTTTTGTGGCAAGTGGGGGGCAGGGGCCAGGCTTTCCAGCAGGGCTTTGTTGATTTTGGCTTGCGGAGAAAGAGGCAGCTATACATTAAAGAACAGACTTTTTTTTTTTTTTTTTTTTTTGGCTTGGATATTTGTGATTTTTTTTTTTTGTGGCAAGTGGGCAGGCAGCTTCCAGCAGGCTTTGTTGGATTTTGGCTGGCGGAGAAAGAGGCAGCTATACATTAAAGAACAGACTCTGACCAATACAAAATATACGCGGTGAAGAAAAACAAACATATATTATTATGCTCATTTTTCCCATCCGCTGATAAAGACTTCTAAAAAATAATACTCCAGATTTAAAAACATTCGAGTAACTTATATTGAAGTGCCTTGAGAATTAGGGATGAGTAAACTTGCTTATAACCGAATAATTGAATCAAATCAATGTTGATTTGGCTCTTGAACAATGGCCTAATTGGATTGTTTCACTCTAAACTTTCACTTCTATTACGATTTTACTCTATTTTCGATTTTATATCAATTTCACACTAATCATGATCTTTTGTGATATTAGACCACAAAATGCAAATTAAAATTAGAAATTAAAATGCAAAATAAAAATATATTCATCTGTAGCTCACTCTTAACTCGATTTAACTCAATCATATAGAACTTTCTATTTTGCACAAATGAAAATAAAAGAAATGTTGTCGTCTTAAGAAGAATCCAACGGTAGATCAAAGCCTCTATTTCATCTCCTGTAATCTCCTATCAACTTCGAGTATTCAATTCAATATAAATTTCATCTCCTCCCGATCTAAATAGCAATCAATAGTCTTATAAGAGTATTTTGGTTTTGTTTGCTTTTTACATCAAGGGAATTAAATTATTTCGGTTCGATTTGGTTTAATTTCTATTAAAGCTTTTAAATCCATAAATAAGTAAAATATTTCAAGTGGAACGATGTTTGGTTTGAAATATAACTTAAAAATCTACTTAAAATAAATTATAAGTCATAAGTAAGTCACCTACTCATTTTAAAATTACTGTTTGACCCAGTAAAAAGTATGATTAACATAATAAGTTCTCAAAATACTATTATTACCCCTTTTAGTAATTGTTATGAATTAAATTACATATAAATACTTATTAACAAAACACATAAACTACTTAAAAGTAATTTTTAAGCCGTGTTATCAAAAATACTTTAACTAGTTTTAAATTTACTTGTGAATTAAAAATATATTTTGAGTCAAAAATTAAAAGTGAATTACCAAAACCAACACTCTCTTTATGTTTAACTTTTTTTTTTTTTTAATTAGAGACGGTTCGGTTCAATTCAGTTGAACTAAATACTCATTCCTACTTAAAATCACTTGCTAAATTACTTAAAAAATAATTTTAAATGCTCCAAATCAATACGAAAAGGGTTTCCTAAGATTCCCGACCATGATCTAATCCAAGAGTATCCTTTTAACAATGACAAAATTCATATACTTTATATAAAAAATATTATGGCACTCTCAACTTTTATATTGATCTATTAAATAATTTAATTTATAAAATTGCACTTATTAGACACATCAACGGAGTAAACTTTTTATTAAAATATTTCAATTTATAATTAAATCAATTCAACACTTATTAGGTACTTAAAAAATGTAAAAATTATATCAAAAAATTACAGTAACCACACATCAAATCAATATTTTGCATATTAAAAACTAAAATATGAAAAAATTATCATATCAGGTATGAATACGTATACAATATTACCAAAATCATAACTTTAAGAACACAATACGTCCAATGTAAAGTTTAGAATGACAGAAATTTCTTATCATAAATCGTAGTTGTCAATTTATTCATTAATAATAATAATAATAATAATAATTGAGGGAGCTAGCTTTGTGCGCTCTTATTTGACTGTATTTTCTATGATGCAATTCATTATTTTCTACCGCCTTTGTTGCATCTTAAATCTTACGTGAATATATGAGAATCCAAATTTTGTTTCTTCAATTTTCAGTGTTTTAAACAAATCTTGAAAATATATTAAAGTGGTCATTTTATTTTAATTTTTCTCTTTTAACAGCAAATTATGAAAAGATGGATTTATAATTTTAAATTGGAAAAATTTACTTTTTAAAAGTTGTAAAACTCAAATTTCTTTATTTTTTGCTAATATCATTTAAATTTCTTAACTTCATTTAAATTATTCTTTAATTTTTACTAATATCATTTAAATCATTATTCTGTTCAAATTCTTAAATAAATATTTATTTCATTATTATCTTTAATTTTATGTTCTGTAAAATTATATATTTAATTACTTGAAGAAAAATTATTGTATACGCATTTAATTGAATTATATTTTAATAATTCAATTTTATTATTTAAAAAATTATTTATATATTGATATAATATTTAAAATTAATTCAAATTTCCAATTGAATTCGACTTCAATTCTGGTTAAACCTAATACATAACTATTTGAATTTACCACTTCAAAAACTAGACAGGATTTGAAAATCTAGAGTTTAACCACACCTATGGCTTTTAGTACATCAAAACTTAAAAAAAAAAAAATCAAAGTTTTAATTTTTTTTTTTATATTGTAAGATAACATTTAATTATTTAAGTACTAACAAAATAGCATATATTCTTACAAAATAGGAAGATATTTTACGAATTTTAAAATAAAAATAGTCTCATATTTAAAGAATATTGGAATACCCGTAGTAGTTAAAGAAAAAATAGGAGAGTGATATTATATTAATTTATAAAAATAAGAAATCACAGAGAAGGACCCCAAACAAGAAAAAATAGTAGGGTTCGTAGTTTTTCTTTTTGTATAAATTACCGGTATTTCAAACTCGAGAGCTCTTTTTATATGCTCAGTCTGTGTTGCCAACTGAGATAGGTAAAAAATTAATTCAAAGTTGTTTGATTTAGTAGAACAAGTTAAACATGAAATTGCATTCATGACCCTAACTTGACTTTCATAATCTCATCTTTCTTTCATAGGATGGAACTTACTTTCTAATTAGTCTCCTTGTAGTTGGAGGCCTTCCAAATTTGACGAAGGTCAAAAGTCAAATGTCCCCTTTTTTCCTTTTTTTTTTTTTAATTATAATTTATATTTATAAAATAAGATAAAAGAAAAAAAAAGTAAAATTTAGGAGCTAATGGGTCCCACCAATTATAGAGTAATTGGGTTGGGTCCCGCAGTACCAAACTTGTCCAACGACTATGGGCTCGCCCGAACCTGTCAATGGTCCACGTGTTACTTCTTTGTTTTCTTTAAGATTCTACGGCTAATTGGTTATCCACGTGTTTGTTTGGTGGGAGAAAGTATTAGATACTCTCTTTCTCTACATGTGGAAGTAGTTTAAAGTTGTGATAGAGTGATAAAAAAAACAACTTAATTTTTCTAAATTATAATAAAATATTTATTAATTTAATTAAATTACTCTTTAGAAAATTATAAAGATAACTATTACATTTAATATAAATAAAAATAAAATTAGAAAATAGCATTTATTAATCATTGATATTCTAAAAACGACTTACCATATTGTGAATAAAAAAATTATTTTAAATGATTTATATTTATTGACAAATAAAATAATAGTTTAAAAAAACGGATATTCACCAATATTAAATATGGGATGCCTTAGTTGGAGGGCTCTGATTTATGCTCTAAGTAACTTTCCATCATAAGTTAGTGATTTTTGCATTAAATTATATATGTAAAAAATAACATTGTCAAAACGGGTTGTTGGGCCTATACGGACTCGGCCCAAAACGGATCGAGCCGAAAAGCTTGTTAAGTGATCTATTTTAGGTGCAAGGGGCCCTGGCCCTAGCCCCTAACAAGTTTTTTTTTTGTATTTGGAAACTAAATATTGTTTCATTCTTATATTCTATTCTCCTCAAAAATAGATTAATTCCAAAAAAGCTCGTTAAGTAATATAAAACAACAATTGTTCCATTATTGAAATCCATACATTAAGTAATCTATTTATATTATTAAAAAATATATTTATATTATTAATAATAACCTACAAAATCTTTTGAAAATTGATTATGATTTCAGTCAAAATAATTGTTCAATAAGTTTATGCAAGTAAAGTTTATTATTTTAGTTAGTAAATCTTGTTTTATAGGAATTACACATAACATAGAAGAAGCATTGGTAATAGAATTAGAAAGTTAGAAACCAAGTCAAAAAAGGAAAGACTTCTTTTTTTTTTTTTTTTTTAGTAGTTAAATCTTGGTTTTATAAGGAATACACATAACATAGGAAAAGAAAGCATTTGGTAATAAATTAGAAGTTTTAGAAACCAAGTCAAAAAAGGAAAGACTTCTTTTTTTTTTTTTTTTGCTTCTCTTGATAGTATTTCATATCTTTTTTTTTTTTTTTTTGCTTCTCTTGATAGTATTTCATATTTCCAAAGAAGAAAAACAAGTAAAAAAAAAACTGTCTTATTACAATTAGTTATAGGACTCGAACAAGTTAGATATATATATATCATTCAGCTACACATCCCTCTCCCCTTCATAACATGCCTCCTTAGACCAGGAATATGAACATTTGTTATATAGTCTCTCCAATCTATGCTTCCCACATCAAATCCAAATTTCTTCTTCTCATTTTCACACATGCTCTCCATCAATCTTTGAGTATTACTGTTGTCAAACCTGCAAATTTTTAAATTTTGAGTTAAAAGAAATGAATTTGAGTAATTCTCGTATAGACTAAAATATCACTTCTTTATCGGGTTCAGCCCATATAAAACATACGTGTAGATCCCATTTTATGAGTGATGTGTATAAATTTTATCCGCATGATAAATTTTTTAAACCCTTTCAATGTAAGAAATTATAAAGTTGCTTACCTTCCACCATAGAAAGTGTATGGTTCATATATATTAGCCAAATGCTTTGCTTGTTCCATTGATCTTTTGCATATAAATTCATGTTTTAGGGACATTTTCTTGTCAAATGAGGCAATTTCTGTCAACCCATTTCTCTGAACCACATCTCTCCAAAGATGATCAGAGAAATCTTCCTTACAATTGAAGAGCTTCATTGAAGGAACACTGATTGGTCTGCCTTTGGAATCCATGTAAGGCGATGAATTGTAGTGTTCATAGAGCAACTTAGCCAAGTCTTTAAAAGCCAGTGGATTTACAACAGATGAAGCAATTTGATACACATTTATTCCTGATTTTTGAACCATTCCATGTTTTGCTACTGCTGCTAGGGTTGCATTGACTACCATATCTGCTGGGACCTTCAAACAAAAAAAAAGTGAAAATAGATTCATTTTAAATTGGATCGTTTCTTGCTTCTTTCCCAAAAAAAAATTGTGTGTGAGGAATAATACTATTAGTATCACTTACTACATCAAGTACTCCATTTGGATCCACTAGAAATCCAGTCAACTGCCCTTTTCCATAGTACAATATAATTGGATCCATCATCCTGAAATATTACAATGTCAACAGGCCCGGACGCGGGATTCAAAACTTGGGGATATAAATAGTCATAAAATAAAACTAATCTATTTTGAAGAGGACAGAATATAAGAATGAAAATTTTCAAAAAATAATTGCCAGGGCCAAGACCCCTCCCACCACCTAACTTGCGTCCGTCCCTGAATGTCATGGCAATATTTCAAAAATGCAAGTAAAGGTTGAGTGGAAAAGATTACCTATTTCCTTCCATCCATCCTGGGAATGGCTCTCTGAAAGTGCTTTCAATAACACTAGGTCTTATGATGACAACAGGAATATCTCCTCTCAAGCTGTCAACCATCATTTCTCCCATGGCTTTTGTGAAGACATAGGTATCTTGCCATCCATATTTTCTTGCCCTGTTCAGAAGTCACTATCATTGCTTTAAGTTACTATATATTCATTCAATTTATAGAAATCAAGAAGATAAAGGATAAGCCTAATCACCTTTCCAAACCCAGTTCTTTCATCTTTTGAGCCACTTCATTTTCTTGAAAAGCTTCTTTGGAATTCAGGGCCAAAAGCATTTCATTTTCCACATCTAGAATAGGTAGAAATCTTGAATTGGTTTCAGCTATGAAATTTTCCTTAGCTATGCAATCCCCAATACAGAATGGCTTTTCCATTATTCTTCCTTGTCTTTGTCCATTAACATAAGCTGCAGTAAAAAATAACAGAAACTCAATTTTCATATAAATTTGAAACTCTAATTTCTGCATTTCTAACTAATTTCTATCAATTAGCAACAGAAATTTGATTTCCTCCAAAAATTATTAAAGAATCAAGAATCACTATTCACCTATTTGTAAAGATTTCTTACCTGTTGATACTTGCAAGAATAGCTTAAGCTTTTGGCACTTCTTTGCAAAGCTCATAAGGTGGCAAGGTCCTCTAGTGTTAATGTCAATAGCAACATCATACCTGCAAGACATCATATTCTCAAAATTATATACTTGGCACAAATTGCATTCCAGTGCATAAAACTCTTTTTTTTTTTTTTACTACCAAGGGTGTTTTTCCACCTCCCGTTTAACAGTTAGATGAGAGACTAATCTCTTTCAGGCTTAAAAGCACTCTCTAAGATGCTGACTCCACGATTCGATCCTAAGATCATCAAGATATGATCTAGTGCACTTCAACCACTAGACCAAGCTATCTTGGTTAAGACTCTCTTTTTTGATAATTAGGAAAGGTAATATAGTATATGCAATACTTTTCTTGCATTTTCTTGATTTAAACTCGTGACTTTTTGGTAGCAAAAGAGCAATTTTTTCATTTCACCAAATAGACCTGCCCTCAAATATAATGCATAAGATTACCAAAAGTAAAAATATATAGTGGATGTAAAAGAGATGAACAAAACCTTTCATCAAAAGTTGTATTAGCTGCAGAATTAACAATAACATCAACTTCATTGGCAATCAAGTTGGCTAAATCTTCATCCAACCCAAGATTAGATTCACATACATCTCCCACAACTGGGACTAATTTGCTCAACATGAAAGCTTGGTAGGACTTCCCATAAGTTTGTTGAAGACACTTGAATAGCTCTGCATCTATTATCTAAGTATGGCCATAATTATAATATTGATTCAAAAAAACCAGAAACTAAACTTCTAAGATTAAAAATGGAAAACTATGTAACATACTTCACTTTTTAATCTTGCCATTGCAGCTTCCATGTTCTTTGCCTTGATCAAAACATATATCTTCCCCACATCAGGCGCGGTCCGTAAAATCTTCTCAATAAGAACTGCATATTAATTTTTCATCAAAGCTAGATAAAATCCCAACAAAACAATATGCAAGTAAAAGGCTACTTCTCAAATCCTAATGAAAAAAACAAACCTTTTGCAAGAAACCCAGTTGCACCAGTGATGAAAAAACCTTTCCCTCCAAGAAATTTGACAATGCCAATACCATCTTGAACCTCCATTAAAGAAGAGCTAGTTGTTCCACTAAAAGGCTCAAAATCTTTGATGGTATTAGAATTATTGCCATTTGGGGACAAAACCAAGCTTGATGCAGTATGATCTTGATCACCAACTAAAGTTGTTGATGATAATGATCTTTCTGTTAAAACTGAAGAAATCCCACTAGACCTTATTATTGCCTTTCCACCACCACCACCACCTCCTTGGCAATATACAATACTATTAAACTTCTTCCTCCTCAAAAAGCACCACTCACACTTATTATTATTAGAAATGAAAGCAAGTGATGGAGATTTGAGGAACAAATTAGACCCCATCACTGCAAGAGAATTAGAGATGGAAAAAAAAGAAAGTTAACAAACTAATTTTTTTGGTTTTTTGAAGTTAAAAAAAAATTAGTTGGAGTGAAATCTTAGCTAATTACTATCTAAACAAGGAAATAAAAGCAAGTAAACTAACTAAGCTCTATAAGATAAGACAAGAGTTGGGTTTGGTTTGGTTTTAAGGGAAAAGGAGAAAAGGGTTAGGTATATATATTCTTTTTTTTTTTTCTTTAAATCTATTTTGTTATGGGGGAGATTTTTTCTATAAGAACCCTCTTTCTGCCACCCTCTTCACATTTTTAGGGCTAAGATGGCGGGAGTTCTCTTTATATCTTCGATTTGATTAGTAATTCTTGTCTAGAGACTCTTACTTGTGCATATTATCATGTTCAAAAGAAAATTAAGTGTAAAAAAGAGGGTGCTAAAGTGGTTGGTGGCAATGGAAAAATGGGCTTAATTAATAGGGTTTTAAGTTATAAGGCCTCCCTAATTGAAATTGTTTGTTCCAATATATATATTATACAAGCTCATGTAGTTGCAATTTTTTACTCATCAATTAAGTATGGCATGTGATTGTGGTATCTGGCTGAAATTTTATTTACATAACACAAGTATAAAACTCCAATACAAATTTTCACCCTACACTATTACTGAGGTCAAATAACCAAAAGCATATGGTTTTTAGTTTTACTTTCAAAAGTTCAAAGCTACTTCAATGTGAATAGGTAAAATCTTAAACACCAACTACATTTATAGATAGAGCAATTAGCAACAATAAAAAAACAAGCAGGCAACAGACTCTGTCATTGTTCAAAATTTATCTATACAAGCAAATGTTTCTCATCAATATTTCAATACAAATGAAAAAAAAAATATTAATCTCCAGACAAACAACGAAGGCAATTGCACTTAAAACCAAAACCCTGAAGCAAGATGGTTTGTCGAGCATCATGATCCATGCTAGCATCTATATAGCAGATTCGGAGCTCTTCATCTGCATATCCAAAACAATTCATCAATAATACATCAGCCCAATATTCATTAAAAAAAAAAAAAAAATTTGCCGAATATCCACAAAAAATTATTGTAGTTTTCATGACTTAGTTTCAAAGTTCATGTGTCACAGCCAGCTGTCTTCGTAACTCATTTTCCAGGACCTGAACTAATGGAGTCTTAGCCGAACAGTATAAGAATATATCAGAAACAACTGTCAAAATGTGTATATAAAAAACCAAATGATAGACATAGACATATAGTAAGCATAAGCACTTTTTAATGCAGCTCCGTTTTTGAGATGCACGAAATTATATTGACACCAACAAAAAATGTCTTGTGAAATTTTTGCACGAGGGATGCTGTGTGATGGTGATGAAAAAGAGGCATCAGGGAATTCCTCAAATAACTGTCCTATCGTGCTGCTCCCTAATAGAAAATCAACCTAAAAGAATAACAAGTAGAAGAAAAAAGGAAAAAAAAAAAAGAAAAAGAAAATCTGAAAACTAGATTTCATGCGACAAACCTGCCTCAATATCACGAAGAGCCTTCAATCTTGCATTCGTGTTATCTATCCATATAATGTGTGTATTAGGATCTGCAGTAAACAATTAATGAAGTCAGTTTCTTCGACCCTGGCATCACCTGGCAGAGCACAGAGATGCTAGAGGAGAATGCAACCACAATTTGCCTATTGATTGTGAGTTGAGCAAGGTGGACAGACTATACTTTTCTGCATTGTTTGATTTCAACATCATTTCCCAGTAAATGATCTCATTTGAATTCAAGATTCTGCTGAAGAAGAGGTTAAAGATCCAAGAAAGAGATGCCAATTTTCATTGATCAAACTACTCAACATACAAGAACATGCAAACTCAAATGATACAAGTTGACAATGAACAGTTATGTTCCCATTTTTATCCCACAGAATTTATAGACAGTGGCTTGATGATTTACAGGTGAAACAAGGTAACCTAAACCCACAATGAAACAGCAGGCCAGAACCAGAGGGGAGAAGCTTACCACAGTCATGATTGTAAAAGGAAGGAAGCATATAAACAGCACTTCCAACAGCAGCTTCGGCCTCTACACAGGCAGCAGCTGATGACAGGAGATCTTCATACAATCCTACAGCCAATTCAACACGGAACACATTGATTCGAATTCGTGCCAGCACATTAGCGTACCATTGCTTTGTTAAGACTTATATAGTTAAAGATAACTTCTTCATCGAAACTTCCAAGTTAACGCTTATTAAACCGAAATATATAATGTAAACATCAGTCACGTGGAGGATACATTCCATCTTTTCATCTTCAATATTTGCCTTAGCAAAGGAACTTCTCAGCAAACGAAAGCCCTCTTCCATCTGAAAAATGCCACTAAAAAATGTACGTAACTTTAATTCTGAGAAAGAGAAGATGCCACAAAAAAAAAAAGTACAAGATCAAGTTGTCACAACCAGTTTAGATGTACTAGCTTAATACAGAACATGACAATGGAAGTCCTCTTTATCAGAATTTATACCTGTATCCTACATCAATTTAAATAATGCATGGGCATAAAGGTGTAAAGGTCAATCTTCACACAAAACCAAAAGAATGTCCTAGTGTATGAGGCATCTTGCAGTTTGGGCACAGATCTAATTTATGTAGCTCTCTCTTTTGCAATGCAAGGAGGCTTTTCCCGTGTTATGGAATTGTAATTTCCAAGTTACAACGAAATCTAAACAAGCCAAAATAAAAAGCACATTGGTGACAAAGAAAAAGGGGGAAATAAAAGGACATGGCAATGCATGCTTATTTAATTTCAAGCTCAGGCCACATAATGCAGCCTATAGAAAAAAAAAAAAATATTAAACTACAAATGTCAGTGCTTCATGAGTTCTAACAATAACACCGTAATCGCATATCCCAAACATCACATTAACAAGATTTATGTAGGGTTCTCACCTCTAAAGTCCTCTCATGAGATAAACTAGCTGGTTGAAGTATGTCAAGAACTTCAGCGGATGTAGCTCCAGAGATGACCATACAAGCCAACCGTTTTGCCATTAGTGGATACTTTAGACATTGGGTCCTGTAAAGTAAGAGAAGCGAAGTAAGATGTACAAAAGGGTTATCCTGCAGGTCCATATGCCAAAAGATGTATACTACATGTTACATTTTCCTTTGAATACAAAGAACAGCTATAATAATAAATGGAAGCTTTGGAGATTTAGTGATCTGTAAATTCTTTTGAATAAATATAAAAATAGACATAACATTGTAATAAAAAAATTTTAAAAAATAATAAAGTTGTTTTCCTAAATGCATTTTATATATAGCGGATAACATGTGCACTGCGGTGCAGAAGAGAATGACTCTGCAAATCAATCATATATCAGTTTTATCAATGGCAGAAATCAAAATGAAAAAAGCATATCATCTACAAACAAGAAGTGGTAAATGGCTTTCAGATGCTGTCATACCGGCAATAGTCATCAAAAGCTAACCAATCTGCTTTTGTCTCTACATCATAAAACACCTAAAAGATATGAAAAATTAGACTTAAACTTCAATTAATAAACGGAACTCATTCCAAGAATGTATGATGGAAAAAGATAATTTTCATAAAATATCAGAGTTCTTTGAGTTATAATTGACTTGAAGACTGTAAAATTTCACAGCAATAGCTCCAACCTAACAAGTATGCACATAAGCATGAAAAGAAATCACTTCCAAGCCACAAAAACTAATCCTTCTCCATACACACTGCCCAATATACAGCCTTGTCCATGCTAATATGTTTTACGCGACATATAATCACAAATTTCAATTATCATCTGCAATCATAAAACAAGTCCTGATCATCATATATAATTTAAGCTTTTAAAATTAAACTAGATTCTCTATGGTTTTAACGATACCAGCATATTCTCAAGGAGATATAACAGTTTTTATTAGGATAAAAATGAAAAATATACGATTTGATCATTGACACACTCATTCAATGAACCACGTGGACTTAGAACTTACATATTTCTCGTCTATCCAAATCTATCGTGATGGATTTCTTCGTATAAAATCATCATATCTTCAAGAAAATTTCTGTATTTAGCCAGACTGTCCATAGAATAATATGTTTTGATTGGAAATTCTCAATATCCTTCCCCTTCTGGACAAGGTGCCAGTTTCCACAAAGATAAACATGTGACTCCAGGACTACTTAGCAAATACATATATCAAAGTGAAGTTCGTTCTAAGAAGCAGATCGAATTGCCCTACCTAGGGCAAAAATCGCCTAACCAACAATATTTGCTGTCGCAATTACGCTTTCCAGCAAACAGGACTGGCATCTTATTTTTGCCTCAGGGAACCCCTTAGCTACACATCAGATAATCGACCTGCCAACATCCTTATGATGTGCTCTCTAACCCATCCAGGTGCTGACGTGCATAACCAAGACATTAATGAAAGAGCCATGAAGGACAAATTTCCAAGCAACTGAAAAAACCTTCAAATTTCTTATCGCTAGGTAGTAAGCACCAATCAAGTGCCAATACCGCTGTGATTCACTTACTTTTACACAATATTGCAAATAATATTATCGTAGCAGGAAGACGTTAACTTAGAAAAACAACAATGAAGAACCCCTATCACTTTCTAGTTTAGTCATAAAACAAATAAATGCTGCATCTATAAAATAAGAATTTAACTTATACCAGTGAACTGTGAACACCACTTATTTATTGCCAGTATATAACAATCAAAACAATCCATATTCACTTAGCCGAAGAGAATCCAAGTTCATTTGCTAACCAAAGTAGAGTTATTTCAAAAAATCTAACTTCGTTTCATAAGCAAAAGGACAAACATATGGTGGGTGTTCAGCAAAACTCAAAAACAGACCATTGTTCTCATATAATAAAAACAACTCATTATACCTTAGCGTTCTCTTTGCACTCTTGGCTGCAAAACGCAGCACTTTGGCCCTTGAACTCCGTTAAAGCGAGCTTGTTGAGGCAAAAATAACAGACGTTGCTAATAGTCGACAAAGAAGGGTGAGACACGATTGGTTTGGCAGTGTGAATGAGATCTCCAGCGCCAATTCTTCGCGTAGCGAACACTCCTCGACCGGCCGACTCAGTAAGATCAACACGGATCGGAGGCGGTCCAGGTCGATGCAATTTCTCATTCTCTGGGTTGGTGGCTGAGGAGGAGAATGTAATAAGTTGCTTGTTCTCGAATTTCAGGTTTCTGTAGCGCGAAAACCAACGGCTATAACGGACCAAGGGTGACATTGTTATAATTCTGCGCTGCAGTTCTCCCTTTTGGCACTTTCTTCTTCTTTGTCTTTTCAATTTTATGTCAAACTCAAATCCTTTTTTTAACCTTTTTCAGTTCAAATACAAACTGCGGCGGACAGTTTCATGAAGAACCTAACCAACTGTTCAATTTTTGAAAATTGCGGTTAAATCGGTTTATTTAACCGTTACTTTAATCTATAGTAGTTCCTTATAAAATTAGATAGTATAATATCTCCGGTTTACATGTACAAGAGAAATCTCTGAGTTCGAGATGCTATTTTAACACGACATGATATTTGAAGGAATGTTATTTCGATAAATTGGACTTTCTATGTATTAAAAATTTTGAGAAAAGTTTACATCTCCTAATCCATATATTTGATACTAGCTAGAAAGCCAAAAATAGTCATTACCCAAATACATTTTCATACATCGAGTCTTCTGCAAAGAAACCAAACAGAACTCAAAAGTACTATGTTACATATTTGCCTTAATTTCTCTATGTACACAAATTCATAATCGACCGTTTATCGGATTGGAAGTTTTTGTCCAAATCAAATATGCACTTGTAGTCAGATCAGACTAATAAGTACAATTGATTTAATCTCGATTGAAATCGACAAACTATATTTGTATATATATAGAACACTTAGCTCGAGTGTATAAAGTCGACCATCTAAAAACTATAATCATGATCTCCAATCAAGCTTCTCCTCAGAACAATCTTTTTGTACTTCTTTAGGAGGAATGAAACAATCCATAGACAAACCTGCAACATTAAATGCAAAATCATCGATTGTCCATGTCTCTTCCATCCGAGTAATCGAAAGGCCTGCTTTCAAATTATCTCCAAATCTTGTTATGATCACACTAGACTGACCACCATGGGCGATCATCACGCCCTCTACCGTCCGGTAATCTTCAATTTTCGTTGCAATGGTGGTCTCCCAGTACGTCGGATAAGTTCCGGGAGACTGAATTCTTGTTAAGTATGAGTCCTCTAGATAAACCAACAAGCCATTTCTCTGGCTGAAGTAACCAAATAGTACATGTTTGATCATTTCTGCGGAGCTATCGCTTCTATCAGCTAAATCTGATAGCTCAGCAGATAGTTTCAGTACAAAACAATCAATTCCTGATATACATTTTTCTCCCATGTATTGTGCTGGAGAAAATACTGCTGATATTGCCATTGGATCTAGTCCCTGTAAGAAAAACACAAACACAAATACAAATACTTAATTATTTGTAAATTAATTATTTGCCATTCGATCAAGTCCCTGTAGATATTGCCTGCGGAGCTATCACTTATTTTTCTTGATTCCTCCTTCTCCCTTACGATGAGAACACAAATACTTAATTATTTGTAAATTACATAAAATTTAAATTCTCTTTTACTGACAGAAATATGATTTAATTGATTCAAATAGTAGGAAGAAAGGAAGCAAGATCCGGCATCTTGGGGTTAGTTGGATCTATGGTTTCTAGCAGGTAAAATTATGTATAAAATTAACAGAAAGACCAACGGTAACCTTCTCATAAGATAAAATCAACATGGAAGACCAACTAATTTCTACAATTTAAGAATAACATATACAATGGCAAAAGATCCAATTAACAAGTGATTATGGTCCACTAATCATATGGTATAGATCTAAATGTAGTTCAAAAATTATAAATTAAATAACTTTATTTTAGTAAATTATAAAATCTCTTCTAATTGAGATTATAACTAATTATGTCACGCTAATTCTAAATTAATTCTTTATTACATCACTTTATCCTCCAAGATTGTAATAATCAATAATACATTAAAACCTTAAGCTTTTCAATAAGTGGAATTAAAATTATTATTTTTAGAGTAATTTAAAATTACAAATAGAGCCAATCTGATGTGATCTAAATAGTAAATGTTATTTTGGATTATTTAATCTTTAATTTTAATTAATATAAGTGTGTAGAGATTCATGTGGTATTTTTAGTGCGACTTGCCTGAAGAGCACGGCGGAGAGGCCGGATGCCGCCTTTAGCAGCGTGAGCAGCGAGCCACGGTGTATGACGCCAAGCCACATTGCCATCACTACCGGCTACAACTTTATGACCACTCACAACTAACTCGATTAGCCACTTATTAGGGACCATTTGCCACATCACAAAGCACCCCTTTTGTGTATCACCCGTGGTTGCTCCAGCCGCCAAGCCGGATGAGCCGCCTAGCTCATCCACCATAGCCATTGCTACTTTTCCGGTAGCAAACATATTCTTCACCGTCCCTTCCAATTTCCGGCAACCGGTTGCGGCGGTGAAGTGCTGTATAATGTATTGAGCTGAGGAGGATACCTAATAAAGAAAGTCATTAATTACACTAAGTTGGTTCTGTACATATAGCAATAATTGTTGAATGCTACTAATAAGAAATTAGGTGCCTTCTCTTAAATGAATCGTACACTTTTTTCTTTTTCACCCTTTTATTTTGGTACTATATTTTATAACCACTTCAAGTATATTTCCAGAAAAAAAATTACTCTTAATTTACATTATTTGAAATACTAAAAATTCTTTAAATATTATTCACAGAATTTCAATCCAGACAACTTTAAAATCTATATTTAGATTTTTGTTACAGCAGTTAATAAGTTATAAAAAATCTCGAGATTTTTACCCAGGCAATTTAACAATAACATTTACTGTTTGGATAGTGTTTCGTAAAATATTAAAAGCCATGCGTTTAATGAATTAAATTTTAACTTTTAAAAATTAATCAAAACGTTATTAGTTAAATCGCTATTAAAGCAAATTAAAAAGGTTTAAGTATCCCAGTGAAACTAACCTTTTTGAGGAACAACTTAGAATAGATATACATTAATTTGGAAAATATTTTTATTTCATTGGTTAAGATGACAAAAATACCTTGAATAAAAAAAGTTCATCAAAGATGGAAAAAAAACACTATAATTATAATATAAAACACATTACTTTTTCCTTACAAAATGTAATAGATGCTATATTAAATTACTGGACCTACAAAGTTTTTAGTACCTCACTCACAGTCCTTTTTGGGATTCTTTAATGGTGGGAGATCAATGGCCTACCTGATGCCTTTTATGCACCTTAATACAGAGACACAAATTACATTTACTCCCCCAAATTAAAAAATAATAAAAATATCACATTTAACCCTTTTTTTTTTTCTTTTTGCAGCTTTAGTAGTAATAAATTAATTTCCCCTTAAAAAAATTTTTTTTAAACAATTAGTTGGGTAGCTTACAGCTATAAATAAATAGAAAACAGATTGTAAGTGGTTGGAAATATTACCGTCATGTTTGAATTTTCAACTAATAAATCTAATATGAAATTTAAAATTTAAAATTAAAATTACAACTAAAATATTTTAAGTTCTAATTTATAATTATTAGCATTGTAATTAATTAGTTAATTTTTAATTAGTCATTAATAATTAATCACAACATGAGCAAACCATATTTTATACTACTTTTGCAACTTGTAATGAGACATTCAAACTATCATTTTTCTCATTTTTTATAAATCATTTTTCTCCTTTGGAAAGCATTTTATGTAACAAAGGAAACCCACAAAAGAACTTATTTTCCTGGAAAAGAAAATCCTTATCAGATGCAAGAATGTATGAAAGAAGACATACCTCATTAATGGGGAGCTTGGGATGGACAGAAACAGGAAAAAGAGGGCAACCAAGAACACTTAAGAGGATCTTGAGGTCAGATTTTTTGTTGAAGACAAGAGAGAAATGGGTCTTGAGCCAGTTCTTCCATGACTGTACTTTCTTTGAAGAATTGTTGCTCTTGTCATCTTCTTCGTTTATGGGTTCTTCTGATAATGGTGCAAGACGGCTCATCATTTCGTCTCTTTCTTTCTTTTTCTTTTGGAAACACAGAGAGAGTTGGTTATTATGGAAGCAGTAGCAGAAGAAAAACGGGACAGTGGGAAAGTGTACTTAAAGGGACTGCTCCGTTTGGTTCGTTACTTTTTTTCTACTCGCTGTTTTAGCGCGTTGCTTCACTTTTCTCAAACCATCTTTTTCTTTCTTTTGTTTTATAATTCTTTGAAATTAGTTTAGATTCATGGAATATGAAATATATAAAATTTTAATCTTATATTCTATCCTTTGGTTGAAAAATAAAAAATCTATATATTTAATATAATTTTAAAATAAATTTAAATAGTCTCAATTTCTATTTTAAGAGTTTTCATCAATTTAGTAAGCGAAAAAGAAAATTACTCTACTGTGTAATTATCATGTCATTTCGATTATCAAATCTTTAAGTAAATCAAAAAAATTTGAAGAATAATATTGCACGCTATATAATAAAAGGTTAAAAATAACATTACGTGGCATTTACTGTCGAAGCCAAAATTTATTGAAAAGAGATTTAGATTTACTCAGAATTGGATCAAACTAGGCATGGTCACTGGTTCGGTTCTAATCGAAACCGAACCGTACTGTAGACGAATTAGAACCGGACCGAAATCGACGGTTCATAATTTTAAACTGAAATCGGTGGTTCAAGGGCCAGTTAAGGTTCATGCGAATGTTAAAATATGAACTAGAATCGGCGATTTCGGTCCGGTTTGAACCGGATGCACAAAAAATTGTAGCTTAAAATTTTTATAAAAAAATTTATATCACTTGATTTGATTGTAGTTGATTTGATTTATGATGAAGAGAAGTAAAATGGTAGAAGTAAAATGGTACATAAGTTATAAAAAAGTGTGAATAAAATACCACCCATTTTTTGACTTAATTATATAAAAAAATTATAACATGAATAGTTGATTTATTATAAAAAAAATACTTTCAATGTACAAAAAAAAAATTGTAACGGATAGTTTTGATATGGATAGGTATTATTATTTATTTTTTTGGGGTAAATAAATTTTTATTCATTTTTAATTCATTTATTTATTTATTTACTGTTAATTTACTAAATTATCCCAAAAAATATAGCTGTTATTTTTCTATTTAGCAAGGGACAATTGGGAAAACTAATAAATGAGAAACATGTATAAATATGATGAGTTGATGATTTTTTATTTCACAATCAATTTTATCCTAACTCTTCTTACTTATCTCAATCAAAAATTTCTCAAATTTTCCATAGTTCATTATTTTTTCTATTGCTTATTCCTAATATTGGAATTATCTATTGTTATATTTTTTATCTTTCTTACATCCAATTCCAAATTCTTTCTCTGATCTCAAATTTTCTCCATTTCATAATCTTCATTTGCATTTTTTAAATAATTTTCTTGGTATTTGAAATAATAATTTTCAACTCATTCCAATTAATTTTAATTCCATTTATAGTTTTTTATATTAGTTAAAATAGCAAAATTTGTTAAATTTAATGTAATAAATAGGTTCTAATTAGTTAATAAGAAGTTTTTCTTTTTAAAATTTATATAATTCATCTAGTTAATAAACTCTTAACATCTTTAAAATGTATATTTATCTCCTATTGTGAATTTCGGAACTCAGAAATTTTACTCTGTTATGATATTTCGTTACAATTTGCAGGTCGTTTAATTTGCATCTCTAGGAGACCGAATTCGGAACCCGCTTAATTTGAAACCATTCGGGTTCGAGAGTTCCGTAAACCCGTGCAAGTATGTACCGATTTTGCCGGAACCCGCGAAGAAGAGTTTAAGGAGTCTGGATCTCCGAGTTATTCACTGATTTTAAAAATCTCGAACCCTCAGGTTCTCACTGAACACCGGCCCATGCGGCTCTCTGATCAAACAGTTTCTAGGATTACTAGTCATTGTATTCTAGAATTGAAAAGTTAAATATAATATTTTTTTTTAAATTACCCAAAATTTATTTGAAGGCCAATATAATCTTTTCTTTTCTTTCTTTTTTTTCTTGTCTTTTCTTGGAAGCAGGAGAAATTTTTTTTTTTTTTTTTTTGGAAGAAAAAGAAACTATAGCAATATTGTGGAGCTGCCATATTGACTTTTCCTATAATAAATTGAAAATGACTAGACAAAATTACAATATTAGAATTCAGAAATAAAAAACTTATTGTGACAGATCTTACTTGAGATTTCTGACACTTTGACAGCCACTCACTACTTTTATTCCATTAAAATGTAGAGTTTTTGCAATTCAGAGGCGATAGAATAGGATTTGTAGGGCAGCCTTTAATAAAGGCAGATGCCATTACTTATATATTAGTAATTTTTACTTTTAGGTGTATTTTAATTGATATGTGAATAAGTTGTATTAAATAATTTTGAGAGCAAAGTCAAATGCCATTACTTATATATTAATTTTTAGTTAAAAGTTTTAACCTTTTAAGCTAATTTAACTAATACTTTTAAGTGATACATAAATAAATTATATAAAATAATTTCACATTAAAGTACTAATTTTAATTTAAATATTGATTGGTATATTAACCGCGGGTATATTGTTTCATTTGTTACAAAAGTAATAATAATATATTTTATCCTCTGAACAGAGGAAATTTTCACATGGAATGTTTTCCTTATTACTCTTATCTAATGGACTAAGGACACCTGTGATATAAAAAAAATTACTTTGTATTATTTATTTTCATTTTATTGATCAGGCTTTAATTATTAGAACAGAACCATAAACTAAGAATTTTTATTTTCATTTATTGCATATTTTCTGCTGTTAATATGAATTATCTGCATTTAATCAAATTAGGTCATGTTGGATGAGGGCAACAAGTATTGAAATGAACCATTCAACATTCCTCTCCTTCTTTAATAAAGACCCATGGTGTCGTACCATGGTAACCTATGGACAAAGTAAGGCTACGGGAGACGACAAAGTAACCTATGGACAAGTGAAATAGGGGTAGTAGTATATTTACAAATTACAAAAGCAATAGGCGCGTGGTTTTGGTTAAGAAAAGGAGCTTTAAAGGAAGGCAAGGCGGGCATTGTGTCCACATCTATTCCTATTTGCAATTATAACTTTTCTGGTACGTTTGGTGCAATTTTACAGTACCTTTCATTTTCCATTGCTTCCATCTTTTTTCTTGTAGAAATTTTTTCACATTTTCTCACACTACAACTATATTTAGTATATGCATTGATTCTACTTTACCTTTTTTTTTTTTTTCTAATGAATTGAAAAATAATAAAATAAATTAAATATGTTTTCAATTCAGTATGCACGTGACTAATAAATAAAATAAATTTACAGTTATAAAGTTTATTTTTATATCAATTTTAATAAGTTAATATAAGAATAATTAGAAAATATTTCACAAATTTTATGCAAGGATGTAAGTATTCGGTTAATTCAGTTTAAACCAAACTAAATTAGTTAGTTTTTACTAAACTTAACTCTATCTATTCTTATATTTCATTTCTTTTGTACAGTAATTAATGTGATTTTTTGAGCAACATTTGTTTATAATTAATAATTTAAATGAAAATTTTAATACACTCTTATTTATTTGAGAAATTGTATATAATTTTTTGAAATTTGTATTTAAAAAGAAGTTATTTTAATGCATTAAGTAAATTATAAGTGAAGATTATAAATTTAAATTATTTAATACCCAAGTGCCTTATAAGATTGACCATTTATCAAGCATTTATCAAGATTGAGAATTGTATTAAATTCATAAATTAAAGTGATAATAGAAGCCCACAAGGGAATTAAAAAAAAAAAAAAAAATTTCCAATGGTTGTGATTGTAAAGAGTAGGTGTGAAAATGTTAGACGTGGTTAGTGCTTTACCATTTTTAGGTACTACATTACATAATACACATGATGTGCCTACACACACACACACATATATATATATATAATATATATATACACTGAAAAATAAAATAAAGAAAGTGATGTGCTTCATAAATGGGCTAGAGTGAATATTAGGACATATATATATATATATATATATATACACTGAAAAATAAAATAAAAAAGTGATGTGCTTCATAAATGGGCTAGAGTGAAATAGGACATTGTTTGGAAACACGGTTACAAATATCGATTAGAAGGGGAAAAAGACAAAAAAACCAATAATACATTTTTCTTTTGACATATCATGCACAGATGCTTAAAGGGCATTGGAATATATTTTGTACTAACATTCTATGTTAGTGTTTTTTTTTTTTTTGGTTTGATTATGAGGAATGGAGGGGATATTTGAAAAGAAAATAACATATGAAATGTTTATAAGAAAAATGCATGAAAAGAAATTTTACTGCTTTAATCAATATATTTTTCAAGAAGTGATTTTCTTAACTGCCTACAACTGCAATAATAATATCAAAGGGAACCAGCAAGTGTTAAAAAGATGACAGCTGAAGGTTCGATCTTCATAAATGAAGTAAATACTCGTTGTGAGCATTTTCCCTCAATGGACTGACTTGGTGTGAGCAAGATTTAGTTCTAATCTGGTGATTTAAACCTAAAACAAAAATGCTAAAACGAGTTTATATTTTTTGTAAAGAAGAAAACCAAAATGGGTAGAGGTTATAAAGAAAAATAGAAAGAAGTCTAATTTTTTTGCTATAGAGTATTCCCAAAATGGATTGGTGAAGTCCAAATCCAAATGGGAAAACTGTGAAATGAACATTTTGCTTGAAGAATTGGATATGCCCAAAAGCATAGGCCTTGAAAGGAATGGGCACCTCACTTCCATTTCTAAGCAAAATGCACAGGACCAAACATGTGTAAAGCCCACATCATTATATTGCATAGATAACATATAAAAATTATACATTCAAATTTAATGATTTACTTAATAATTTATTATAATTTAGATAAATTTAATAATTTTTTTAAGAGACATAAAATTTCAAACTTGATAAGTATTATAAAAAAGAGGTAGTATATATTTATGAGCATTGAATTTAGTAAAAAACTTGTTCGGTTTAGTTTTAAATTGAAAGTGAACTAAAATTGGTAATTTTCGGAATTCATTTATAAAACAGCTTAAAAAATTTTTATTATAATTTTATTTTTTAAAAACAAAATCGATGATTTCCACATAAAAAAAAAAAAAAAAAGATTAAAATTGAACTTTGAAATCATTTCTAGAAGCGATCTGATTTTCTCGTTTTAAACTAAACTAAAATGGGTAAGTTCAAAGCGGAAATAAGTGTGTTCGTGCCTATCTCCACAGTAATACCGACAGTGACAGAAATCTGAGCATTTCAATTTTCAACAAAAAGTCTGTTTCCGTTGTCAGTTTCAGTTGCAAGAAAACAACTCATAGTCATCGACATCGACATCGACATCGCACGACCAAATGTGGGCCCCACCCAGCATGAGTCATCTCTGTGACAGCGAATACAAACTTATCCAACCCCTCGTATCACACCATTCATTGAGCTGTGTGTGATCTTCATCCATTTCAATAAAAATAATCTTTTGTAGGAGTTGATCGATCGATCATGCCGCTACCTTTTCTTAATATTAATTTAATAAGTTAACGCTGTTTTAAAACTATTTCATCCGATCCAAAATATATATTTTTTAAAGTTTTTTACAAAAATTAAAAATTAATTAATTTTTTTAAATTATAACAAATTTTATGAAAGTAATATGATCAAATTATTATTTATTTCAAAATTAATAATTACTTGTTAAATATTTATTATATTTAGTGTAAATAAAATTAATATTAAAAAAATATTGTTTGTATAAATTAAATAAAGATATATTAGAGAATTAACAATTTAATTTGAGACATATAAAAAATAAAAGTATGTCCATTGTAAAAGGTTAACGAATAAATTAATGAAAATATAAATATTTACTGAAACGAGATATTTCTGAATGTACATTATAAAAAGTTAGAAGTAATGTTTAAATTTTTTAGGTTGTTATTGGTTTACTGCGTGAACGGAGTCAAAATATAATCGTTTTTCCATTTAAATATAAATTCGATTGGTTAATAAATACAATTAAAAAAATATTATTGCAAAAGATTGTAATTATGAATTTTAATTTAGCAAGTTTATTGTGTAATAAGAAAATTACTTTAATTAAATATTGATAAATAAAATATTATATATGTAATTATATTAATATTATAAAGATTTGGACAAACATAAAAAATTTATATTAAATTTTGACAAATATAAAGAACACAATAAGTAAAAAGACTATTTAAACAATGGATATTGATAATATACATATCGTAGAAAATTATATTTCATCAATATTAAATTAAGTGTTATTCAATATTAAATAGGAATTAAAATTCTATTATTAAAATTTTTTTTACCATATTATTATATATATGCTTATTTTGTCTAGAGAAAAAAACCACCACAAACATAGGGATTAGAATCGTATTATACAAGTTTTATCTTATCATGCTACCATATATATATATATATATATACTTTCTTTCTTTAGAGAAAAAATCACCATAATGTTTATTTATTTTGTTAAATAAATTTTATTTTATTTGGTTATTGAGATTTTTTTTGAATTTTGCTGGAAATAGTTTTTTTGTTCACTATAAACGACACCTTAAAAACTTGTTGTCTTAATTTTATTTTGTTTTTGTTTTGCTATTTAAATCATAATTTTTAATAGTTTTAACTAATTTTCAATATTTTAATCAAACAATAGAAAATGAAATATGAAAAACACTTTCAAAAATAAGTTGTAGCTTGGAAATAAATGGAGTCTTAAATTTGTTATCGCTTTGTACCCTCTGAGAAGAAAGTGTTACTATTTAATGTATAATTTGCTACATATAGAGGTAACATGCTGCTTATGGTACATTCGTAGCCAATTAATTTCTGTAGTTGATTCTTTTATTTAGAATTGTCACTTACATGTTGATTTTTCTATATTTAATTTCAACATTTATCCATTATTTTTCTAAAAAATTTAATACTTTACAATTATAGGTTGATTTTTTGTATTTGATTGTCATGTTTATCTATTATTTCAGTAAGAAATTTAGTGTTCTTTAATAAGGTTACAAATTAAAAAGATGAATAGGTATGATCACGCTTTGATTTTAAACTGAAACCAAATCGATTAAAATCGATATCGAACCATGATCAGCAATGACTAATTTCAAATGGCAATCGAAGCCAACCGTTTCCATTTTAAACAGTAAAAAAATATTTTCAAAGAAACTCCTAATTTTTCCTTTTATTTTACTGTAATTTTGGAAATAAAATTTAAAACTTTTTATTAAATTAGTTTAGTCTTTTCAATATTATTATTATTATTATTTTATTATTTATTGAAGCTATGAATTAAAAAAGAGATTTAAAAAAATTATCTAATTTTCGATTCCAAATTGACATGAAATCTAAACCGAAACAAATCAAAACCAACAATTTCAAAACTATTTTAGAGCCATTGAAAAGTTGTTCAATATCATTTGAAATTTTTATGACTAGAATCGGTAATTTTTAAATCCAAAACCGACGGTTTTGAAAGTGCCCTTGACATTATGTTGCATCCACGATTAAATACAAAAAAAGTGCCCTTGACATGCAATGTCTTGTTCATAATAAAATTGGGACTAATATTAAAAATGAACTAAATTACAATTAGACTACTCTGTAAACAATAAATTAGTTACTATTATTTGAATTTTCATGTAGATTTTGAAATAATTATAAAATCTTAAACACAAAGCCTGCAAAAATTGAACTACTATGAAAGTATGAAGTTACTTAACTCATAAACCGCTACAGTTACTTTATTTTTTATATATATAAAAAAAAAAAAATCTGATTTGAAGAAAATTTAATGTGCAATTAAATCAACTTCCAATGCAAAACCTGAAAACGTCGAATCATGAATAAACAAAAGGAAAACCCATTTGGGCTAGTTGTATCTTCTTTTCCGTTAACATCTCTCTCTATAAATGGCCATCACAACCTATTTTTCTTCTACACAACATCACTACTACATTTATATTACTAAACATGACCAAGTCAAGCGACTTAATCCCGGGTCTTCCAGAAGAAATAGCTCTCGAGTGCTTAACTCGACTCCATTACTCAACGTACCGAGTTGCTTCCCGAGTTTCCAAACGCTGGCGTCATCTTCTTCGAAGCAGAGAGTTTTATTACCAGAGAAAACTATCTGCTCGTACCTATAAAGCTGCTTGCTTTATCCAATCTATTCCTCTTCAATCTGACTCTAAATCAACTGGGTCACCCAGTTATGGAGTTTCTATGCTTGATCCAATCAGTGGAGCTTGGGAACGAGTTGACCCGGTTCCTGACTATCCCGATGGTCTTCCTTTGTTTTGTCGAGTTACTAGCTCAGAAGGGAAGATTGTAATCCTGGGAGGGTGGGATCCAGTGAGTTACGAACCACTGAGTCACGTGTTCATTTATGATTTTACGACTCGGAAATGGAGGAAGGGTAAGAATATGCCCGAATATCGTTCTTTCTTCGCTGTAGGCGAGTTAAACGGTCGAGTTATAATCGCCGGAGGTCATGAAGAGAATAAGAACGCGCTGAGTTCAGCTTGGGTATACGATGTGACTCAGGACGAGTGGAATGAGTTACCAAAGATGAGTCAGGAGCGAGACGAGTGCGAAGGCGTAGTAATCGGGTCGGAGTTCTGGGTTGTGAGTGGGTATAAAACAGATCGTCAGGGACAATTTGAAAGCAGCGCCGAGTCAATAGAACTCGGAGCGAGAGAGTGGAAGCGAGTTGAGGATGTATGGAGAGGGAGTGGGTCCCCTAAGTCATCCTGTCTCGGAGTGGATAAAGGAGAAATACTGGTGAGCTGGAGTGGGCCAGATATGGAGGTTAAAGTAGGGACTTCTGGGGTCCAGAGTGGTGAATGGACAATAGTGTCCGGATCAAGTTACCAAGGTGGGCCTCAAGAGTTTTACATGATGGAAGGACAAAATGGTAAATGGAAAAAGTTAAAAGTGCCGGATGAATTTTCGGGGATTGTTCAATCTGGTTGCTTTTGGGAGATATGAACAAGAGGCAAGAGCCGCTCGTGAACATCTTCTCTTGTGTATATAGAACTCTTCCATTGGCTTTGTGAAACTACAAAGAAGGAACCTTTTCTTCAAGTACTTCCAAATGTCGTTAAATATATTAATTTTGAATGCTTTCAAAATTTTTTGAAAATATCATATATCATAAAAATACATCAAATATGTTTTCAACACATATACATTAAAAAGTGTATTTTTTATAACAATAAAAGTATAAGGTTCATAGTTCCATTGCATCAATTAAGTGACATCCGATTGATAGAAGTTATTATAATGATTATGCGACATTTGCGAGCTTATCAAACATATATTAGCCTAATTCAGAAACTTCTATTGGATTTACCTCAAGATAATCAGTGTTCATCTTCGCGCATCAACCGGCTACTCGTGCGCGCACACACAAAAAGAATTCATGGGGTTCCAAGTACAGAAATTAGATCTACCATTTAATACTCCACATTAGCACAATTAAACAAATTCACAACAAAACACAATCAACAGAATCTCATACACAAGCTAGTCTAATTACTTCAAGAGGGATGAAATGATAATCAGCAAAGACAATCAAGAACATCAATCAGTGCAGAAACTGAATTAACCATAAACTGTAAACATTATTTCTAAACTGCAACTCTTTGATTCTAGGTAAACTGCTATCAGCTAATAATAATACATGTTCCTGCCAAGAGATTTTCTCTGTCCATAATGCTGTCCGCCTTATACATGTATCCATTACCTAGAGTAGTCTAGGCTCCGGCTCCGACTTCTACTTTGGGTTCTACTCCGGCTCCTTGGGGCATAAGGAGACCTTGAATAAGACCGCTCCCTATACCTTCTGCCTCTTGGAGAAATAGACCTGATACATCACAAAAGCAGAAAAATAGTAATCAGAATTGCATACCCTTATTTTTCAGTTTCATCTACCATCAAAGTGGTTGTGATAAAAATGCTATAGATAAAAGATGAAACCATCAATCAGCATACCTTGAATAGTGCCTTCGCCTGGGAGAAGGGGAATAGTAGCCTGGACTCTGAGAATAACTTCGTCCATATCTAGGTGATCGTGAATAATGAAGTGGAGACCGCCTGTAGTCATATGACCGACCCCTGATAACACAGATCGTATGTACAAATTACCAATGGTGCCAATCTAAGCATTCAACCAAATACTGCAAATAAAACAAATATCCATCATTACCTTACACGTTCTCTTGCCCTCATTTCTGCTGGTTTCTTCCTATTTTCCTCCGCAAAGACAACTGTCAGCTCCCGACCAAGTAGAATTTCACCATCCATATGATGCTTAGCATCTGCAGCATCAGCTGGATCCACATATTGGACAAATCCAAAGCCTCGCGGCTCCCTGTGCAGCATCCATACACCAAGACTCAATAAAAAAAGTGCACATATAGATAAACTGTCTGTGTGCTGACCTCAAAAAAGAGTGCAACTTCCAGTGTATCATGGACAGCCATCACAACACTAGCAAACACCTCGAACCATTAAAATAAAAATAATCATGGCTGCTAACCTTGGTGGAGCCAATATTTTAATTGAGTTGGATATTCTTCAAGACTTGAACTTCAATCTTGGTGTTCATTAAGGTCATCTTGAACAGTACTCTTATTAGTTGATTGGTGTCTTCAAGTGTACTCTTATTACTTCATTTGTCTTCAGAACTTTCAATAAAAACAACCAAATTCCCATAAACATTCCCATTAACCGGATGTAACAAGAAACAACCCCATCATCAAATGGTTGTGATAGATATGAGGATGACAGACAAGTTCACAAACTTTACAGTTAACAAGCATGCTAATTTGACAATACCTCATGTTCAAACTACTTTTAACAAAATAGTTTAGGCTTACCCAGTATAATAATCACGAGGCAAATATATATCCTTGAGAGGACCAAACTGCCCAAATGGTCCACGTAGATCTTCTGGCCTGCCCAAAAACATTATACCGGAAAAAAAAAAAAGCTGAGATAATGCAAAGTTTGAATAGGCTGGCTTTCAACAATATAGTAAAACTAGGGTTGACTACTGCAGATTTGCAGACAAAGAAGCTCATAATGTCTAAATAAAACATAACAACACGACAAAGAAGCTCATAATGTCTAAATAAAACATAAAACCACGACAAAGAAGGTCATAATGTCTAAAGAAAACATAACACCACAAGAACAATATCATGTCCCCAAAATTTTATCATGGACTTTGGGACTTAGGATTTCCTTATAGGATTCCCTTACCTTAGCAAACACTCCAACATATAGGACTGAAATGGAAGGGGAGAAAGCCCAGGGAAGGCTAACAGGCCGGAAGGATAGAGTTAAAACATCTCCTCGACTTCCAATCATATATTTTGCTTTCACAATTGCAGATTTCACCAAATAGATAATAGAAATTAAACAGCGGGATAGCAAAGAGAGTAGACCTGCAGTCATGACGAAGATTGCGAACCAGAAGACTGGTAGGAAGATCCCTAGAACGAGCTCCATAACGACCTCTAGGACTGGGACTGCGGCGTCTCCTTCCATAACCCCTAGGAGGTGAAGGACTGTAACTGTAGCTCCTGCCCCTCATTATTTCCAATATCAAAACCTAAAGACAACAAGTAAAGCGTAATCATTAGACATTTTCAAGATCCAATACTTATCTTTTGAACAAAGAGAATAAATAAACAAAATCAAAAAGAAAAAAGTGGGAAACTCCAACTCTGATATGCACCACCATAGAAGCCAAAACTGAAATCTATAGCGATTGTTTTACCAATGTTGAAGCCGAAGGAAGCATTCTAAAACTCATACTCCCCACTAGGCTACTACTTTTAACAAACCAAGAAACCTATGTAAATTATTTCTTTAACAAATTATTAAGAATCAGAATCATCGATCGATAAACAGAGCAATTCTTGTGCTCCATTAGTTAGACACAATTAGCAAGCAAATATATTGCTTCTTCTACTAATCAAAAGAACAAGCATATTGAATATCCCCCCAACGTATATTAATACACAAACATCACATAGACCAGTTGAAATTACATCATCTCACAACCAAAGCAATTCCCAGAAACAAACGTTCAGAAATTTCCAAAATTTAACGGTAAAACATTCAAATGGAGAAAAACAACAGATATACAAACCCTAAATTCCTAGAGTCAACAAGAACCAAGAGATCAGAAACAGATCAATACATTTGAATCGGAATTATATATATAAAAAAAGGAACAAAAATAGAGGAAGAGAAAGCGAAACTTACAGATTACGGATTAGTTCGACAAATACGTTCGCTCTCCTTAAGCTCTAACAAACACGGAAAGTGGATGTAATGCTTTGGTGATGATCGATGATAAAGGCGCTTTCTCTCAAGTTCGAGAAGTTTCTTATTGCAGTGATTTGTTACCATGACTCGCAACAGGATGTGTGTTCATGCTACTTCTTAGAAAATACCCATCCGATCCGTAGTGAAATTAATGGACGGCCTCGATTCAAAATTGAATGAGGTGTCAGGCCCAGCCCATCAAAAGTCGAGAAATGGATCGAACTAGCCCGTTAAGAACTAACCCAACCCGGACTAATAGTTGTAGGGCTAGCGATCCTTCTCTTTCTCTTTCATTTTCTAAAACCCTACAAAACCCTCCCTGACAGTCTGAACCATAAAACGCTAACAGAGAAACATCTCAGTGGTTGATTAACCTGAAAATAGAGGGACGAGCTTCGCTAAGATTTCGAGTTTCTTAATCTAACAGAAAATGGCAGCTTCTTCTAAGAAGAAATCTCAGAATAGGAAGTTGAAAGATGGTCCAAAATTTAATAAAGATTCGAAGAAGCCGTTTAAAGCTAAGAAGAAGGACTCAAACGACACTGTTCCTTCTGAAGCCATTTCCTTGCAGCTGGAAGATGACGTTCCTGATTTTCCTAGAGGTTCCCCGACTCTAATGTTCTAATTTTCTACTTGATTCCTGAGAAAACGGATATTACGGAAAACTGTAGCAACTGAATAAAATTTAGTATTCTTTTGATGTTAGATAGTGAATTCACTGATACGAGCTTAACGTAGTTACATGGCCACCTTTGCTTTTCTTGAGGATTGGAAAAAATGAATTTGGACTTGAAGCATATGTGCGGCATATTTTGAATTAGGATTTAGTTTAATTGAATCATTTGAATGTGTATGTTGCACAAGTTGGTTAGATACTAAAGAAACTTACAATTTGGAACGTATTTTTGGTTAAGAGAGCTTATTGAAGTCTATGAGGTTCCTTGTGTTTGTATTGCTGATTCTTATATGTATTCAGGTGGAGGAAGCTCTCTGAGTCAAAGAGAACGCAAGGAAATTCGGGCAGAAGCTGATGCAGAATTTGAGGCCGAGGAAAGGGTTTCGGTGATGAAGAAGAAGGGAAAGAAATTGCAAAATAAGAAGCATTTGGAAACTGATGATTTTGGTTCTCTTTTTGGTGAGGGGTTGACTGGAAAACTTCCACGATTTGCAAACAAGATCACATTGAAGGTATGGAGATGAACCTGAATACTAATGTCCTCTGCTCTCTGTTTGTCTGGTTGGCTGAGGAAAATTTAACCTTTTTTTTTCATTTATTCTTTTTAACTTCTCCCTTTTTGGGTTTACGTTACGATATATCTGCAACTCAAATTAAGTTAGGTGGTTTTTTGGAAACGCAAGGCTTATGGTTTAGTTTTTTGTTCTCATAAACTAATTGCAGAATTCTTGTTGCCTGCTAAAGTCACATTTACGTTAGAGCCATCTCGCAAAACTGGTGATGTCAGTGTAGGAATTCAATTGCAAATTAAATAGCGTGATTAGGATGAGGGAGGAGAACTGAAGCATCGATAAGAAAGTGTTACGGGATTCATTGATGATAAGAAGCAATTGGGGGCAAGCCTAGTGAATACTACCAGTAGATGCACTGGCTCAGAAAGTTGACCATATCCAACTTGTATGAGTGAATAAAATGAGATTCAAATAGAGTAGTAATAATGTAGCTCCAAACCAAGTAGGATAAAGGGAAAGAATGTATATTGCCAACCTTAACTGGATGAGATTAAAGTTTAACCAGGTTGATTTGAGTGAGAGTGAGAGTATAACTTTTGAATGGGATTGTGATTGTTGATTTCTAAGATTTTAATTTTTGATATGGTTAGCTCCAGACAATGTTTTTGTTAAATTACATAATATTTGAGGTTGTTAAGTTTAAGGCATTAAGGAAATACCAGCTAGGTGAACCTTTAAATTGGTATAAATATTATCTTTAATCAGGAGACTAATTTAAAGACCATAAGGGTGTACTATTGATCTTCATATGTTATTTTAGAAAAAGAGCTAATTAAAGTGGCCCTTGAAGGGTGTCCTTGGTCTTTTGATGATAAGATCTTAATGGATGTAAATGCTGGATTTGCAGTTTAATGACTTATTGTTCTTAGTCTTTGAAAAAGTTTTTTGGGAAGTATGACCATGATCTATTATTCATCTTGTGAGTGTTGTTCTTTTGGTACTTGTAACTTCATCTAGTATGTTTATGCTTTCTTTTCTTTTCTTTTCTTTTCTTTTCTTTTTTTTTTTGTACATAGGATTCATGATGTATGGTGTGTGATAATTAGGTCATAGCAAGTGTCCAAAAGGTGTAGCTCGATCCGCTATGATTTTTTCTTTTGAAAATTTTTTTTATAACATAGTTTGTGAGTCAAAACAAACAACTAATGAACATTAATCAGACAATGGATGATAAGCACGCAAAATGATCCAAGCTAAAGTCATATTTACAGTGGTCTTATAGCAGCAGCATGAAGTTCTATAGTTGGCAGTGATAATTTGTTATTATACTTTTGAAGAGGATTTATGAGTATATCTTGTTAACTTTTTGCCTATGAATATACACATGGCTTTCCGTGGGACCATCAGTTATTTTCTCTATTGGAGTTCATGAAGAGGTCTTATTGATTGGAATTACGTATTAATTTATTTCAATTTAATGCCATCACTTATCAAAGTCAGAAGAGCTGTATTTATGTGTGTTTTATGTCTTTTGTTTTTTCAACTTTGGTTGATCTTTTGAATAGTTCGATTACAATGTAAGAGATAATATTAATTGTCTGAAAATTTTCTTAACCTCTTCCTGATGGGCACAGAATATTTCCCCTGGAATGAAGCTTTGGGGACTTGTTGCTGAAGTAAATGAGAAGGACCTTGTAATTAGTCTTCCTGGGGGCTTACGTGGGTTAGTGCGCTCAGTTGATGCAGTTGATCCTGTTTTGGGTGATGAAATTGAGGTGCTAAAAGCTCATATAGAATCACCCCCCCACCCCCCAAAACAAAATATCATTTTAGCATACATTGGTCAATAACTTGTTTGCTTCTTTTTGCCATTTTCCTTCTTGCAGGACATTGAACGTAATCTCCCAAGTATATTCTACACCGGGCAGTTGGTTTCATGCACTGTGTTGCAGTTGGATGATGATAAGAAAGATAATGGCAAGAGAAAAATCTGGCTTTCTTTACGCCTTTCATTGTTGCATAAAGGCTTTTCATTAGATGCTATTCAGGAAGGGATGGTATGAAAATCCAAATCACTGAAATATGATTTATGCTATTCAGGAATGTAACCTGATGTTGGATGATGAAGACTGTAGTTATGTGAGGGCATTTTAACTTTAGGCTGTTTGTTTACTGACAAAAACCTGTACTCGAAAAAATTAAAAATAATTAAAAAATATATAATGTTTTAGATATAAATGGTCTAATAGGAGCTAGGATTTCCAGAAATATTATTGTTATTGCTTCAACTCATAGTCCTGAAACAATTAGATACATGAATTAAGATATTCTTTTATTGTCTTGAACTTGCTGGTTGTCTAGGTTAAGTGATTAAGTTGGGTGCCAGAGACTGATTACTATATCTTGTGTAAATAGCTTGGTCTATGTAATTTACAGTGGTTTGGAGAGTTTATTTACTGAGCTTGTCCAGCATGTCCAGCAAGTATGCAGCCTCCTGATTTATATTCATGCAATCAATCGTATGTATGAAATTGGTTTAACCCTGCTGTTTACCATAATTATCATGATTAACATCCTAGGATGTGTTGTGAAGTATCATGAGCTGAAGGTACATAGGAATGTCATTTGTCTCATGTGGTGTATGATGTCCATTCTGTTATCTTAATTTTTTATTGGATGAATGATTGATGGAACAATGACATCTTTGAGCTTCTATTTTAACAAAGTCTCTGCATTATTATGTCACATGCTTTAGCAAGTAAAACAAATATTATGAACTTAAGTAATATTCATCGAGACTTGTGGATTAAGTTTGTCCATAGGATTGTAAAACAGGCCTTATATTGAAGCTTTGATGTGGTGAACCAAATTAGCTAGTTTGTCTTTCTAATAGAACATTGAACTAAAACATCCTAATGAATTTGTTTGTTGAGGGAAGTCTCTGTATGTCTAACCTTCTTCAAACCTCATCAAATAGTGTGTGAAATCTCCCCCCACATCACCATCAACCTTTCTTGACCTAGAGGAGAAGAAAGCAAAAGCAATAACCATATCTGCGTGCAAAATATTGGGTTGTGAAGGCGACAGCCGGATTTCAACTGTGGAAAAAGGATTTGTAGACCATGCTTTATCAATTTGCCATGAGGAAATTCATTTTGAAATGTTCTTTTTAAATGTTCAAATAGTATATTTTTGCTGTTATCTTTTGAACCTTTTAGTTTCATTGAGAGACGTTAACAATTTAATTACCATCCGTCAAAGATGGTTGCCATGTCTGTTTGTTTTCCATAGGAACTACCAAGGATATGATGTTTTCTTCCTTTGTGCATAGGCCTTTCTTAGTTTTTCTAATTGTGCACTGTTCATGATTGCAGGTTCTCATGGCATATGTCAAAAGCGTCGAAGATCATGGCTACATTCTTCATTTTGGATTGCCTTCTTTTATGGGTTTTTTGGCAAAGAACAGCCAAAATGGTAAAAATAAGTCTTTCCTTTTATGTTACCATTTTTGTAATCTACTCTCAGTACTTCTCTATGTATTTGAATCTACAGGGTGTTCGCTTTTGGCTCTCTTCTGCTTTTCTTCTTATACAGTACTCTAATTATAATTTTGTAATGCTTGTATGAGTATGTATTCTTGTCTAGAGAGGGAAAGAATTCTACTGCTGATCCTCACTATCTTTTGAGCTTAGCTCTGGGAAAGAATTGAGAAAACCTTTGAAGCATATGAACTCTATTTTTTGTTCAATAAGAGCAATATAGACCAAAACATCATGAAAGCTAGAATATAAGCCGAGACCTCGAAATTAAAGAAGGTGTTTAATGAACATATACATTGATCATAACCTCATAAGCTAAGAATGATTACCTCTTAGCTAAGAAGCTTAACCTGCCAGGGTACTGGTATTGCTACAAGGCTAACTATCTTCCAAATTCCAGCTTCTTGCCAGCAGAAGATTTCTTTTAGTTTTATAAAGTGTTTGGTTCTATTTTTGGTGTCTCTTCTCAAAAACATATATCTGAGGATGGGTATAAAATGGTTTTTGGGAAAATCACAGTTAGCATTTATTTTTTAGTCCTTAGTTGTTTTCATTTTCTTGTTTGATCCAAGCATTGAATATCATTGGAGACAAGTTGAAAGCAAAAAAGTGATTTGGTTTCGAGTTTTCAAGAGAAAGAAAGGTTCTCGGGAACTAAGAAAATGGTTGTGCTGAGAACAGAGTTGTTTTCTAGAGAACCAATTTTAAGAAATAAGAACTAAATAGGACTTGCAGGGCACCTAAAGAATGTCCCCTATGATTCTTGTAGGCAATGGGAGATGTTTACCCAATTAGAATTTATGTATCCTATTTAGGGTAGTGTTTGTTTGATTCCTTTTTTCATTTTGCTTCATTTGCCAATACATGGTTGCATCAGAAGTCACTTTTACATCAGCTGTTGCCTTTTTACCTGACGGACAATCCAGCGCTGCAAGTTGGTTTTTGAGTGTCCTATTGAAAAGACTAGTCCCTAGCAATGTTTCATTTCATGCATTGTCGTTCTTCAATTGATTGTCTCTAAGGAATACTAGGAGTCTGGCTGATGTTGACTCTTTCAGTCCAGCTTCTTCTGCCCTATGCTTTACCCTGAGGTCTTTGGTTTGTATTTAGCATAGTTGGATATGGGCACATGGCAATAAAGTATGCTAGCAAACCCAGAGACACATCTGTATAGGAGAATTTCCTGGACACTTGGTCCAAGTAAAATACTTTTTAATGCACGGTTTATTCTAAAGAACAAATTAATTAGAAAAAAGATGGTGAACTGCTTATTTGCTTTAATTCAGCTATTGTTTATTCATTGAGTGGGTCTTGCCCCCATGAAGTTGCAATGCTTGACTGTGACAATTTGAGTCATTGCTATTATTTTATGCCGATGTTACAGGCTTTAAGCTTTACTTTCTTGGACTTTCCACATGCATGACACAGGCACGGACACAAACGAAGGGACATGAGATATCATGCTTTTAGCGTCATCTAATTCTTATAGTAAACTCTTCCTGTGATTGTAGAGAACACGAACTCTGAAGTGAAAACAGGGCAACTGTTGCAAGGAATTGTTAGAAGGATTGATAAGACTCGTAAAGTTGTTTATCTAAGTGCTGATCCAGATGCTGTTTCTAAATGTGTGGTATGCTAATGTTTTCTGATCACTCTCTTTTCTTTCTCTTCCTCTTTTGCATGTGTTGTGATTGTTGAATTCTTGTGCAGATGAAGGATCTTAAGGGAATTTCAATTGATCTTCTTGTTCCAGGCATGATGGTTAATGCCCGTGTACAGTCCACCCTCGAAAATGGGATTATGTTGGCATTCTTAACATATTTCACTGGAACTGTAAGTTTGCTGTGATCTTGTCATAACGCCTAATCATATCATATTGTAGAATCTAGATTCAGTCATGGGTAACTAGCATTTGATTTTGATTACTGCTTTACATCTTCCAATATTTGTATATTTGTTTTTTATCTTTGTTTTACAGGTTGATATATTTCACTTGCAAAATGCTTTTCCCACTTCAAACTGGAAAGATGATTACAACATTAATAAGAAGGTGTGTAATTAATTTTACTCTCTAACTGATCTTGACACATTTGACTCTGTTGATTATCACAATAATACAATATTAATATTTTGCTCAATGTTTTTCATTCAAAGCATGCTGTCTGTGAATTAATTGTTAGATGTTGTGGGTAAACTGCAATTTGCCTTCCTGTAATGTCTCTTTCATTGTGGTCTTTTACTGTATTATTTACTTCTAGTTTGTCATGTAGGGTAGACATTGTTATGCATGTTTAATTTATTACCCGTATAATTGCCAACAATTTTTCTGCTGCTAGTTACTAATATTCTGCTGGTTCGACTCTCATTTTGATGTAGGTCAACGCTAGGATATTATTTATTGATCCCTCTACTAGAGCTGTTGGCTTGACTCTCAATCAACACCTGGTCCAAAATCAGACTCCTCCAATGGTAAGTCTAGTATATTTTTATGGAAATATTTGTATATGGTCATTTAGCCTTGAAAATAGATCTTTAATGATAACGTGGTCAGATTCTGGAGCTGAAAGTAAGCTGGTTTTTTTTCAGAAATAGGAATTAATTGGAGTCACCAATAGAAATTTAATGGAGCTCATATTATGGCTCAATGCAGGGCCTGGTTGTGCTGACAATTTCTTAAAAATTTATTATAGGTTTGACTTGTAATCTTTTGCTTTGTCACATGAGCCAAAGTATTAGTTGTTCCATGCACTTAACAAAGCTGTATATTGCTTCTTGAGGACTCTGTGTATGAGATTCTGGGGCATACCTAGTAATTCAGTGCTTAAGGTTATTCTTGTTTGTACTGGAGCGTCTGTAGGGTTATATGTCTTTTTTTTTTGTTTTTACTCAGTTGGCTCCACCATTGATGTTCTGATGCTCATACATTTTTCAAGCTGTCTCAGGCTTTACTTTCTAGTTTTAACTGAGGTTCCCTTTCTCCCCTTCCTTGGAACTGATGACTGATTTAAAATGCAGCCTGTTAAAGTTGGAGATATTTATGAGAGCGCAAAAGTTGTTAGAGTAGATAAAGGCTCAGGTCTTCTGCTTGAAATCCCGTCCACTTCAGTGACAACTCCAGCTTTTGTTAGCGTATGTTCTCTCTCTCTTTCTCTCTCTGTATATACGTATGTGTGTGTGTGTGTGTGTGTTTTTTCCCTTAAATTATCTAAAATCATTTGGATCTTTTACTTGATTGTTGGCTAATTAAAATTTTGTGATCAACGACAGATATCTGATGTAGCTGAAAGTGAAGTAAGGAAGCTTGAGAAAAAGTTCAAAGAAGGAAATAAAGTTCGCGTCCGAATTCTTGGATTTAAGCATTTGGAAGGCCTTGCAACGGGGATTTTGAAGGTTTTCTACGTACATTAAGTGCTACCTATTATGTTAATATTACATTTCCTTCAATATTCCCCTGGAGTATATTGCTGTTCAATGTGATGCACCTATAGTAAAAACGATCCTCTTTGTCAACTGGTTGTAAGACTTTGTTGAGATACTTGCAAACATGTAAAATGCTCCTTTCTCATTGCCTTGCTTAGACACTTACCTATCTCAGACTGGGAAGCCAATTGATTTCAAGTATTTAGTCAACTAAAAATGGGTCAATATTTGGTGATAATATTTTATTGGTAATGAAGCTAGTTCAACAATATTTCCTTGAGTCGGATGTCAGACACCTCGGCGCAACCATCCTAGTTGTTGGTGGACTTATTGGGTGGATCTCAGATTTCCTAGAAATAGAAGCTGGTTCTTATCTCTTGGGAGATTGACCTCCAGTTTACTATTGCCTGGCCTTGCAGAAGATACTTTTCAAAGCAAAGTTTTCATGTAAAGGATGCATTATGGAGTAAACATATATTTTTTTTCTTTTTTAAATGTTGCATTGAGTCTTTAGGTTAACCATATTCTACTATATTTCTTCTTGCAACTGGATTCATTATTGTTGATCCCTAACTTGTTTGAACTACCTGGATCCTTATTCTGTAATCTATTCTGTTTATGGGGAAATTCCATTGGGATTTGTTATGAAAATTACTTTATCATCACTTCAGACTGTTTGTTTTAGACTTTCTCAGCATTTTTTGCGTCTACCATTTGATTTTGTTCTCGCTTCTTGCTACTGCATCTGTAGATCTACTTTGGATTGACTGAAGAATGTCAAATAATTTGACATTGCCCTTTGTCGGTGCTGCTTCTAATTTTCTATACTTTGAGTTGATTATTCCAACTAAAAATTGTTCAGTGAGCAAATAAATTATTGCTTTTAACTATCCGAGATTATCTTTTGTTATGCTTTCATTTTTTTGTCTCACTGGTTTTAGTTGTGCAGGCAAGTGCTTTTGAAGGCCCTGTATTTACCCACTCGGATGTCAAGCCTGGGATGGTCGTAAGGGCCAAAATCATAGCCGTTGACAGCTTTGGCGCTATAGTGAAATTTCCTGGTGGTCTGAAGGCACTTTGTCCTCTTAGCCATATGTCTGAATTTGAAATTACAAAGCCTAGAAAAAAGTTTAAGGTCACTTCTTAAAACAGTTGCTTTTAGGTTTACTTTTGTGGTGGATGCTAGAAATGATGGCTAATCTTGTAGTTGTTCTTTTGACTCGTGTCAAGGGCTTTTAGCTAATGTCTATTGCTATTCAGGTTGGAGCTGAAATGTTGTTCCGCGTGCTTGGTTGCAAATCCAAGAGAATAACTGTAACACACAAGAAAACTCTTGTATGTTCTCCTCGGATAGCTATGTGCTTTTCATAAATAAGTAGACCCTTGTGGAGTGTACAAATGTTTAATTTATAATAAAAAAATTCATTGCATTTGCTGCGATTACTACTATCTGCAGAATTTTTTCATTTTCATTTTTGTTTTTCATCTTTGCTTTCGCTTCACATGTTCTGGAGTAAACTATCTTGTCCTAAGTTACTAAATTTCTTTGATGCTCACCTACTAGCCTTCAGTATTAGTTGTTGCCACTCTTACTAATTATTCTGATGTATAGATTTTTTTGTTTCTGATTTGGCAGGTCAAATCAAAACTTCCTATTCTTGGCTCATACGCAGATGCAACGGATGGGCTAATAACACATGGTTGGATAACAAAGATTGAAAAGCATGGTTGCTTTGTCCATTTTTACAATGGAGTTCAGGGATTTGCTCCCAGGCTAGTCTCTAAATGTCCACCTTATATTTATGCCAATCTCCTTAATTATACCTAAACAAGAAGAAAGTCCATTTTATGTTTGTTCATTACAATAAATGTGGACCAATTGTGTGCTCAACCATGCATTTGAGTGTGTTTCATGCACATGGTTTGCAAATATGTTTAATTTTTCCCTTTTGAGGTTCTCTCATGTTAAGTATGGATGGCATAACATGTAGTTGGTATAAATGAAGGATCCTAATGTCTCCTTTAGCCATTAATGTCTTTTCATTTCAATTAATTGATGTCATATTGTTGGTTTATTTTAGCATTAAGTTATATTCCTATTTTCACTGATCATTGAAGATTGGTGATCGACGATTCTTGTTCTGTGACAGATCTGAGCTTGGATTAGAGCCAGGAGCTGAGGCAATTTCAGTGTATCATGTTGGACAAGCAGTCAAATGCAGGGTATTGAGTTCTATTCCTGCTTCACACCGGATCAGCCTTAGTTTCATAATGAAGCCCACAAGGTTTGCTTGTCAATGAAATTGTTGCTTCTCATAACTGTATGCCTGTCTCTATGTGCCGGAATTTTGATGCAATACTACATAAAGCTTGTAGCTGTTGACCTTGGTCGACTGTTAAAATAAAGTTGTATTATGTTGTTTCTTAAATGTATGTTTTAGGATGGAATGTTTACTTACTTGCCTGATAAGTGGCTGTTCTCAAAATTTTTTTATTGATTCATTCATCTGTATCCTGCAAGAAATTACACTATGATTCCTGTTGTAAAATTATCATATTGATTTAGGAAATCAAAATGACAGTGTTTGTGAAGAAGAAGCTATAAAGTTGGGCAGCGTTGTTGCGGGAGTTGTTGAGAAAGTAACTCCTGATGCTGTGATAGTATATATTAAAGCCAAAGATTACATGAAGGGTACAATCTTGACTGAGCATTTGGCTGATCACCATGGTATTGATCCTAGCCTTTTGTGGATTTTATCATTAGGGCATCTTTTTGTCAGTGTCCAATTTGGTTTTGTATAATTGCAGGCCAAGCTGCCTTGTTGAAGTCGATCGTGAAGCCTGGATATGAGTTTGATCAACTTCTGGTCTTAGGTATCTTTTGACTAATTGGCCATAAATTTTTGCTTTCTGAAGTATTTATATCATTTTTTTTTTCAATAAGATTGTCCGACATCTAATTTGAAATCCTTTTTCTTTGGGGAATAAGAAACTGAAATGAAAAGAGATGGCCCGAAGAATTATATGCTCATCATCATTCCTGCTTATAATTCTTCATGAAGATTTGCAAGTTCCCATTTTCCAAACCATTCCATTCAAATAGATATTGTATGAAAGTATTCTTTTCTTGTCTTTGCTATCACCTTTTGCTTCCGAGGCATTAGAAGTATAGAGATGCCTGGTGCTGACTTCCAGTATGATTGGGGAGCTTTACCATTTTTTCCCCCCTTGAACTAGTGTTCCAGACACATGAGTATTTCGTGTCCTCATCTATTTATTTTTGTTCTCTTTTCTTATTCTTTTAGTTCTGTGTGAATTCCTTTCCAGTGAGAAAATAAGCCTCCTAGGATATTCTACTTTTGTCTACACCGTGGCCTATGTAGGGGTATTTGTACGTGCATATTGGTAGGATTGAAGCATTAGCTTGTGGGAGTTGACCCTTTAAAAATGTAGTTAAGGCAGTATCGGGGGCTGTAAAATACTTCAAATTGCATAATCTTGGTTTGAGTTTGACTTACTCAAATCGTTCCTTGAGATCATCACTTATCGAAGATATAGAGCTCAATTTCAAATTTTAATTTTGATTATTTAAATGGAGAATCTCTATCAACATTAATTTTGGTTGAAAGCTTGTGAATAGCTCTAAAAAATATTTTTAACATAGTTAATTTCAAAAATTTTACTGATTGGAATGCTTTATTTAAAAATTTATAAAATTAACTATATAATAAGTTCATATAAAATAATTTGAACATATAGTCTATTGATCTACATTATTGAGATAAAGAAAATATTTTTATGATTTATGAATTATATTTCAGTTACTTAACTGTATTCAGCTAGTAAAGGTTGTGAACAAGCTCAATCTTTCCTCCCAATTTAGATCATATTACAACTGTGCAATTTGTATGATCTTTCTCTCTTTTCCTTGTTCTTTACTATTTGCACAAGGTCAGTTTTGCTATAATTATAATCAGTCAAAAGGAGTCAAACCCCCCTTAAATTCACCCTATTGGACAAAACCTGCCTATTCATATGGGCTTCGTGAAGCACCTAATGCTTTGGGAATTTGAAGCTATTCAGAAGTAAAAAGGCTTCATTTTTTCCCCTTTTTTTCCTTGATAATTTGCTATTGCTGTGTGCAAGTCTGTAAGATTGTTTACAGTAAGAATGATATAGAAATTAATTATTTGGAAATATGTGGATGCATTACTGTAGATATTGAGAGCAACAATTTGATTTTCTCTGCAAAATATTCTCTCATCAACTCAGCTCATCAGCTTCCTTCTGAACTCAATCAGATTCATCCCCAGTCAGTAGTCCATGTGAGTATTACAGGTTTCCTACTTATATTTGCCAACCTTATTTGCAGGAATACCTTATCAGCATGAATTAGATTCTTAAAGTTTTCATATTGTATAATTTAATTATCTGCTTTCATATATATGGATTTATTTGTGTGGACCAGGGTTACATTTGTAACTTAATTGAAAGTGGCTGCTTTGTTCGATTTCTTGGGCGTTTGACTGGTTTCTCCCCTCGAAGCAAGGTAAATTTTGTTCGTTATCATCATTTATATAATGAGTGTCCCGGATTTCGAATGAGGCATGCTAAAATTTTTTAGGCATATAGTAAGGAGCTATGCAACTTTATATGGTTCAATCTTTTAGGTGAGGGTCCAGCATTAGGTTTTATATATCTCATACTGCTTATGTATTTCAATAAATAAATGCATGGACACACAATATTTAAAGCAAGTAGCCTGTTCTTAATAATAATTGTGTAAGTACTGGACGTTCATTCTGTTGACATTGAAAGTAGGAAGCTTGATAAGGCAGAACAATGTAATACTTTTTAAAAGGTGCATAGTTAGCCTATTTTAAATTGTATTCTTCCCATTTTTCAGGCAATGGATGACCCGAGAGCACAGCTTGCGGAAGCCTTTTATATCGGACAATCTGTTCGGAGCAATATAATTGATGTTGGTCAATTAACTAATACTAAAGTTTCCAAAATTGTGACTTTTTGGGCTTTAATGATTTTTAATTTGATGTCTAGGTAAGTAGTGAGACGAATAGAATAACACTGTCTTTGAAGCAATCAAACTGTTCATCTTCAGATGCATCCTTTCTTCAAGGATATTTTTGTCTGGAGGATAAGGTAAAATCACTGCGCTGTATTTGCTATATCGTGTTCTCATTATTGTACAGCTATTTACAATTTAAAAAGCTGGAATCTCATCTTTTCACTGGCACTTCTGTTAGCTTATGCTTATTATTGAAAAAAGAACGTGCTACATGTTCTCACCTTTTTTTTTTTTTTTTTTAACACTTGTCCCTTTGAAAGCAATCAAACTGTTCCATCTTCAGATGCATCCTTTCTCAAGGATATTGGTTTTTTGTCTGGAGGATAAGGTAAAATTTCAACTGCGCTGTTAATTTTGCTATATCGTGCTTCTATTATTGTACATGTTCTATTATACAATGTTAAAAAGTGGAATCTCAATCTTTCATGGCACTTCTGTTTAGCTTATGCCTTATTATTGAAAAAAGAAAAGTGCTACATGTTCTCATACCATTTTTTTTTTTTTTTTTTTCTAACTTAATCTCTGTCCCTTTTCTCTTTGGAGATTCGCCCGAGAGTTGAACTTATTCCACATTTATTATATGTAAAGTTCGTAAGGGCCAAAGCGTAAAGTAGATCTCTCATGGCGTGAAGTGATATTATAACATTCTAAGGTCAAGTAGTCATTGAGGCATAAAGTTGGGAGTGGCATTTAAGGACAAGAATAATGGTGGCTTCGTAATGATCTAGCTTCTTCGAAAAATATTATATTATGAGGTCTGTTCTATAAAGCCTAGTTATCAATAGGCGGATTTGTATGGGTATGCACGGGCATCTTATCAATCAGTTTGTATACTGATATATCATTAAACACAGTATCTGTCATATTTTTATTACTTAAACATTTGGTGGCTAAAAGGCTTAAATTAAAACAACTGTTTTTTTGGCAATAAATTGGCCTAATCTAGTAATGGCTCTATAATTGTGCACTAATCTCTTATACTGGGCGGTCAAAAGAATAAACTGGCCTCACTTCATGTAGCATCATATTGCAACAAAGTTAGAGTTCAGAATTTATTTGATATAGTAGATCACAGCAGACGCACATCTACCAGGCGTCGAAAGAACTGCCACAGTTCATAGTGATGTGGGGCACAAAGAAGAGGGAACTTCACCAATATAATATATAGACATTGCATTTGTGTCTCAATTTACAATCTTCTAACAGCTTTCTGGCAAATCAATTCGCTTCCGCAAATAAATCTCAACTATACGCATCATTAGTTTGGGCACTTTTTTTTTTTTTTTTTCTATTCTCGTCTTTTCTCCAGATTGCCGAGCTACAATCTTTAGACTCCAAAGGACCTGACTTATGGGTTGAAGGATTTAACATTGGCAGTGTCATTGAGGCAAAAGTTCGGGAGTCTAAGGAAGTTGGGGTTGTTGTCAGCTTTGAAAAATATAATGATGTTCTCGGTTTTATTGCACATCATCAACGTAATTCTTAAAAAAATATTGTTTTTATTACTTCATTGGCTTAATTGCTTTTCAACTGCTAAGCTCTCATGCATCATAATTGCAACAGTTGGTGGAATGAAAGTAGAAACAGGATCTACAGTTCGAGCTGCAGTCATTGATGTTGCAAAGAGAGATCACCTTGTTGATTTATCTCTAAAGCCGGAGTTTCTTGATAAATCTATAGATAAGGGTTCTACCAACCAGACTCACAAGAAGGTTAAGCCTTGAATCTTACCCCTCTCTGTTTATGTTTCTGTGCATTTGATTCCTGATTATTATAATAGTGAAAAAGAGTGGGGGAAAAAGATAAAACAAAGAAGAGAGGGTAGGAAGTTTAAGAATTGATATAGCCAAAACACTTCTTTTTGGTGTTATAACCAGTATAAAGTGTGAGAGAGATCAGAATTTGGTCAGTTAACTAAACCGGTGAAGCTAGTTTGTAAATAGTTTAACTATGTCCAAACCAAGTCAAACCTATTTGATTTCAGTTTGGACCTTAAATTGAACTCGTATGCATTACAAGTTTCTCTCATTGATTACACAAGTACCTCTTTTTACTTTTTGTTAAATGATGCAATTAATATGTTAGAAAAATGCTTTAGCAAAAACTTGAAGAGGAAATTGATATTAACACCAGAAATATCAAAACAATATAAGTCTTCTTAAGTAACATTTTAAGCATTATAATGACAAATCATTATAATATATAAATGTAATGCTGTATTCAACTTGATAGGTATTGGCATCCAAGCGAACCAGGTGCTAGAAAAAGCTGAAATCTAAGGCATCAAGTTATGTAATTTCATTTTGGTTTTGTTTTTCTTGGATTTAAATATCCTCAAAATATGTTAGTTCAGTTTGAATTTAATTGGGTTTTCATAGCCACTTTGGGTTACCCTGTAAGGAGAGCAACCCGATTCAATGAGGTGGTATATTCACAACAAACAATTTGTTGGTTATTGACAAGAACCACATAGATGATAAAAGCATGAGTCTTTAATTGGATTAGGTCGAATTCATCCGGTTTGATTTAATTTTTCTTCACCCTATTCAACGATTAATTTTTCATGGTGGCTTGTTTATACATTGTTTACTCCTTGGCAAATATAGATTCCAAGCTTTCTTTTCCCCTGTTTCTGTATGTGTTTTTGTAATATTAGGTCCTTTTTTCTTTGAACAAATATTGGGTCTTCTTTACACCATTGATTTCATACTGGATCCCAGAAACGCAAATTAGAGTCTAGGAGCTTGGGGGTGCATCAGACTGTAAAAGCTGTTGTGGAGATTGTGAAAGAGAACTACTTGGTGAGTATTCTTTCGTATGATAGATTGCTGCAAATAATTCGTAAATATCTTCATGCTCATCTGCTCTGCTGAAAGCAGGTTCTTTCAATTCCTGAGCATAACTACGCTATAGGTTATGCATCAGTATTGGACTACAACACGCAGAAGCTTCTGCCAAAACAATATCTTAATGGACAAAGGTGGGAATATTTATTATAATTAGTCTTTAACAATATATGTTCTACTTTATGATTAGTCTTTAACAAACTCCATTCCTTCAAAATATAATTTTGGGTGGAAAAGAGGAGTTGTGAAGCTCTGTGTTTGTGTTTGTGCATTTTTTTTCTTTGTTTTTTTTTTTTTTTTTTTTTTTTTTTTTTATTTTTTTCTTTGTTTTTTTTTTTTTTTTTTTTTTTTTTTTTTTTTTTTTTTTTGGTGGCAAAGGGTTCTAGTATATTTTTTTAATATTGCAACTTCCACATGAAAACCTTAATTTGTTCTCATATATTTCTATAAATTCCACAAGTGTTGTGATCCTTCTTTTATCAATTTAGTGCATGCTTCTTTTATCAGTAAGGATGGTAATATCCTTTTCTGTCCTTATGAACCTTGCCACAGCGGTGCCAAACCAGTAAAAAATGTTACTCATTGGTATGTTAGGTTTCTCTCGCTACTTTTTCTTTGTTTTGATTATGGTTTTGCTAGTTTGTATGTTTTTTTTTTTTTTTTTTTTTTTTTTTTTTTTTTTTTTTTTGGTGCAAGGGTTCTAGTAATATTTTATATTGCAACTCCACATGAAACCTTAATTTGTCTCATATATTTCTAATAAATTTCCCATTGTGATCCTTCTTTTATCATTAGTGCACTCTTTTATCAGTAGGATGGTAACTATCCTTCTCTGTCCTATGACCTGCCACACCAGTAAAATGTACTCATTGTATGTTAGGTTTCTCTCGCTACTTTTCTTTGTTTGATTATGGTTTTGCTAGTGTATGTTTTAACTTTGTCGAGCATGTATCGCTAACATTAGTAGTCTGTTCATTTTCTGCTTTACAAGTGGGCGTCCAATTTATATGGGTCTATTTAATGCAGTGTTATTGCCACTGTTATGGCACTCCCAAACCCTTCTACTTCAGGGAGGTTGCTTTTGCTTCTGAAATCGATTAGTGAGATAACTGAGACATCCAGTTCAAAGAAGGCAAAAAAGAAGTCTAGCTATGATGTGGGATCCCTTGTTCAGGCAGAGGTAATGAGCTTTTGATTGCTGACTGTATTTATTTATTTCGAGGACTGAAAAAATAATGCTGATAAATGTTTTGCCTGTTAGATAACTGATAAAAAGCCTCTTGAAATGAGATTAAAGTTTGGTATTGGTTTCCGGGGAAGGATTCACATAACTGAGGTGAAGCTCTAAATAATCTGGACATTGTTTCTTATGTATTTATTTGAACAACATTTGCAAGCTTCTTGCTCAAATGTTTTCTCATTTTGGGGCTTCTCTTTTAATTTTCATTTTTGTCATGGACAGGTAAATAATGATTGTGTGTTGGAAGATCCATTTGCTAACTTCAGAATTGGCCAAACGGTGACTGCAAGGATTGTTGCTAAGGCTAGCAAAGTAGAGAATAAAAAAAGCAATCTGTGGGAGCTGTCTATTAAACCGAAAATACTTACAGGTAGAATAACAATGTGGTGAAATTTATTTTGCATTGCATGGCTTGAACTGGTTAATAATATTTGACATATGATCTTCAATTTACTACGTCTTGGTACCAATAAGCTGTTGTTCAACGAAAATAGTTTGTCCCTATGTTATGATGGTTTTGGTCCTCGGGTGAGATTTTACTAATCCAAGACTAGAGGAATTGACTTGCTGTGCATTGTCTTGTTTCTGAAATCTCTCCACTTATCTGAATATGGTTCAAAATGTTTTTGGTTTTCTGTTCTTGGTTATTTTCATCTTGAGGGCATAGTTTCTATTCGCTTCTGGGCCTCACATAATCCCTGGGACAGCACTTCCTTTCGTCAGTCACATCATGTTATTAGGCTATCAACTATAACTTTCTGTAGCCTGTATAGTTTTCTGCAGTAATATAGAATGTTATACATGAATTATCTTTTTAACTTTTCATACTCTCTAATGGCACTCCCTTTAGTTTGCCATGGATTGAAAGTTGGTTCTCATGTTCTCCATGACTTAAAAAATGAATCAGTTGCTGGACCTTGGTGAGGCATGGTTCTGGAAATACAATATCAATTGCTGTTGGTATTTGCAAATCATATTTTTTATATCCAGATAATGAAAGCCAAATTATGAATCAGTATTTGCAAATCATATTTTTTAAATGTGGTATTCAAAAAAAGAATCAGTATTTGCAAATCATATTTTTTAATTTTGCTCCCACATTATATACACGACTGGGAATGCGTCTCTTGGGATTATGGATCCATAGTAGCAGGTGGCAAAGTCTAATACAAGAATAATTTAGTTTTCTTATTGTAGCAACATCTCTGAAGGATAATTTAAATCCTTTACCCTCTGACGAGATAGAATCTGAAAAAGCTACCTATTTGTATGAAATAGTAACAATTGCTGCCACATTTAAGCACCACTAATATTTTGTAACATAAAGGGTGCTGTTGTGGAATACCATTTCAAGGCTAAATTCTAAGGCATGTTTGAATACCACACAAAACATTGTCTAGGGTGTCTCTCTCTCCCCCAAGTCCCCTCCATTTGAATTCATGACAATCAAATTGGTACTGTCAAATCATAGAAAACTTTGAATGATAATCAGATCTTGACCCCTTCATTGATGTATTCTTGAGGCCTGCCCATGTTTGTGATACATGATTTGATAAAAATGATTTATTTCTCTATCTAACTTACTGGGATTCATTTTTGATGGTTTTGCTTATTTTTGGATCAGGAATTTAGTTGTGAAATATGTTTTTCTTGTTGATATGTAACCATGACCTGTTATTCCTTTGGGGTATCCAATTCAATGCAGATTACAATGAGCCAGCGGACAAACTTGTGTCTGAAGAGCTTGAATTTAGTTCTGGGCGATGTGTTACTGGTTATGTGTATAAAGTGGACAGTGAATGGGCCTGGTTAGCAATATCTCGACATGTAAACGCACAACTTTTTATTCTTGACAGTGCGCGTGAACCCAGTGAACTTCAAGAATTCCAGAAACGCTTTCTTGTGGGAAAGGCTGTTAGTGGCAATATTCTAAGTTATAACAAGGAAAAATCACTGTTACGCCTGGTGCTACGTCCATTATGTGATAGTACACATGATGGCAAGGCTCTGAATAAGGATAATGTAAATAATGTTCCTCGTGATACTGCTAGTGTTCATATACATGAAGGAGATGTCATCGGTGGCAGAATTGCCAAAATACTTCCTAATATTGGCGGATTGCTTGTGCAAATCGGTCCCCATTTACATGGCAGAGTTCATTTTACCGACCTTCAGGATTCATGGGTGCCTGACCCATTATCTGGATATCATGAAGGGCAATTTGTCAAATGCAAGGTCCTGGAGATCAGCCGGTCAGTGAGGAACACTATTCACATTGATCTGTCGCTGCGCTTCTCTTTAGACGGCATGGCTGGTCAAAATTCAGCTGATCTTTCAAAGAAATTGTATGTCTTAGACCTTTAGTAATTTTGACATCGTTTTCTTCTTTACATTATAGTACTAAATCATTTGGCATATTCATATTGATGAAACTTGCTCTTGCTTGCTTTGGCATAAATGATGCTCCCTATAAACAGTTTCATGATTTTATAGCATCATGAGGCTAGTTTCGTCACTGTATGACCCCTAAAGTTAGAATTTTGTAGAGTGAACTGCATTATGCTGACACAGCTGATGTATGAAAACAAAAGAGTCTTGTTGGCATTCATAACTAATTTTTGGCATTATGTTGGTGGATATATTGCTGCAGCTGGGTTCTCTATTTGCTATTGTACAACGTGGTTGAGTGTCATGTAATGAACTCGATATCAACCACAACTGAAGCGTTATGATGCATAACAAATATGCAGGAAAGATCCAGGATATTCCGTATTTTATCATCTTGTGTTTCTGGGTATAGAATTTGGAAGTTTGTCTGATTTAGTGACAGTTAGAACTATTAGAACTTTGTTTAATTTTGTTTCATGGCTTTCCAAATTTTATTTGGGTTTCCCATTAACCTTTTTATTCTGTTGTTGAATATGGTGCAATGTGATTTCCAGGGATACTTCTACCGAGCATGTGGAAAAGATAGAGGATCTTCATCCTAATACAATCGTACAGGTATAGACAATATTTTGTTTTCCATATTGTCTAATGTGGTTGTTTGTAATGATTTGTATAGCTTCATATCAGTAAGAGGTTATCATATCGAAGGCATTATTGTTGATAATTTGAATATTGCAAATTAATATATGTGGATTCCTTGTATTAAATGCCAATGCTATCATGCCTCATGTTTAAAGCATTGTATATTTTAACTTCATATGCTTTGCATTAAGGACAATTTGTTTTGATTTAAAATTAACTTGGTGGCTATAATGTCCTTGTGTCAAAACAGCTACCTTTTGCCACAGATATATTCATATAGTCGATCTGTCAATAGAAGAAATGTATTTTTGAGATGAATAGGTATGGGATACTAAGACGGTCATCAGTAATGTTGAAACATTTTGAATGTTGAACGTCCGTATGTGCAATAAGCAACACCATGAAATAAGGAAATTAATGATATATACTATAGGTTTTTACAATTATGACTATGAAACCTTCTTGAAATGTGTATCCAATATGTCACACTGGGAAAACTTCACAAGTACGTGCAATTTAACTCAGCAAAATTGATGATTTTGAGAAAATATGAGCCAGGCCTGCCTAGGCAGAAGGTACAGCATCATGATATTTTAAATTGCATTTCTCCAGTCTAATATTGCTTTTCCCTGATGGTTTCATTTATCTTTATAAGGGATTTTGCCTATCCTTAGTTAATTTTGCCTTATTCCACCATATGGTAAATGATCTCATTGTATGTTTCTTATTGCATGAACAAAATATACTAGGATATGTGGCTCATAGTGGTAAATTTATTTGTTTCTTTCTGTTGATTTTGTATGATCTTGTTTTGTTTTGCTTTATTTTTTGGGCTATCTGACAGGGTTATGTTAAGAATGTGACAACAAAAGGATGTTTCATCATGCTTTCAAGGAAGATCGATGCCAAAATTCTCCTTTCAAATTTATCTGATGAATATATTGAGAATCCTGAAAAAGAATTTCCCATTGGGAAACTTGTGATTGGCAGGTAGGTTTTCTCGTCCTGCTTCCCATCCCAAAGAGTGATTTATGTGGGGCAATGTATTAAGAAACTTGATTCCAGGGTATTATCTGTGGAGCCTTTGTCCAAGCGTGTTGAAGTTACTTTGAAGAAATCAAGTTCAAGGAATGCTGCAATATCTGGACCTAATGATTGGAGTACCCTACATGTTGGAGACATAATTGCAGGCAGGATTAAACGGGTGGAATCATATGGTCTGTTTATCACAATTGACCACACAAACTTGGTAAGGAATAAGTTATGAAAGTTCATACATATTTTGGCCAAATGAGTGGGTTTACATGATGCTCTATTTTCAAGGCAATAGTAACTGATATTCGGTGGACCTTGTCTAAAAATATAAATAAAAGTTCTTGTACATTTTGTTATATTCCTTTCTTTTCCTTTTATTTATTTATTTATTTTTATTTTTTGCAAATTTACATTGATATTTATGTTTTCTTACCTTGCGTGCTATCTTTCTCCTCGTCCTAGGTTGGGTTATGCCATGTGTCGGAGCTTTCAGAGGATCACGTTGACAATATTGAAACTAAATATAGAGCTGGGGAGAAGGTTACAGTGAGGATCTTGAAGGTAGGAATTTTGGTGACATTAGAATCATTATGTTATGCGAGCATTATCGGGTTGGATTATCCATCAGTACACGGGAATAAGATCATTTTACAAATTTAATCAGTTTTGGAAGTATATTCTTTTTCTCCAAGATCATATAATCGCATTCTGCTGTTTAAATTTTGAATGAAATTTCATGGAGAGCCTTTGCTGTATCGTTTTTATTAACTGAATATTTTTGGGATATTCTAAGGTAGTCTACCGGTGCAATTTTTGTGCTAACTTGTACCTGTTCTGAATATCAATTTTCAGGTGGATGAGGAAAGACATCGAGTTTCTCTGGGAATGAAAAATTTGGATAATGGGAATGATATGAGCAGACTGCCTTCAAAAGAAGAGTCTGACGAGGACATTAGTGAAAATGATGCTGCTGATGACAGTGGTTCTAAACGACATGAGAGCAGTTCTCTTGGCAACCCTAGTGTGGATGTTGAACCTGAAAATGATGAATGTCCACTTCCTGCACAAGCAGAATCAAGGGCTTCCATTCCTCCACTTGATGTCACCCTAGATGACATGGAGTTGTCTGATGTGGATGATGTAATCAAGCAAAATCAAGAGCAAATTGTAGAGGCAAATGTGATAGATGAGAAGAATAACAGACGGGAAAAGAAGAAATCAAAGGAACAGAGGTACTTTAGCATATCATACTAAAATGTTTGCTTCCCCACCCCCATCTTTGATGGTTATTCTTCTGGATTACTTTTCTAAATTTGGAAACTATTTCTCCAGGGAGGAAGAAATTAGAGCTGCTGAAGAAAGACTGCTGGAAAAGGATATACCAAGAACAGCTGAAGAATTTGAGAAATTGGTTCGCAGTTCTCCTAACAGCAGTTTTATTTGGATAAAATACATGGCTTTCATGCTCAATTTGGCTGATATCGAGAAAGCTCGGTCAATTGCTGAAAGGTAATATTTGTTTACAATACTTGTTGTATATGGGAAATGCAGATGCTAGTTGCCGATCTTTTGTGCATGCATGTACTTGATTTGAATAAATTTGCTTTGAGCAATAACAAAATTTTCCTAGTGCATATTTGTAGCTATTTGTAGAATTGAAGTTTGATTGGAATTGTAGGAACTTTAATTTTCATGTGACCTTGTGAATGAAACTTTTTCTTTAGTACTGATTGTTTTTGCCTTTTGAAGGGCTTTGAGAACAATAAATTTCCGTGAAGAAAATGAGAAGCTAAACATCTGGGTGGCCTACTTCAACTTGGAAAAGGAATATGGAAATCCTCCGGAGGTAGTGGAAAGCCACTTGAATTTCAATTTTTCAATTAAAACGCTTCAATTTCAAGGTTTTTTCCCCCCTTTATTCAATTATATGAATCAGAAGTTCAGCAGTTGAGATTTTCTTTTTCAGGAAGCTGTTAAAAAGGTATTTCAAAGAGCATTGCAGTATTGTGATCCAAAGAAGGTCCATCTAGCACTTTTGGGTGTGTATGAGAGGACTGAGCAGCATAAGTTGGCTGATGAACTTCTTGACAGAATGTTAAAGAAGTTCAAGCATTCATGCAAGGTATGTTATGGTTTCTTTTCAGGTTCCTTGTTGAGATTTTGTTTGGTATAACCTTTAAGCTTTACCTTTTATTTGAATTCCAGATTTGGTTGAGGCGGGTACAGAGACTTTTGAAGCAAGAACAAGATGGGGTTCAGTCTGTTGTTCAGCGTGCTATTTTAAGCCTTCCCCGCCGCAAACATATCAAATTCATCTCACAGACAGCTATCCTTGAATTCAAATGTGGGGTTCCTGATAGAGGACGATCTATGTTTGAAGGAATCTTGCGAGAGTATCCAAAGAGAACTGATTTATGGAGTGTGTATCTTGATCAAGTAAGAAAATTTAGTTACTTTATTTCATTACTTTCTCTTCTTCATTATGCACGTGACATACCTTACATTCTGATGTCACAAAATGACAGGAGATTAGACTTGGTGACGTGGAGGTAACTCGCACACTTTTTGAGAGAGCCATTAGTTTGAGTCTCCCTCCTAAAAAAATGAAGGTATGTTTAATTAATTCTTTGTTTTAGTATGTTCTTGTTATGCCTTTCGCTATGAAGCCTTATGTGTGCTTTTCTGGATTTGCAGTTCCTGTTCAAGAAGTATCTCGAGTATGAGAAGTCTCTTGGTGATGAAGAACGAATCAACTCAGTTAAACAAAAGGCAATGGAATATGTTGAGAATGCACTGGCTTGATAGTGATTGGTCCTTTCCAGTTTGAACTTGCAAGCTTTTGGAATGGCTTCTTGGCATTGTACAGTAATATGTCCATTTTCTTTAACAAGGAATGAACAAACAGTGTGGCGAGCTACAATTGAGCCTAACACAAAGCGGTCTAACTCGAAGGTGATTGAAATGATATGATGTTTACAGAAATTGCCCTTAAGAGTGCTGATTTAGAGAAGGATAAAGATATTGATCTAAATGGAGATGAAATGAGTATTTGATTCTTTTAATGGTTAGACATTTTGAAAAAATGTATAAACATGTGGGATTGTGCCCTAATTTTGTTTCTAAGGGCTTTTCTTGTATTCTTGAGAAACTTATTAATATGAAAAAAGAAAGGAAAAACAAGGTCATTCAAGATATAGCATTTTTCCTGTTTTTGTTTGCGTTTCCCCATTCCCTTAAAAGTGAGTTGTCTACAGATATTAGGCTCATTTCGTTTACTGTTCTAATTAGCTATTTGTAGTTGAAATTTCAAACGTCAACCTTTGGGCGTTCGCTAATCATTTGTCTTTGGCTGTATTAATGTCATCATATTATTATATTCATAATCTTATCACGCTAAACTTAGACTCTGTACACAAACAGTCTAACCAATGGTACTGGCTTGTGGATCATTTTTATATTTTATTCACTTATTTTGTTCATGACTAAAAAAGAAATTTTACCTTAGCATAAATATTGTTATTAATTTGAAAATATTTATTACATGAAATCAAATGATATATAATCGATAAAATCTTTAAGGGGGTTTTTTAATCTAAACTCGAATCAAACTTAAAAATGACTATTCATATAAAATAATAATTATTTTTTCTTGTCATAATTTATATTACTATAAACCAAATGAGCATATCATATCACATGTCTTCATCTCATTAGTCATTAGGAAAGCCGAAGGAGAGTAATGGACCTCCAAATCCAATCCCCGTTTCATAATTGGGCGGGGTTCTTTATAGCGACATACATAATCTATATGGACCGGACTCAAAAGTGTAATATGACCTCTATATGGGCCCTAGAATGGGCTCACTGATGTATCTCAAAATCAAAATCACAATCAATATTAGAATTCTCCGTCTCATCCTATATTGACGTTTCGTTTCTCCTCACCCACCGACGTTCGGAGAAGCTTTCCTCCGTTTTACCTCTCCGGCGATAGTTTCTGGGTACCTTCCCCTGTTTTGTTCCATCTGAGTTTTTGGATCTATAGCTTGAAGGTTTATTCTTGATCGAATTGGGTTCTACCTTCATTGTAAGTTCTGAATTATTTGTATTCTTTGATCATCTGGGTTGGAGTGTAGGATTTGATTTTGCAATTATTTCTGATCTAATTACTCGTTTCCATTTGGTCTATTGATAATCTGCTGTTACTGTTAAGAGTTAAGCTGTTCCTGTTTAAATTCAATCAACAGGCTAAAAGAAGTTGTGCTCGTAAACTGTTTAGTGAATTGTGTAAATTTTAGAGAAGAGGATTTCTGTTAATGGTGGCATCCAGTATGTTTTCCGCTGTTCCATTAAATATTTAGTTCTGAATCTTATAGTAATCTTTTGTATTCATGATGTGGTTCCTTGTACTGGAAAACAGTGTAAATACTTTTTGCTTCAAATCTTAAGCATGACCCTAATTGATGGAAGAAACCCTTTCTTTCCTACATTCCAGGTTTGGCACCATCAATTTGGCCTGATTATCTTAATTCTCACATTTAAAATCAATATGCATTTCTGTTAATAATGTAAAATGAAGTTGGTTTATTTTATTTTTTCTTTGTATGTTGATGTATTAATCTGGCATCTTCTTATGATAACCATATAATATATCTCATTGTTGTTTTTTGTTTTGTGCCATAGGACAAGTTGTAGTTACTGGTGCTGAGATGTCTTCAGCTCAAGATCCATTTTATATCGTGAAGGAAGAAATTCAGGAATCTGTAAGTTTGTTGTCATATTAGTTGTACCCACTGTGGTAGCTCTTGAAAATGTAACTCACATACTTCAATATGCATAATAATGATTTTTAATCAACGTTAGCTTTGGTTAGAACATCTCAGGGGTGACCCAAAGGAAATCTGTATTCATGCATTTATTATTGCTATTCTTTCAGATGTTCAAATTTTTGAGTAAATTGGATTTGCTACAGTAGGACTCGTGATTATCTTTTTCTCCCTTTCATTGGATTTGCAATTTTATGACTCATGTTTCCCTTTTTTTTCTCCTTTTATTCCCTTGATAAATGTACAAAGAACACATCTGTCAACCTGCTTTGCATTTGGATTTCTACACAAATTATTTTGCACGGTAAATGACATGATAATTGCTATTGGACCTTTTACTTTTGAAGTTAAGGATCATTGTATATGAAATTATCTTCTGACATCTTGTGTGTATAATCATCACATAGTTGCCTCCTGGGAACTCCCTCGTCAGGCATAAATGAAAAAGAAAAAAAAAAGCTCTTCCTCTCCCTCATGCACAACTTCACATGCATACTTCCATACTTTCCTTGAAAATCATGTTAATACTTGCATATGTTTGTGTGGCTGGTTTTGCAGTTTTATAGCATATAGCTGTTGGGCTGACTATTTAATTTCCTCCATACTTTGCCTTCTTTTGGTGTTTGTGATAGATTGATAAGTTGCTATCTACTTTTCACCAATGGGAACGGATTTCTTCTGATCCAGAGGACCAAATGCATCTTTCAAAGGAGTTGCTTTCTGGTTGCGAGAGCATTGAGTGGCAGGTAACAGAAATTTACATTTTGTAATCAGATTAGCTTTTCATGATATTTTGTGGAGATCAGCATCTGCCCTTTGCTTGGTTGAGTGTATAGAAAGTCAGTTAGAAGATATGATTGGCCGTAATAATTAGCCTATTTTCTTGTTGCTTCTGTTCAGTGCACAATCCATTATTGAGGTCATTAATCTAGGCAACTTAGTGGCATGCACTTGTTATTGTTTTGTGTCTTTATTGAGCAATTTAATTATTGTCTGCAATTTCTGAATACTTTCTTTATCATAGGAAGGTGGATGAGCTAGACAAAGCAATTGGTGTGGCGGCTAGAGACCCTTCTTGGTATGGGATTGATGAAGTAGAGCTTGAAAAAAGGAGGAGATGGACTAGCACTGCCCGTACTCAGGTATCATCTGTATGCTTATTCAAAAGATTATGTGAATGTGCATGTATTTCCTCTCTCCTTCTTAAGAATATATTTCTTTTTTTTTTTTTTTTTTTTTCATAGGAAGGTGGATGAGCTGACAAAGCAATTGGGTGTGGCGGCTAGAGACCCTTCTTGGTATGGGATTGATGAAGTAGAGCTTTGAAAAAAGGAAGGAGATGGACTAGCACTGCCCGTACTCAGGTATCATCTGTATGCTTATTCAAAGATTATGTGAATGTGCATGTATTTTCCTCCTCTCCTTCTAAGAAATATATTTCTTTTTTTTTTTTTTTTTTTTTTGGCTGATTATCCTAACCTATTTGATTGTTATCCTACATTTCATTTTAGTTTAGTCATAATTTAGGATATGCAACACAAATGTTAAACCTTAAAGTTTTTTTTTTTTTTTTTTTTCTTTTTGTGTGTCTTTGTCTTTGTGGTAAGTTTTTTTTTTTTTTTTCTTTTTTGTGTGTCTTTGTCTTTGTGGATTCCCTAAAGGATTGCATCGATTTATCAGGTGGGCAACGTAAAGAAAGCAGTAGTAGCTGGAAAAGAGGTGAATGGCAATGGGAGAACTAGTGTGAATGGGATGCGCAGAGAGTTAATGAGGCTGCAAAATTCTCATCAGACGGATAAGTCCAACCCATACACTCAAGACAATGATGATTTTATACAATCAGAATCAGATAGACAGATGCTTCTTATAAAGTGAGTTCTTTTACCCCCACATTCTTATCTTAATGACTGCATATGATTTTTTCTTGCACGTGTAAGTGCTTATTGAAGTCTATATAATATGTCAATATTAACTTGTACGGATCTGTTATTTTATAAGGGTGTTTTACGAGGCTTGGGAGTTTTGGATGAAAAAAAATTACTTGCTTGTATTCATAGTTTAAAATAATGACAAAAGATTCATATAGCTGACCTCAACTGGTTTGGGTTAAGGGTTGTTGTTGTTGTTGTTGTTGTTGTTGTAGTATTCGTAGTTATAAAGAGTCAATCAAGTGAAGTTTGTTGAGGTTTTGGAAATAGTACTGATCTTCGTTGAATTTCTTTTTTAATAGTTAAAATTTATACCACATCTTTGTAGACATTTTAATTTGTTAAATAGAACCTTGCTGATTATTTCCTGACTGTTTTGATATGTATAAACATGGGATGACAAAATGATATTATTTTCATTGCAAAGTCAGTTACTGAAGAAATGAAAATGGTAGTAGTTTCTAGTCCATTTTCTTTTCATGGTGTTACTATTACCTTTGAATTTTTTTGGTGCTTATCAAAATTGAAGGCTGGGGAAAAAGGGTAAAGTTTATACTGCGTTAAAACATTGTGACCGCCACCGCTGTTGTCAGTATCCTCCAGAAGGATCTTCAGAGATGAGTTTGGGCGTTTTGGTAGTATTTTGCTGCATTGAGGGCTTCTTTATTGTGGTGGGGTTATGTTTCTCTTGTAAGAGAGTTGACATATTCATGATAGAAAACATACGAATCAAGCTAGTGTTAATTCTCAGGATATATCTTTATAATTTATGTGAATTTGCAATCTGTCTTTTACTCAGTACCTTTATGATTATTGATCATGGCAGGCAACAGGATGAGGAATTGGATGAGCTTAGTGCAAGTGTGGAGCGAATTGGGGGTGTTGGGCTTACAATACACGAAGAACTCCTTGCTCAGGTTACATTTTGTTTATTAATGTTCTTTCTTAAAGCATCTGCCTTAGGCCCTCTGCCATAAACTTGCATAAAAGTTAGAAGTGCATATTCCCTTCCAAACATTTTGCATGTATCAAAACTATCTCAATTATCCCACTCCCGTTTTGCTGAATTGAAGCGCTAAAATCCAAATCTTTGGTTCTTCAGGAGAAGATTATAGATAATTTGGGTATGGAAATGGACAGTACATCAAACCGTCTGGATTTTGTTCAGGTGACTTTCTCTTTATAGCTTTTATCAAATAGTCTTATCATATTTTCTTCCTCAGATGGATTATTTGCTCATTTTTTATGCTTTGCAGAAAAAAGTTGCCATGGTCATGAAGAAGGCTGGCGCAAAGGGGCAAATTATGATGATATTGTTTTTGGTAGTTTTGTTCATCATTTTATTTGTTCTGGTCTTCTTTACCTAACATATAAACTAACCAGCTGCGGCCTCGAACATTCCTACATTAGAAAGCATACATACAATGAGGAATACAGAAGAATATGTTGGAATGATGTAATCATGTTGATAAAGAGCAGAATTATTTTAACTGAAGTAAGATGTTGAAGGTGGTTGTGGCTTGTTGAAGCAGTTTGATTTATAAATATCATGCAAGATTGTTTCATTTGTTGTTTATTTTGCCTTGGTATTTATTTTTGTAATGATTGCTTTAATTTAGATTTCCTTTTTTCCCTTTCTTTTTTGTCTATCTTGAGGATTTTTTCTGTGTCTAGAGACTATTGGAGTACTAATAAATTAAAGTTCACCTGGTTATCTGAATAAATTTAGCTACAGGTCATCAATGTAATTTTCTCTTTTCATGTAATTTTATCACACACACATGTTTGTACTATTATATATGTACATTATTCTGTGGATTAACAAGACAATCTATTTTCTATATTAAAAAATCAAAACAGAAATCAGAAAATAAAAGGGAACAGTTAATAATTGATTTACCAATTACAAACTTAAGACAACAATTTTTATATGAAGCTTTTGCACAAAAGCAAATTATTAACTTGGTCCTAAAAGGTACAGTTTACAATTCAAATGTCACACCAAGCTACTTAATGACATGAACCCTCTTCAGAACCTTCAAAAGCAAAGGATAAGCAGTAAGATGAGGAAAATGGCCTTGTGCTTTTAGTATTTTAACCCTAGCTTTACCACCGAGATTTCTCTTCATAAAATAGGAAACAGATTGTGGAACAACAATGTCTTTCTTGGACTGGATTATGGTGCAAGGCACTTTCACTTGTGGCAAAATCTTTCTTAGGTCACTTAAGAACACTGTTTTAGCAGTACTAAATGCTATTTTGGGATTCATTCTCCTCAAGCTATTTTCAAACAATGATATAGCTTTCTTGTTCTTCACACCAACAGCCATTGGAGCAAAATTTTCAACCCAACTTGAAAAATTTTGGTTGATGTTTCTTAATGTTGTGTTGATTTCTGATCTCTCAAAGCCCCCATCATATCCTTCAGCATTCAGGTACCTAAAAAAAATTTTTAAAGATTCAATATTCTGTCTTGTACATTGAAATTAAACAAGTGAAGTGATGATCTATACATCTACATATGGAAAAGTAAAAAATAGAATTATTAAAGGGAATATAATTGGAATTTGAAAAAAAAAAAAAAAGGTTTGAATATCACTTTTAACATTTCTTTCTCCAATAGCTAATTAAAAAAAATTGCACATATGAGTTAGGGGGAGAGAGAGAGAGACCTTGGAGAGCCACTAAGCAAAACAAGGTGGTGGAAGAGCTCTGGCCTCTTTATTGAAGCTAAGCATCCAATCATGGCTGACATAGAATGACCTATATAAGTGCTCTGGTTCACATTGAGCACATCAAGAAGGGTAACCAAATCGTTTGCATACCCTTCAAAATTAGAGTACTTGTTTGGATCATAAAGATTTGGATTGACATTTGGTGAAAAAACCAAGTCAAAAACCACAATCTTGAAGTAGCATGCAAGATAGGGCATAAGAAACAGCCAAACATTTTGGTCTGAACCAAACCCATGAGCAAGAACCAGAGTTTCAGTGCCATTTCCATATACCTTTGCATTTAGAGCTTCAACAATACTTCTTGCTTTATGGTCATATAACATTTCCATGTCTGGACTCCTCACAGTTGAAACAGTAATGTCGCTTAGTTTCATCTTTGGCTGTATTTATAGGACTTCCTTTTTATTATTATTATTATTATCATTATAATTTTGGTCCTCTTGTTGTATAAAGTAAAGGTATATGGCTTAATGCCTCGCTATATATATATATATATCTATATATATAACTTTTTATATTTATTTGGATTAAATTTGTTTAGATCCGATGTGTGGAGTCATTTACAAAACCAAACCATTCTTTTTATTGTCACACACACACACACACACACACACACACACATATATATATATATATATACACACACACACCACACACACACACACACACACACACACACATATATATATATATATATAATTACATTATGTATTATTCTATAATTGTATCATATGCATTCAAGCACCACCTTATAATTTTTTGTATGATGATTATAATATAATTATATCTTGCGGTACCTGATGTTTTCTAATTAAGAATTCCGATTTGAATTAAACATATAAATTTGAGATTACATCCATGTTAAATATACTCTTATAGTTAAAGCATATATTTATAGTGTGTAATGGAAAATAATGTAACAATATAATTTAATCAATTAACTAGTTTAGGTATGCGGATGTATTTCATGTTTAATTTCATTGTTGTAGTTAAATGCTAGCGGTTGGCGATTATTGGTCGAAGAACCAAATACATATCATACAAATATTAAGGTATTTTAGATATTAAAATGCTAGATTCATCAAATACTTTTTTTTTTTTTTTTTAACTTCAAATACTCGTAATTACTTCGTCCGGTTAAATACTTAACACATTTGGGTAAGAAATCATTAATTTATCTACATTATACTATCTCAATTTCTAAATACTCGTCACATTTGAAATTTTATTCTCTTAAGAAAACTATTAAAATTTGTCTAAGTTACAATAAGCTGTTGAGAAAATTAACTATATTACCCTTAATTTAGTATATTCAAACACCAAATTGAAGAAATAATTGTTGGTCATATACAAAGGATAACATGAAAAAAAAATTTATTATTCCTTGAAATTACAAATATGACAAATATTTAAGAACACGGTACTTCCTCAAATGCGACAATTATTTAGGAATTGATGTAGTAATAGATTATTAAGTAAATTGACTATACTACTCTTAATTTGTCTAAATTACAATAAACCATTATGAAATTAAAGCAATCACCGTTGGTCATGTACAAAGGGTAAAATTAAAAAAAATAATTTATTATTTATGAAATTCTCAGATGTGATAAGTATTAAGAAAAGGGTTTCAGTAACTAAAAATGAAAGAGCAAGTTTCAATTGTGATGGAACCAATAATGAAATGTGCCATTAAAGAGATGCAACAATGAGAGAGACACAGGAATACAAATACTTGTGTTTTGGAGCACCATAATTGCATCTCAACAAACTTGCCATCCAATGGTTTATTGGTGCTTTTTGAGTTGAATGAAGCTTTGCTTTGGCATATTCAATGCTTTCAGGTGCACGCAAAAAGGTTTTTGGACTGTCAACTTTACATTTATTCGCCGGTGGCTTCATACTACACCCAACAACCAAACTTATCTAACACATTTATTTCTTTTACTTGGTTCAATTGAAACCACTCTTCCAAATCCAAATGATTGATTTGACCACTCTTATTGTACGACTCTGTCGTTTCAAGCATGGATTTGGGCCAGTTCTAAAAAGAAATCTTAATAAATAAAATGTTCTCTTGCTGAGAGAGGAGAATCTATCTTCTAATTCCAGTAGAAGACTTTTAAAGCAAAAGTATTCTCGCGGCGATATCCAAAATAAGGAAAGAAAACTACATTTGGAAAATGCACAAGTATATAGAACTTTTTTTTTTATTATTGTCTTTGTAGGGAAGAACTTTACAAGGACCGGTGTCTATAATTTTAGAGCAAGAATTGCACATTGAACTACAAATCACTTTCCTCCCACGGCTTTTCCACACCACATGAAATATGAATAAACTATGATACAAGATTAGACAAATATATGCAGAGCGCATTATCAGGCTCCAAAGGTAAACGACTTCAGCCTTGTTTTATGTGTCGAGTCCCCTTTCTGTTTCTCGATCAGCTCTAAAATAATAATCAATGGTTGGGACGTGCAGCTCTAAAATAATAATCAATGGTTGGCATCACGTCCGTTGAATCGATTAGCTTCAACATAACAGATTGCATCTTCCAGCCCAGTTTGCATATCGATAGCGGAACTTGGCTGTACGAGTATCAAGGGGCAACCAGAAACATGAGCCCCTCCAAAATTGGTAGTGGTTCTTTGGTTTTGAAATTGTTCAACTCCAGTCACAGCGAACAAATCTCGTGAAGTGACAAGCATATTTAATTGAGAGCATAATGAACCCGCTCAAGGAGTTGCACAACCTGATTAACCGGGATAGGTAATTGAGGTGATTTTAAACCTGTTTTAATAGTATCTAGCTGGTCAATTGGTAATGACAATATTGCCTCTTGCTGCATACTTGTTAGCTCCAAGAACTGAGCCAGAACATCACCATCAAGTATTTTGGGTACCCCAACCTGTTCATCAAAAATAAAAGAATAAATAAATAAAAAGAACAAGAAGATTTAAACATAATTAGAAAAACAAGTGTGCGTGCATGTATTAGCCATGCCCAGAATATACGTAACACATACTTTTCAAATCATAACTATAACACAAACTCTTGGCGATGATACTTGGGTATGGATGCAGCTACACAAAAAAGATGGAAGACAGTGCTTTGAAAATTCATCTCCATGTTAATTACATTATATATCTATATATATGTAAAGTAAAATTGTATTTTGTCAAGTGATGTCAGAAATGTATATAAATATAGAATGAAACTCTTATCATTCAAAAGAAAGGAGACTCTAACCATAAGATCAGAAAAGCATATTATCCATCCACAGCATAAAGAAATTTCCATCCATATTATGTGATAAAGAAGGCACCATCAACGCAGCAATGCCAAAATCAAAATGAGCCATCAATAAGCATCAACCAGTAAGTCATGATAAAACATTCAACATTTTCCTTCAGAAAAGCATATTATCCATCCACGGCATAAAGAAATTTCCATCCATATTATGTGATAAAGAAGGAACCATCAACGCAGCAATGCCAAAATCAAAATCAGCCATCAATAAGCATCAACCAGTAAGTCATGATAAAACATTCAACATTTTCCTAAAAATTCTAAAGGAGCATTTATTTTCACCCTCTAAAGGAGCATTTATTTTCACCCTAGCAATTTGCACAGAAAGTTATTGTAAAAGGATTACCCCATAAAAGCCTAGCTATTTATCCAGCACATATGAAAGATGTGTTGGCACACAGGTGTCTTAATAGTATATTTTTTTTGCACATCACGTGATTAAATTATTTGGTGGATGCTTAAATGTGTAGGAACACAGGTGTTCTAAATGGCAGAGGTCCATCAAGCATTGGAACATTTGCCAAGTTTCAGACACTGCCATTGTTAGGGACATGCAATGGCCAAGGTTGATGACCTTTTCGATTCCCAGAATAACTATATTAAAATTACAGATTCATGGGATAAATTGTGATCGCTTTTGCTTTCTTCCCCTCTGGTCGTCAAGATAGAAATTATCGCACTTACTAAATATGCTTAGTTTTTTTCTTCAAAACTAGCCCAATTCCATCAGTTAAATAATTCTAGGCATTAAGTAACGCTTCTTTAAAAAAGATTCTTGCAAGAATTTGAGCTCAATTAAGCAAAAGTTGTCAGTTGAAATTCATGATAAGAATACTGACCAGACAAGTTTGTACAAGCTATAGCAAAATATAAGAAACACCAAAGATAAAGGAAATTACTTCTTTGTGCTTGGTGTTAAAACTTTTAATTCAACAAAGCACAACATTATCACAAAAATCAAAAGCAAGTTTCTTTACCGGGTTTTCACGGCTACGAAACTCTTTGTGATCATTTCCTAAAATAGGAGCAGTTAAAGGATGAACCACAAGTCTTGCTTGAACTGCCTCTAGAAGTTCATACTCTTCTCTGCAATAAAATAAAAAATAAAAATGGAAGGTTTATTTGCTGAAATAATCATTTAAATGAAGATCAAATAAAGACAATTTACCGGCACCAAAAAAGATGTAATTCACAACCCACAGTTTCCCAATTGTGAATCACTTGCTGACCAGGAGGACCTTGTCCACTTGACACTGGGTTCAGGGGGTAACTAGGGCAGGACAAGGGGGAGCCTTGGCCTCCCCATACTTTTCTGAATTGCATTTCCCCTCAATAAATTGAATCTATTTTCTAAATAAAATATGCACTGGCACCACCCCCCCCAATATATATATATATATCTTTCTTTTTTTACTCCAATTTTGTATTTATGTACTATATATCATTGTAACTACTATATAAAAACTTTTACAATATAGTTATGATACTCGAAAAAAATTAGAACCTCTTATGGTTCATCCATAAACCTTTTTTTTTTTAATTCATATTTCTAGCGCCTCCAATTTTTGAAGTCAAGTACTGACCAGGCTGGGTTAGCAATCAAACCCAAATAAACAGGTATCTTCTAATCCAAACCATGATGAAAAAAACTGAAAGTTCAGTTTTCTGTTTAATGAGCTTTATAATTTCCTCAAAAATTCATTTTTAAAATTGGAACCATAACCACTAAAATATCTCTTCAATGCCAATTTTTGTCCTCTTAATTGGAAAAGTCATTTCTGCAAGGAAGAGACCTCCAATTTCTAAGCAACACCATGTCACCATACCCACAATCATCTCCAATTTTATGAATAGAAAGAGACATCATATTTTTCAGAAAAATAAATTCATACCTTGTCAAGGGAATGAAAATTATTATGCTTCCCAAAAGTGTACTGGCCATGATAGTGTTGTTTGAAGCATCAATATTTGCACCTATGCCATCAAATCCTATCAACACATCTTCAGCGGGGAGCTTATATGAAAATGTTCCCTGTAAGAAATACAACTAATAATCAACAATCAAGGACTAGTAAGAGAAATCATCAATGAACGAAAATCTCATCAGCAAAACTATTTGCTAAAAGACAAATAGACATTGTGTTGAATTATATGTCCATTAGTATATTTCCTATCCAACATTTTATGTTCTACACGAAAGATAAATGGATAAGAGAGCTCTTTACAGTTCATGTGATTTATAATTACACAGGTCCTAAAGACGAGTGGTGGCCACGGTTTCGGAACCGCCGGTTTCGGTTCTAGAACCGAACCAAAAATTAACGGTTCCGGTTACGGTTTGGAACCGAACGGTTCCGGTTCCTCAACGGTTCCAAAACCAACGGTTCCGAACGGTTTTCCAGCCGATTTTGGACCAGTTCTAGCCGGTTTCAGACGGTTCTGGCCGGTTTCGGACAGAACTAGAACCATCGGTTTTGACTGAAACTGGAACCGCGGTTCACGATTCCAAAACTGGTAGAACCAGAACCGAACCGGTTTCGGACGGTTCCAGTTCCGGTTCCCACCGGATCGGAACCGATGTTTCTGCTTCCAAAAACTGGATTTTGGCCACCCCTACTAAAGACCCATATACATCCAAATCATGATGGAATTATAATCTGGTTATGTGAGATTCTAGCAGTATGGAAATATAACTATATAAGAGGGAAGCCTGAATAAAATACATGAAATTAAGCAGTTGCAAATCTTCAGTCCTTATTATCATATGTCCTGACAACCCATCGAACCAATTTGACCTGCCGTTGGTCTTTCCGAAGACTTAAACCTATTTTCTGGGCTACCTCCCCAAAATCCCAACGCCCTCACAAACTGCTCAACAAAAAAAATTCACAAAGAAAGAAACAATATAGCTTCTTTTTCTCCTCTAATCCATCCACCCTGTTTTTAATAGGGATATTGCTACTTATTTCGCAGTTTTTTATGCCAGAATAATTCCTTTAGGCAACAATGTCTTATATGCACATAATCCTACAGATTTCCAAAATAAAGATATCAAACATTTATACGGTGTCAAATCAATATTGAATGATGTCTGATTATGAAGTGTTATAAACACCCTAAACTTTAAAGTACTTCTCTTAAACTAAGCCATTTAATCCTCTCATTTTTAAGTTTCAATGACCATTGCCAAGACAAAATCCTCAAAGAATCTCCTTTTTCTTTTTTAGGCAATGATGGGAAAAGAAATAATTGCATTTTTTTAGTTTTGAAATAATTAGCAGGACTAGTTTATATTACCAAATGCCTCTGGACCACAAATATGTGGCAGGAAGATTTACCTTCCTAATGCTCATGGCTATCTCCCCCATATAATACGCACAACTCAATGTCAAGTTGCTTTCTGGACTTGCATTACCTGGAACAAAGGGACATAAGATATTGGAATATAACATTTTTTCCTCAACTACTGTAAATAGGCAACTTAAATTTAGAAGCAAGACAAAATGAAGAGAGAACACTTTGCCATTCTTTTAACTTATCCTGTCAGTATGCTACTCTTAATATAGTTATTAGTTTCCAGTCCACTGCCAATATATGGAGTAATCCTAAGCCTGTCCACACATCAGGTTCGTTATTGAACATATTTGAGTGCAACACTTCTTGTAGTTATCATCACTCACAAAACAACTTGACCACCAGTGTTCCAAACAAATGTAAAAAATATGGCATCAATTTTAACTTCAAATAATTATGAGTTGCTTGTCTGCTTAATTTTCCTTTTAGGCCACATATGAAAGATCAAAAGTTAAGTTATCCTATTTGTCATCAATGAAATAGAAGATCCTGTTGGAATCAAATTAAAGGCTCATAGTTACATAAACAGACTTCACAGTTGAGAAAATCTATTCTTTTTTATATCCTAAAGAAACAGTAAAGAAACTTCTAACTTGAAAATGGTGGTCCATTCACTGCTTCTTACAGAAGAGTGCCAATGTCCAATTATAGGAGAAAGAACCGAAGTGGATTTTGCAGTACTTAGTGGTTAAAAGGATATGTAAACACGTAACATATATGAAAAACCAACTGCTTGTAAAATACAGTTCAGGCTTAAAACTTACTTTCTGTAAGATTTGAACATGATAACACAGCAATGCTTCCCTTACGATCTGAAACCACAGCTGTATCTTCATCCATGAGGATACAATCGGCAACTAATCTCTGTGATGGGTCACAATAAAGCTGCTCCAGTTTTCTAGTATCCTTGAATAAAATGAAGCAAAATAACAAATTTTCATGACCACTCCACAAAATTCAAGTGCAGCAGCAGGAAGCTTCAAAGTAAGTGAGGAGGATGAGAAGAAATAAGCTGAAAGTAACACTGGAAATTTGTTATTGACCTACCTCATGGTAAGAATAGAAAAGGATACCATCACGGCAATCGCCAACAGCAATTCTAGTCAAATGTGCAGCCAATGATATTATAGTAAAACGTGTCCTTGCTATTGCAAACTTTCTCAATCTTTGGGGATTATCATTTGGAAAACCACATACATAGAACTGAAAAAGAAGACCAACATTTTTCAAGTAATGATCACATACCATTCGCCATCACATATTAAAAGCAAAAAAGAAAACGACACGACTTACAGCACTACCAGCAGACGCCAAAAAGTAACGATCAAGATATGGGCAGATTGCAAGTGCCATTCCAGGCCACTTGGCCGCATATGCCAACCGTAACTGCCAAGCCTCGGTTTCTTCAAGTTTGGCATCACAGCTACCATCTGGACTACTGCAAAGGCTACTGCTCGATAGCTGTTCTGCTGTGTAACCAGCAACTTCCCGAAATGGTGAAGTTCGTTGAGAAGATGACCCTGCCTTTGAACAGAATGTCATTGAGCCACTATCTGAATTTTGCAAGTGTTCAAGGCAGAGGACTATCAACCGGCCCTTGGTACTGTTGAAGAAATGTCCAGTTAGGAAATCATGATTTTCAAATAAATTGGGAGAAAGTCTTCTAAAATCTCAGAACCTTAGAACTTATACAAATTGAACAATCAAGGGGCAAACCTTGAAGTTTAGCAAAGATTTGCAGCTATAGCATTGTTATGACCTTGGGAGAACCACACCTCAAAAGCTAGCCATTGAGGTTGGACTGGAGAGCCCAAGTTCATATAAACCTCAAACAAAATCTCATACTTCCAGTGTGGGATACAAGACAAGTTCCATACCATGTCTTGCAACTAAAATTCTAACATCCTACCATGCTCCGCAGTGCCCAGCGCCCACGACGGGTTGGCTTTGTGCTAGGGTGGCCGTGTGCTAGGTTTTTTCCCAGCTTCCAAGCGAACACTTGCAATGTCCGCGTCACCACTAGCCCCTAGAGAACACTACAATTCTAGCATCACCACCGGTTGCATGATTGCAACTGGGAGAAGGGTGGTTGGCTCTGACACAAATTGTAATGATTTTGAGAGAACCACACCTCAAAAGCTAGCCATTGAGGTTGGAGAGCCAAGTTCATATAAAGTGCACACTGAAATTCGATACTTCCAATGTGGGATCCAAGACAAGCCCCATAATTTTTCTTTTACAATCCTAACAGGCATTCATTATTAAAAAGCAACTATCATAAAATAAAAACAAGCAAGCATGAAACGATTAAACACCTTTCAGCTTCACCACTGGGCATTATAGCTGGACCAGAAGAAAGACTAGTTCCCACCACCAGAACCTGTTCATTTCCAACCCTCACCAATTCCATTGATTTTCCTGTTTCTCCAAGTTCAAGTTTAAAAGATGATACTATTGAACCACTGATGGGGTCAACACAACATATGTCAGATGAACATGTGTCGTTGCTAAGTTCAGTTCTCATCACAAGTAACAACCTACTTTCACTATGGTATAGGACCTTACGCGGGGTACCACCAAGGTGAAACTTCTGAACATTGAGCCTCTTACTATGTACCATCTCAACCTGAAGCATCAAAGAATTGAAGGTCATTACAACATCACAAACCATGCAGAATGATACTAATTACCCAACTTAGAGACAACATTCAAGAACTAAAAGAAGAAAAATTCCAAGAAGAAAAATTCTTAAGACCACCAATTATAAATTCCACTTTTCTGATAGGTGAGAAGGAACCAACTATAATGACAACTTATTGTAAGTAGAGATGTGAACAGAAGCCAAAACATATTTTATAGAACTTATTAAGGATAAATCTCACTCCGATCCCACATTTAAATGTATGAAGCCAAGACATCAACTCAGAATTCCAACTTGGTTCTCCTAATCAGTCCCATTAAACCCCATGGAAATTAGTGATTAATTACTGGCATCCCATGGTTCAGAAGTAAGAAAAGTATCTTACAAACAATCAGCTCCAAATCCACAGTATTGTGTAAATCCAGATAAAACAAATACAACTTGCACTCTTTATTCTTCTGTAATTGAACACCAATCAATCAGTAAGCTCAGAACAAGCATGCATACTGTCAGAACTTCATCATATGAGAGTCTCATTAGCATGATTTACCTTCAAGTAGTTATCCTTTTCATCAGTTAATATACTTCTATTAGATATAGACTTAACCAGCAGAAAAATAAGCAGCCTGACAAAATGAATTACAACAATCAAAACAGCATCACAGAAAAGAACTCTGTTATGGTCCCAAATTTGGATCTAGTTCAAGCATGCATACTGTCAGAAACTTCATCATATGAGAGTTCATTAGCATTGATTACCCTTCAAGTAGTTATCCTTTTCATTCAGTTTAATATACTTCTATTAGATACTAGACCTTTAACACAGCAGAAAAACATAAGCAGCCTGACAAAATGAATTACAACAATTCCAAAACAGCATCACAGAAAAAACTCTGTTATTGCGTCCCAAATTTGGATCTAGTAGCGGGTCTTTGAATTAGTGGGAATCAGGTTTTGAGATGGGTATTTAGAAGGAGTTTTCTTCCCTCTATCAGTTCGGTGGACAGACTTAGAGAGAATCTGCAATTCTCCTAGAGCTCGTTAAGAGAGAACTCTACAATCTCTGAGTTTTAGGACTCAAAACCTTCATAAAATTCTGACCTTCACATTTTTCCTGAGTATAACAGCCTTTTAAACAAAACTAAATGTTAAAGCTAAACTACCCACTACCCATAATAACTACCCATTACAATAAGTTAACCTTGCTTAACCACCCACTAATGAGCCACTAACAAAAGAAACTGAAAATAACATGATAAAAAAACTGAATTAACTAAATAAAAAACACCGTAAATAGCAGTAAAACTACCCTTAATCGAGCAGCGCCAATAACATTACACCCCTCCTCGAAAAAGCGCTTGTTCCTCAAGCGCCAGAAGGATGGATGACATGCAATCTTCAACTTATGAAAATGTTGATGCAAACAAAATCCCTTATTACCCTCTATTATTCTATGCAAATAAGGAGCTGTTTATTGTGCTTTCTATATTAATTAATATTGCCTGATCAAATGGCTCCTCTAATTGTTTCCTCTATTTGTCATTCTCGAATTGCTTCTTCCCACTCCCTTCCCCATTTAGAGGCGCCAAAATCACAAGCAAAGACCCCCATAATTGTGCTAACCAATGATTTTGATTCATTTCTTTCTTTTGCTCCGCTATTTCTTTCTTTTGCTCCGCTCTATCTTCTGTACACACAACTATTGAGACTTGAAACATTTGCTGGAAAACTATTCGCTCTGCGGCAGTTTTAGGTTGTTCCAATTTTGCCAACTTTCCTAAATTATTACTCCTCATAGGTGGTCCAAGAACATCCAACTTTGTGAATTTCCAAACAATTGTAGTGCCCCTAGGAGATTCTAGACTGGCTGAACCTATTGGACCCTTTGCTTTCGGTGCTTGACTATGGCTGCTCCCTTCCATTGTTGATGTTGTTTTAAATCAGAAAAAACACAGGTGAGGGCATCTAACTTGGATTTTAGTGCTTCATGTCGGACTTTGTTGGCAGCTTGCTCCTCTAGGAATAATGTTAAAATTCTATTGAGTTGTTGTTGAATAGAGTCGCCCATAACCAGGCTCTGATACCAAATGTTACTGTCCCAAATTTGGATCTAGTTATGGGTCTTTGAATTAGGGATCAGGTTTGAGATGGGTATCTTAGAAGGAGTTTTCTTCCTTCTATCAATGGTGACTCTTCCTTCTATCAATGGTGACAGACTTAGAGGGAGAATCTTTGCAATCTCCTAGAGCTACATTCAAGAGACGTAACTCTTACATATCTCTTGATTTTTAGGAAACTCAAAAACCTTTTCATAAAATTCTGCTTTACATTTTTCTGATTAAACAGAATAACCTTTTAAACAAACTAAAAATGTAAAGCTAAAAACTACCCACTACCCATTACAATTTAAGTACTTGCTACCAACCCCACTAATAGCCACTAACAAAAGAAACTGAACTGATAATAACATGATAAACACTGAATAACTAAATAAAAACACCCTAAATAGCAGTAAAACTACCCTAAGTCAAGCAGCGCCATAACATTACACCCCTTGAAAAAGTGCTTGTCCTCAAGCGCAAAGGATGGATGACATGCAATCTTCAACTTGTGAAAATGCGATGCAAACAAAATCCTTATCACCCTCTATTATTCTGCAAATAAGGAGCTGTTTATTGTGCTTCTATATTTAATTAATATTCCTGGATCAAATATCTCTTCTAATGTTTCCTCTATGTCATTCTCGAATTGCTTCTTCCCACGCCCTTCCCATTTAGAGGCTGTCAAATCACAAGCAAGACCCTCTAATTGTGCTAACAATTGATGTTTGATTATTTCTTTCTTTTGCTCCGCTCTATCTTCTGTACACACAACTATTGAGACTTGAAACATTTGCTGGAAAACTATTCGCTCTACATGTTGCTGGAAAACTATCGTCGCTCTGCGGCAGTTTCTAGGTCTGTTCCATGCTTGCCAAACTTTCGTAAAATTATTACCTCCTCAGTAGGTGGTCCAAGAACCTCCAACTCTGTGAATTTCGAAACAGTTGGTAGTGCCCCTAGAGATTCTAGACCGGCTGAACCTATTGGACCCTTTGTTTTGGTGCTTGACTTTCAAGGCATATTAAGAAGTCAGCCCCTTCTTTTGGAATTCCAAGTCAAAAAGACATGGCATCGCAATGGCCATGAAGTTGTTCCAACCTTGCTCATTATAGGTCTGATTGGCCTGCTGCTCAGATTAAGAGTAAAATTGAAGAGGTTTGGTAACTGGTTCGTTGAAAACAGATTCGCCATAACTGTTGCTTCTGATACCAATTTGTTATGGTCCCAAATTTTGGAATCTAGTTATGGGTCTTTAATTAGGGGAATCGGTGGGAGATGGGTATCTTAGAGGGAGTTTTCTTTCCCTCTATCAGTGGTGACAGACTTAGAGAGAATCTGCAATCTAACCTAGGCTCGTTAAGAGAGAACTCTACAATCTTCTGAGTTTTAGGAAACTTTCAAAACCTTTTTCATAAAATTCTGCTTACATTTTTCCTGACTATAACAGCCTTTTTAAACAACTAATGCTGTAAAGCTAAAACTACCCTAATTAAACTTTACCCATTACAATAAGTTACTTGCTTAACCACCCCACTAATGGCCACTAACAAAGAAACTGAAAATACATGATAAAAAAACTGAATAACTAAATAAAAAAACACGTAAATAAGCAGTAAAACTTACCCTAAGTCAGAGCAGCGCCATAACAAAAACTCTCACCAAATGTAAGGACTGTTTTTCTGCAACAAATAAGATCCCCTTTGGGCATTCAGATAAGTTACTTGCTTAACCACCCCACTAATGGCCACTAACAAAGAAACTGAAAATAACATGATAAAAAACTGAATAACTAAATAAAAACACCGTAAATAGCAGTAAAACTACCCTAAGTCAAGCAGCGCCATAACAAACTCTCACCAAATGTAGACTGTTTTCTGCAACAAATAAGATCCCCTTTGGGCATTCAGCTGAGCATACAGGTGTTGCATGAGTTGAAGGCTGAAATGAAATTGATGAATAAGAGAGACTGTGCTTTGCAGTTTGCAATAACCATGGTCTATCACTGAGCGCAATCATGTCTGCGTCAAGGGAATCACTCAGAGGAACAAGGAAAACAGGGGTAATGCCAATACGACGGGTGGAAATCAACTGTAAATTAACAGGAAGTTCATCCATTGCCTTGCTCCTTAATTCAACAGCACATGTTTGAGGCTCAAAAGACATCGCAGACATATTTGATAAAGCACCACCAACATTAACCATACAGGAATCAATAGGACATCCATAGTGCGGAAATTCTAATGATGACATGGAAGAGGCTGGGGGCCACTCAAACCGAAGCAGCATTCCATTCCTCAAACCAGAAAGAACATAAGACCGATCAACCAGTACAAGCCTTACATCTTGAGGGATGCAACCACTAACAGCAGTTCCCAGAGTATTTGTTAATGAAATTGTCCCACAAGCAAGAACTTTTAAACCTTCATGTGGCACAAAAGACAGAACTTCAACAGAAGGCCTATGTGTGCCAACAACAAAAGTAATACCAATGTCCATGCCAATTGGAAGGGTAGGCCCAGAGTTATCTTCCACAAGGTTGCTAGAACTTAATCGTTTTCGCTCAAAATGCTTTTGAGGTATCGAAATGCAGGATAACTCATTCAGCAATCTCAAATGTTGCAATTCATATATCTCATAATGATAAGTCGAAAGTAATCTGATCCCAAGAATGTATAAAAAGCATGGATTAGAAGTAGAAACAACAATCAAATCATGTCCGACAGCCCCCAAACTGATACTCGTATTATCAGGGAACCAAGATGTGCAAACAGGAGAAGACAGAGGTATACCTTCAGCATGCGCAATCTTGGTGGGCAAACAAAGCTGAACAGCAGTTTGATGAATTTGGACAAGCAAACCATCACCTACAAGTCCACACGCTAAAGTACATACGTCAGGCTGAAAGCCAACCGAATCAGTCACATCAGTAAAGCTTACCCCAACTGATAGCACCCTGGTCTCTTCAACAAAAGATATCACAAGAAAAGAATGATAAAGGTCGTTCAATTTCATTCGAAGTGTCCAGGTACCAGTAATGCCTTGATAAATAGATGCAGTCTTCACAAGCTTTTCGACACTTATGCCAGTCCTAATAATCCTTAATGAGCCTTCTGGAGCCACCCCACAACAGGCAAACATTTGATCACGTTTCTCATCATGGCAATCCACAACTAACATATCCAAGATCGGTGCAATATTTTGAATGGGGCTGGTATATAGTAGCCTTCCATCTTCCACTTTCAGAACAATCCCATCTCCCATCTCTACAATAGCAGCCAGGAAGCCACTTTCAACCCACAAAAGTGACTTGCATGGTTGACCCTTATACAGACAATCAGAAAGGTTAACCTTAAGCCCCTCTGAATCAAAAGATATTTCAATCATGAAAAATTCTCCTGTATCTATACAAAATATCATCCTTGGATTTTTATCACTTTCTGGTCCCCAACTCCAAGAGCACATGTAATTTGAGGTTGATTTTATATTACTGCCTTCACTGTCTATACACATAGGGTCATAATCTCGAAGCTCCAGTAAAGCACATGCAGCAACATTGAACAAACCATCATCATCAACATCATGAACTCTACATGACTCTTCCACAAAATTCTGCTCCTCCACTGCAGTGGGCAAGAAATTTAAGCTTGTTCTATAGATACAGCAGGGGTTGTGAGCATCTCTAAGATCCATTAAGAGAGCATCACCAACCCTGAACAGAAATGCAAATCCATTAGAATGAGGAACTTCAATGATGTCATGTGCAATTGGTCCAGCTTCAACATACAACGAAATGACATTTATAGCATGTTCTCCAATGTTCCATTCCAATAACAGAAGTTCATTTAGAAGCGCACCCCTCCTGCCAATACCAAAAATATTAGTGAAAGCTTAACTTGACCTCAGCAAAACAGTGTCAAAGTGAATATGAGAAAGGGTTTCTTCCCACTTGTCATTTAACATGACAACGGAAAATAAAATTAGAACTTCCCCAAAGAGTAGTATACACATCCCAATAGTCATACCTATTTAGAATAATGGCTAGTACAGGATTATGCTCCTTACTTGATTGACAAGAATCCCTTGAAATAAAGCACATGCTCCATATTGTACCAGATATACTTGGCTTGTGGATACTTCTGGTGAAACTTGTTTGCCCCTCATTTTCAGGGGGATAAAATATTCGCTGACATTGTGGCAAAAGGGAACATTTCAATACATCCACATGAAATCTTCATGCCATCTCAATAAACAACAGATGAACAGTCTATTTAATTGTTAGTCTATGAAGAACAACATAATATAGTAGAAAGTGTATGTGAATAGAAAATAAAGATAGATATCAACCTTATCAATGAGGTCACTGCCACCAGAGACAGAAAGGGAGAACAAAGCCAATTGGTCCACATATGCACTGCTAGCAATAAAGCAGCCACTGCAATATGAAAGCAAGAAAACTAGGAACACTGAGGATATCCAGACGCAAATGCTATTCTTCTTTTAAAACTTATTCTTGTACTTGAAATTCAAAATCTCACGCCAACATAAACTTAAACAAAAAGAAAAAAGAAACTTGCAAACAATTTCACGTTAAGCTCTTAACATTTATGAGATCAGTTAATGAGTTTTCAAAAGAGAATTCATAATTCTTGCCATATCGGTGTTCCATTAACAACAAATAATTTTTACAAGGCAACATCTCACTAATCCCAAGATCAATCCTTCCCTTCCCATCACTGCACTTCTCAGGACCATTATTGTTAACAGGCTAATAGAAGTGGGAAAGCTAAGTTGCCCTTCGGTTAAGGACTCTCATTTGGTATATAGTTCTTCACTAAATGAGCACTGACAACTTGCTCAGTAGGGGATAGGTTCAGCATTTCAGTGTTCTTAATAACTCTTCATCTGAGTATGGCCGGTTGGGCCCCCAGCATCCGAAGATTTAGCTTTTGATTCCCAGTATCTGAGATTTTAACAATAAATAACAACCATCAAAAAATGCATCTTTCCTTCTCAGTCTAGACTGCAAATGTGAACCCAACCAGAATGAAGCATGCCTCTATAAAGAATAGGGCTTGTGAACATCCAGACTTCTGAAAACCCCCATAAACAACCTGATATGCAAACACCAGCATATAGACAATTTAACTCAGTGTTCTTCCTAGGAAAAGCAACTTACCTGGAATCAACAGCCAGCATTCTTCCTAGTTGATGCCTTGAGTTTCCAGGACTAGAAAGTTGCACTTGCGTCAATGGAAAAAACCTTTAAAAAGAAAAGTGTTATCTCAAAAAGGAATGAAGCTTCCTCAATAAGTAGCAATCCCAAGTGCAAGAATGAATAGATCATATAAAAGAAACCTGAGCATTTCATTGCAAAACGTGAGAAAGGATAGCTTCCCAGAATCAGAAACAACAGCCAAGAGGTCTTTTTCCTGCATGTACAGTGTAAATGCGAAAACATATTCACAACATCACCCTTGCCAAGGAAAAATATTTACTGTCATTTTTTTTTTTTTTTGTCTTCCAGGGGACAATGTGACTTTTTGTTGCATTTCTGAGTTTCAGTTTTCTTCATTCAGTATTTTTTTAAGGTTATTGAGAAGTAGGAAGAATATAAAAACATATGTTTGTAAAACAAAGTCATAATTTAGAAATCAATAGACCTGCGGGCTTCGTGCATGTAATTTTCCATTCGAAGGGATAACAGCAAGATCCTTAATAGTGCCAAATATGGGCTGCTCACAAACAGACTCTACAATTCCCTCTTCGCCAATTATTACCAACTCTACAGATGTCTCCTGCGACAATATGATCACCATCAGATAAAACTAACAATAACATTATAGGATTAAATAGGTAGAAGAACGAAGCAGAGTCTACTTTCTGACCATGCAAAACAAGAAATTTTAATTTCTTGCTTATATGATTTTCCTTCACAATCAAACCATAATTAAAAATTAATACTACAGCATATTAGCATCATATTAGCATTGGACTTATCTTCATCACTAATCCAGTTTTCTTTTTTTCCATTTTTAAGGGCATTCACTAGCTAATAAGCCAAAACAGAAAATTGAAGTAAATTGACCAGAAAATTAAGTGTAGTAACTAAAGCATAGCAGTAGCAAAAGCACAAAAATTCAGTGCAAACAAGAGAGAGAGAGAGAGCTGACTTTGCCAAATATGATGTCGTTGGATGAAGACGAACGGAAGTGACCATACACGACCTGAAGAACAGCGCTTCCTCGAAGAACACACTTGGCCAGGTAGTGCGTGCCATTTAATGTTGCAGAAGGAGACGATGATCGGGACTTGGCATTCGAGCACTCCTCCTCTGAGACAGCCATTTTTATGTTTCTTATGAATCCAGTGTGGAAGTTAGGGTTTCGTGAATTGTTTGTTTCTCGAGAAAAAAAATAAAGGGAATTTTCTAGAGTTGTTGGTGGTTTTGTACAGGGAGTTTAACATGTGGTGTGCTAAGAACTTAACACATTTCACATATAGATTTTGGATCTTTGATTCTGTAACATTTTACATGGGTTGTTATTACTCGTTATTTTCTCATTGTTTATATATTTACTAGTATTTATTTACAATATTAAGTACTACAGTACCATCAAATTGGAATATAAATTATTTTCACATGAAATAATAAAAATAAATTGAATGACTTATTATTAATATTATTAATCTTTTAATTTAATTTTTAATTATATATATATTTTTTTAAGAAAGCTTATCAAATAATGTCGATTTTTTTATAAATATTATGATTTTCTAGCTAAATTCATCTCTATAGCTTTTATACTTTGTTTTTGTAATCTTGTAATAATTTTTTATTTACTTTTTTATCCGCCGTTTTTTAAAAATTAAATAGAAAATAATAGAAGTTTATATAATTTATAATATTATGAAAATTTGAAAATACAAAAGAAAAAAATAAAGAAAAAGCATTGAGTAAAAAATTATATAAAAATAATACAATCAATGTGAAAAATAATAAAATTCAATTTAAAGATTTAATAGAATATTAAAATTCAGAAAAAAAAGTATATGTTAGTCGTATAAACATAAAAAAGAATATTAAAATAAAAATAAACTAATTTATTATTTTTTCTTATCTCCCCAAATAAAATGTTTTTCATATAATAAAATAATAAAATTAAATATTTCAAAAAAAAATGTGAAACTTTTAAATGCCTCATTATTATATATATTTAGTTTAACTTATAATTTTAGAAAAAGTAAAAAATTTAAAAAGCTCGCAAATTTTAAAATCTATACATATCTATCTATTTTTAATAAAAATAAAATTTTAAAATATTATATATATTGTTTTAAATTATTTTTTCTTTTCGATTGGCTAAGAAAAAAAATTATTTTAAATGTCACAAAATATATTATCAGAAATCTTATTATTCTTCTTCGTTCCTTGTTCATATATAGTATGGATATAAATAGATAATATTAATTAAATATTATTAATTTGGAACTCATCAATAAATATATACAGCAAAAAGATTGTTTTAAATAATAATATTGGTGCCTCCGCTTCGTTAAATTTGATAATTTTTTTTTTTATTTCATTTAAATGACACTTCTAAAAAATCAATTGAATAGCTTTCCAGCATCCAATCGTTCGTAACATATCTGGGACATGATAAATATTAATAATGATATAAATAATAAATAAATACTATATCTAAAATAGCTTTTTCATTGTAAACCGGGCCATTTGCTTGAGTGTAGATATCTGATTAAGGTTAGATATACCTATAAAAGTAAAATCAAGGACAATCAAGTCAATTTAATATTAACAGAACTTATTCTAGAAGTAACGTTACCATATAAATAATTTACAAATCTAACTAGAGGTTCATAAATATGAAATTTAACATAAAAGTAAAATCATCAATATTGCAATACAAGCTAGATTAATCTCAAAATGGCATCCGCAAGTTCAATTACATCAGAAGAAGGTTAAAAGTTAGTATTAGCAAAGGATAAGTACTTGCTACAGCCACTACCATAAGGAATAGCATCTTAAAATTGCACTAGGGTTTCTACAAAGAGTTGATTTACAAGGACATAAATTTCTTTAATCTAAAACCAGGAGTTTCCTGTTACACAAAACATAACTGCACTACTGAAACTACCTGTGTATCAACTCTCTCGAGATGCCAACTAAAACTTCAATGTACTTGATTCAACTTGAGCCTTGAAAACTGTCAAGTATTTTGGGTGAAACTGTAATCTATAAGTACTGAAAATCTCCACAAGAACAGGGCAAATCAATCTCCAGCAATTACTGTACCGTTCTATTCAGAAATATAAAGCCCAACAATTTATGCACTCTGGCCATCTAAAGTTCCGAGAGCCTCCTTGAGAAGTTTCTGTGCTTCTTCTCTCCTCCTGGACAAGACAAGGAAGCATCAATCAGAATTTTAACTACAAATATATCAGGGTAGTGTATGAACATTTGCTCATCCTACCTAAAGATAAAACAAAAGCAACATCAAAACTTGCCAACTAATGACGATACAATAACATAAAATTATAGCCCTTAAGGATGTGGCAATGCTTCATGACAATTCACCTGACAATAAAATAAGTAAAAAAAATAAATACCATGCCAATTAGCATGCTAACATTTTCCTCAAAGATTGCAATCTAAAATAGCCACATAAGAAGGCATAAATATAGCGGTTCTACTCAATGATGAAGTAACAGAGTCCAACACACATAAGAAATGTACTTACAACAATTTATGATTCATTAGCTACAGGTTTGAGCTGCAAACCGCAATAATTTCAAACTATTCATATAAATTTTCCTCTGCTCCATGTGTGACAACATAGAAAATCCAGTCAAATTTTGCTTTTGAAATTTAATAATCACAATCTACAATATTCAGCTACCAAGAGACTACACAGTGACACTATTTTGCTCAGCCTTGAGCCAACATCTCAAGGTTAATTGCTCAAAGCTTTGTCAACTAGGTCTAAAATAAAGTAGATCAGGTTTAACATATATTATGTTTTTGCCTGTCATCTAACAATTTTTTTTACAAACTGCATGAACAACCTTAGAACAAAAGCTCATTTCAGATGCTTTGGCAATATACGAGAGACAGTTTATTCGCAGGGTAGGCAGCTGATTATATCAGTAAGATTTTCAAAAGCATACCCCTTAATATCCTCAACAGCTTGTTTACGCCGTTGTATCTGAAGCTCTAGAATATGAATCAGCGTGGCTCGAGCCTAGGGAGAACAAAAACTATCATACAAAGAATTGGATCCTCAAAAACAGGCCAGAAGTAAGTAAAAATTAATTTACCTGATGGGGCCGCAAAGAATTTAGAAGGTGATGCAAGTTCTTAAATATGAGAGATATATCCTCCACTCTCCTAGCATATTGTGATGGTCTCTCAACAAGAACATCAGCAAGTTCCAAAATGTGCAGCTGCAATTCTCTATTAAGTGACCTCAGTTCTTTCTTGAAATCTATTAAAAGATAACATTAGCTATTCAACAACCATAAAACGTGGAAGAAAAATAACTAGACTCACAAAAGCAATCGTTTCACTTATTAAAAAAAATAAAAATGTAACTCCAAATTCTCTAGTAATTGCCTCAGTTCTTCCTTGAAATCTTTAAAAAAGAATATTAAAGGCTATCTTGTGACCAAAAAATGCTGAAGAAAAGGGGGAAAAAAACAACTACTAAAATAATCATTTAAAAAAAAATAAAAAATAAAACCACTAAAATATGCAGCTACCATTCCATATATAACACAACCAATCCAGTAAACAAAGAATGTGGAAGAAACAAAATGAAACCAACTAAAACAATCACGGTTTTATTCATTTATTTATTTTTAATAAAACATGAAGCCACTAAAATTGAGTTTTTGAAATCTATCTAAAAATAATAATAAAACACCACCCACTTGCTCCAGTTACCAAAAAAATTGAAACAAAATAACCAAACCCAGTAAAGAAACTACATTGAAAAAAATATATATATGAACGACCACCTAAGAAAAAAAAAAAAAAAAAACAAAAAAAAAAATACCATATGCAGATAATGAAAGACCATAAAGTTGAATTACTAGGATGCCTAGCTCTTTTTCCTTGAAGATCCAATCAAAGCAGTTCATCTTTGATCAAGCTCAGCTAAAAGATAAATAGCAAAATCCTAAGAAAAAAAAAAAAAAATACCATATGCAGATAATGAAGAGCCATAAGTTTGAATTACTAGGGATGCCTAGCTCTTTCTTGAAATCCATCAAAGCAGTCATCTTTGATCAAGCTCAGCTAAAAGTAAGCAAAATCAAAGCAAACATACCAACATTAGGTCCCTTAGGATAGAGCTGACGCACGCCTTGCTCTTCTAAGCTTGGAAGCACATACTCTGTCTATAAAGAGAAGAGAACGAGATCTAAAAATCAAAACAAAAAACGACCATTGAATAGAGAGAAAGAGAGAGCTTACAGTATAATTGGCACCAAAACAGACATAGGTCCCTTCAATTGGAGGGGGAGGCTCAGGAGCGGACTTAGGGTTTTGTAAGTAATCTTTGTACAGTCTGTAATAAGGTGGGGGTGGTGGGTATGTAGCGGTAGCCATTGCTAAGTCTTGCAACCTTCAAGAAAAAAAACGTCGTTTGCTAGCAGTTGAAAGGAGAGCGCAGAAGAAGGGAGATTTGCAGGCCGGACGATTCGAGGAGAAGCGAGAGAGAGATAGAAACCGACAGCGATTTGACGATATCGGTTTTTTGTTACTGCATATAACATATCGAATGCAGACCGTCCACTTTCTGTCGCATTTGGACCGTTGATGGATTTGTCGCTTTATTGGGCGTTACATATTTTGTTGTTAAATAATTATGAAAGACAAAATAAAGAGAATATTTAAACCGTTATTTTTATTTAGTATTTTATTTTTTAAAAAGTTAAAAGAGTGATAGACTCCTATTAAACATTATTCAACTATAACTTTTAAATTCCTTTATATTTTTATTTTACAAAATAATTTCTATTATTTTCATGTATTTTATACAAAATTATTTTAATAATGGTAATATTATACCAGCTCATTAAATATTCTTCTTGGTCAATTATTTTTTTAGTAAAATCATGAATACAAATCTATGTTAGATGAATATATCAATCACGTACCAAACCTATGATTATAATTAATATGGATTAATAATATCAATTAGATTACTAATAATAAATATTCAAATAATATATTTGAAGTGCAGAATCACGACTAATTTTATAATATTTGACTATTTTTTCATATAAGATAGTATTATTCCTTTCAATCCAATATTATGGTCCTTACTTTTTCATGGAGCTTAATTATTTTTCGTTATTTTTCCATATAGACCATTAAAAATTTTAACAGTTGTATATTAATGATTAGACTTTCAAAATAGGGTGAATAATTAGTATATTAAATTTTAGTAGTTTAAGGCTTTTTTATTATCAAATAAATTCAATTAATATTAATTATTCACACTAAATTCTCGTAAGAAGGATATTGTGAAAAAGTGAAAAAAATAATTTATAAAAATAGAAATGACATTATTTAGTTTTTTATATTTATTATTTTTTTGTGCATTAATATGAGCAATTTTAGACTATTGCAAGAAAGCAATTAATCCTCTTAAATTATAGTAAGATGTATATTAATTTAACTAAATTACATTTTATATCATATTATTACTCCAATCTCACTAAATTTATTTAATGTAAATAAAGATAAAATTAAAATTTTTTATTAATTACTCATAATATCTCAAAATGCATATGTTTATGGGCAAAAATTATTATAAAACTACTTATATTATGAACAAAATAAGTATTTCATTAGTAGCATTTAACTGCCAAAATAGCATTTTTAAACTAAATAATTAAAGTAGTTTTACTATACTAAAAATCGATGATTTACAGATAAATTAATAATTTTGATTAAATTTTAAGGACAAAATAGTAATTTTTTATTAAATAAATATCCAATCATCTCTAATAAATATTATGTGATTCAATAAATTTTTTTAAATAACAATATGTCAACTTTTCTTTTTTAAAATTTGAATTTATTGACATAATATTAAAATATATCGTTACCTATATAAATATTTCGCTCCTAAAATAGCAAAAACAAAAACTCTCTGTTCTGGTCAGCCAGCAAGACCGTTAAAGCAGTTGACATACACAAACGAAATTGAAAAGGAAAGAGTGGGACACCGATAAATCCTGCAACGTTAGCACCTCTCTCTCTCTATATCCGTGCCAAAGCAAAAGAAATGGAAATAACGCCTAATTTGTTGTTAATCACCCTCTCTGATTGACTTTTGAATTTCAGTTCCTAACCAGATCTCTGAACCAGTTTACCAGGTAATACCTCAAGCTTTCTTTTCTTTCATTTTCGTTTTTCTGACTGTTTACGCATTTATTAGACATTGAATTCCAATTTTAATTCGTGAATTTGAAAGATTTTTTCTCATCGAGATAAGGTATGTAGGATTTGGGATTTTATGGAAGTATCAACAGACAAAATAAAGGATCGATCTTTGTTGTTTTGTTGGCAGATCCAGCAGTAGAAGTGAAATATCTTTTGTTGTGGATCGAAATTTTGGATCTTTTTTAGCTATATTTTCAAATGCACCATTTTGCAGATAGCTAAATTTGGTTAATTTAATGTGTAAAATAATGCTCGATTAATTGCCAATCCCGTAGGGTTAAATAGTTCTCCTCTCATTAATGCACAATTTACATGATAAAAAGTAAATCAAGGGATTTTTGTTATAGCAGTAAATATCTCAAATCCACAGCGAGGAGGATGAACTAGATTATTTATTTATTTATTTAAGTTATTACAGTCTACCTCTTTTTAAAAATGGACTATAATGTTATTTAAACCCTGGGAAATGAAGAAGGTAATAGCGTGCATATTTGCCTTCTTTCGAAAAGCAAATGCCAATAAGGCGACAATTATGGGAGTAAATAGCAACTAAAAGTTCTTCTAACTGTTTTCAAGTTTTCTTTAATGTGAGATTATAAATTGGAAGTCCATTTGTTGCCTTGTTAGTATTCTATTTGTACTTTTGCTAAGGGAAGAGAAAACAGGCAAAAGCTCCTGAATACAACAACATTCAAGAAGATTTTGGTTTATTAAAAGGTTCGGTAGCTTGGAGTTAAGATCTTTCTCTTTCTAAATTATTTGTACATTCACTTATTGCTAATTTCTGGATGAAAATTTTAAGTGTCTTTACTTTTATCCTTTAAATGGTGGTGAAGAATTCATTGCTTCAGAACAAACTTATTGTAGGTGTATTTCAGAATGGATCCTCCAATGATAGATATCGAACTTGTTCCAGAAAAAGAGAAAATTGAAGATGGAAAAGAGGGAGGCCCCACATTCCACTGTGACCTTTATGATGCAGATCTAGTTCGCAGAATAGCCCAAGTGTTCCTACCTGGATTATCGGCAGCTTGTGTTGACAACACAACAGGTGGTATATTCAGGTCCCCTGCTTCAGTGGCTGTTGAGATGAGGAAAGAAATGATTGAATATCTCACCATGCGAAGTGAAACTTTTGTTGCTGAAACTATTATCTTGGAAGGTGGTCAAAATGAAGAGATATCCGACCATCCTTACGATATTATTTCTGATTTTGTTGATGACTTTGCAAGTTCAAAGAGGAATTTCTTTAGTCGGGTTCAAGGATGGATACTGAGCGAAAAGAGAGAAGACAAGATAGATGATTTTGTACAGGAGATGGAAGTAAATGGATTTTGGTTGAGTGATAGGAGAGAGGTAATTGCGCAAAATTTGGTTAAGAATGTTGACTACAAAAACATATTTTACTGTGACAAGAAATTCTATACTGCTGAAGAACTAGCCGAGCATGTCATCAACTGTGATTTTAGGACTGTAAACTGCACAAATGATGGCTGTGTATCTTTTTTTTGTGCAAGCCAATTGGAGAAGCATGATTCGACTTGTCCTTTCAAAATAATCCCTTGCGAACAGAAGTGCTCAGATCACATCATGAGACGTGAAATGGACCGACATTGCATAACTGTCTGTCCAATGAAGCTTGTGAACTGTCCTTTCTATGCTGTGGGTTGTCCAGCCGCCATAACAAGGAGTATGATTCAGCAGCACTGTTTAGATGACCTCAATTCACACTTGGTATACGCACTTAAAAATATTCACAAAGAAGCATCTGAGGAGGATTTGAAAGATCGGTTGGATCAGATAATGCAGGTGAGTCAGAGGTTGATGATTCTTGAAAAATTCTCAGCAACTGAATTGATATAAGAAAGCCACATAATTTGATTGCAGCATGCTTAAACAAACTGATGTTTGTTTGCCTCTTGTTTCTGAATTCTGGAAGCAACCATTTAGATAGCCCATTGTGTTTCTATCATAGGCGAACCCAACTACAACTAGTTTTGGATTAAGGCTTAATAATTATTAGAAATGTTTTTCTATGTTCTTATCATTCCTAAGCCTGTGAAATGATTAGGCAAAATTGCATTCATTTTCTGTTGACCTATGTTCTGATGCTCTAGGCCAAAATAGAAGCTATGAATATTCTTCTAATTATATCTACTGTAGAAACAGTCTATTGATCTGGGACAGAGAGAGCTAAAAACGAAAAATAAAAAAATCTCACACATTTTAAGATGTCAAGAGATGCATCAAATTGTAGTCAGCATGTAATGGGGCATTCATTGGGCCCTTAACCAATCTATTCTTAGCTTCCTATATGCCTGATGGCCGTACAGGGATGGTAATTTAGCAGGTAAACTATATTTAGTTAATGATTATATCTTGGATATAGAAATATGAATGTGCTTGATTACCAGGCTTCTTACAGACTTTCTATCTCCCTCTCTCTTTTTAATCTTCTTGGATTTACTTGAAGCGCAGAGGGGAATTTTAGTTTATTAATAGAATGAACATAATGTGAGGAACTTGAACAATGTAGCTCCAATTATGAAACTCATCTTCAACGTTATTCTTTTGCAATGGGGAAATTAAATTTTTTGATGTGTTGCTTACTTAAGGATTTCGTGAAACACATGAAAAATTTCCTGACCAACACATGCTATAAAGTCAAACTATGTAAGTGTATTAATAGGCTTATACTTGTAAAGGGCACCTTTTGTATTTAATTTTGAGCTTACCGCATAAAGTTTTCGTAAATGGTTCTATTGTTATTTAAATTGTTACTGCTTGTGGTTGGACTTCCAGTAAGTGTGGTGTTATTCTTGTGCCTTTTTGACTAGATGATTTCTTTCTTCTTCTCCTCGGTTGGTCGCATTTAAATTACTACGAATCAGCTTTCTTATAAAGTTCATTTCAGTGATGTACGACCAGTTTGTCATGCGCAATGCAGTGCACATGTTTTTCATAATATCATGCTTATAAATTGCCACAGACATAACCAGAATTGACACTTTTCATTTTCTACGACAGGCATCTTCTGGTCAGCTACAAGCAGCTAGAGATGCGAGAGCTCTAACCAAGAGAGTCAGGGATCTTGATGCAAAGCTTGGGCCCCTAGTTATTACCAAAAAGATTGGTGAAGAATCCGCCGATGATTCAGACAACATTACTGACAGATTCATTGAGGTTGCAAATGAGAATACTGACAGTTCTGTTGAGGCTGCAAATGATGTTACTAACAAATCCACAGATGCTGCAACCAACGTTACTGAAAAATCATTGGAGTCTTCAAATGATGCGATTGTTAAATCAACCAAGGCTTCAACTGAAGTTATCGAAAAATTATCAGAGGCTTCAGATGAAGCTACTGAAAAATCCATTGAGGCTTCAAATGATATTACTGAAAGATCCTTCGAAGCTCCAAAAGAAGTCACTGAAAAATCCATCGAGGCTTCAAATGATGTTACTGAAAAGTCCGTTGAGGCGTTAGATGATGTTACTGAAAACACTGAGGCTTCAAATAATGTTGCTGACAAATCAACGGAGGCTGCAAGTGATGTTAGTGACAAATCCACAGGGGCTGCAAACGACGTCAGTGAAGATTCCAATGAGTCTACAAATGAACATAATGGCAAATCCACTGAGGCTGCAGATGATATTACTGACAAAACGGATGAGGAAGAAAACGGGGCTATTGAAGAATCATCTCAAGCTGGAATTGGAGTTACTGAAAAATCCACCTACTACCCAAACAAGTTTGGTGATGAGTCTCTTGAAACTTCAAATTTAATAGCAGATGCTGAAAAGGAACCTCAAACCCAAGCTTAAACATAAATCAATAGTGTTTTCTTAGCAAACCCTGTTCATGAAATGTCAGAGATCATATCTAGCAGGAAACCTGGACATGCAACTTTGAAGTGCTCAAACAAGGTTTCTTACAACAATTTTGCTCTCAAGAACTTCACCTTTTTCATTTCACTATATACCCCCTTTTCTTTTGTGAAAATTCATTTTTGACAATGAAATTTTTATCCAAGCATACAATTCCTTAAGATGAATGGCAATGCTTTGTTCTGTTATTTGTTGCTGTGGAGCAATGTGTTTTATAACACCAAACAATGACAATGTGAGTAATCTCTACACCACAACATCAGACCTAGATGATCCCAATTGTCAAATGGGAAAACACAGTATTAGAATATTGAACTGGTACGGACATTTTAAAGATTTCAGAAAATGGTAAGAAAAGAAAAATGAAGAACAAAGACAGTGCCTCCACTTCTCCATTTTCTTTTGTTAAAATTCATTTTTGACAATGACATTTTTATCCAAGCATACATTCCTTAAGATGAATGGCAATGCTTTGTTCTGTTATTTGTTGCTGTGGAGCAATGTGCTTTATAACACCAAACAATGACAATGTGAGTAATCCTACACCACAACATCAGACCTAGATGGTCCCAATTGTCAAATGGGTAAACACAGTATTAGAATATTAAACTGGTACGGACATTTTTAAAGATTCCAGAAAATGGTTAGAAAAGAAAAATGAAGAACGAAGACAGTGCCTCCACTTCACAATTTCTGCAGTTTTATAATATATGTATCCATTGGGAGGCCCTGCGGGCTGTACAATCGTGATAGTCCTCCCTTAACTCACCAATTTGGTGAAAATTCTTATAGTCATAGAACTTGAACTTGAGCCCTCACACTCCTCACACAAAAGTGAGAACGTCAACCAGACCACACCAGTTGGCCCTTATTTCATTATATTGAATAAATTGTTTTGTACTTCAATACACCCTACTGAGTTCTGGTTTTGTCGTCCAGCTTTATATCAATTGATACCGTGTAAATAGTGATTGTAGAATTCTTTTTTTTAAAAAAAAAAAAAAGAAATAATTTGGTTTTTGCAAATCCTTTGAAGTTGAAAAATCAAGAAAATGTCTTTCAAACAAAAAAAAAAAAAAAAAAAAGGTTTTGTCGTCCAGCTTATATCAAATTGATACGTGTAAATAGTGGATTGTAGAATTCTTTTTTTTTAAAAAAAAAAAAAAGAAATAATTGGTTTTTTGCAAATCCTTTGAACGTTGAATAAATCAAGAAAATGTCTTTTCAAACAAAAAAAAAAAAAAAAAGAAAAAATCAAGAAAAAAAAAAAAAAAAAAAAGAAAAATCAAGAAAATGACCAAGTCTTGGAATTTGAATTCCAATGACTCTAATAAAAGTTAAAGAAATGAAATCAAAGGAAGACTTGTTAAAACTGCTTGTGGAAATTTGTACTCATATAAGCTTATTTTCCAAGTCCACAGGCTCTAATGTTGAGGTGAAACTACTTTGAATTTGAACTTTCAAATGCTCATTTGTGTGTGTATATACATTTATAATTTGAATGAAATGATATTGAAAGCACATGGAAATTAACTATAGTCCCGTTTGGTAAACGTTAGAATATTAAAGATTAATCAAATTTTTGATATAATTAGGAGGTTTAATCCTCCTCAGACCGTAGAACATAAAAATTTTTTACGGTCTCAGTAAAGTGGATTTCTAAGGTGTTGAATCTGTATTCTCATCCCTACGGGACACATATCACTTACTACTCCAACCAATATCATATGATTTTGATTAATCATTTTTTATACCTAATTGTTGCCATTTTGCTTACTAACCAAAAACCAACTAGGTTAATCTTTTTATTCTATATTTTGTTACGTTAAGCAAAAGTAATATTTCATTTCAGTCTTTTTCGATTCCAACTCATAAAAGTTGACTAGGCACTAGCTAGCTAGCTTGGTGGACGAGGTCTGTTCTTTCTTTATGTTTAGTCATTCTCAAATATGGACATTTTTGAAGATTATATTAACTTAATAAAACATGAAAAGACTGGTCCATTAATAGGCTTTGACTATAAATTTCCACATGAAATACCCTACGTGCACGCTCTCAATTGACCACTTAATTAAGCATAATCCACTAGAAGAAAAAATGAGAGAGAGAAAAATCATCCAAATAAAAAATTTATCGATTATCCAATAATTATTTAATAAATTTCATTTTATTAATTAAAAATTTTAATAAAATGATTTTATAATTTATCGGACACAATTTATAAATCGCAAATAAAATTAAAGATATCACAATTTGCAAAAAAGATATAAATGTTTTTACGCATTAGTTAAATGTGGAAAGCGAGGTAACTTATTTTTCTCTATTAATTCAACACATTCAAAATGATTAAATAAATGAAAGTAAATTGCCTTTTTAAAAAAACTTTATCGAGTTTAGATTTTCCTAATCAGAGTATGGTAAAAAATATCATTGTCTTAATTTTTCATTAATTTAATCTATAAATTTGTTCAAACTCACGTCCAGACAAGTCTAATTCACTTTATCTTTAAGGTCTTGAAACTTAAATTTGCTACTCTTAAAAGGATTTTACTGAAATATCATATTTTATCCGAACGTAAGACACATGTACAAAGGAAAAAACATTAACGTTCTCTAAACTACTAATTTGAGGAATTATTATATAAAAGTAATGAAATGAGTTGGATTTTGACTAAAGTATTAGAGTGATTGGCTAAAGACTAATTAATTAAATAAAGTAAAAATTGAATGACCAAAACAATTAGCCAAGAAGCAGAATTGGTGAAAGTGATGTGTCGGTGCTTCCTTTAATGAAGCGCGTTGGACCGAAAAGCATGCATGCAAATTGCAATACATAAGAGATTCTTTTTGTCAAATTAAAAACAGTAACCATATAGCTGTCTGTCTCTTATCTTTATACAGTTCTATTTCAGACAAATCTAACCAAAATCGACTCCATGTCCGTCTCTTTCTACTTCATTTTTTTTCCTTCTTCTTCTTCTTTAATTTCATCTTCTCTTGTTATGCTTTCCAGCTGCATTTTGTTGTTTTCTAATTTCAGCAATACCATCTCTCACTATTTCCTACTGCTTTTTCACCACTATATGTGTTGTTATTAAAAATTTAAATATGTTTTTTTTTATACTTGCACGAGATATCTAAATCCCCATCCGTTTTAACGGTCCACAAACCTGGCTAATCTCCACTTGCTCTCGAAAGTAAAGGGGTTGACCCATGAGAGTTTGTATTGCAAAGAATCAAACCCATGACCTGAGCTATAGAAATCAACCCCGCAAGTGCTTTTTGCTGCTAAACTACCCTATTGGGGTTAAATATGTTGTAAGTGTCAAAATTAGAAAAAACTAATAGATTATAAAAAAAATGGCAAAATTGTTGCAAATATTAAGAATGTGGTTTATTCAATTGGGTTTATTCGATAATACGTTTAGATTTTAAAACATTAGAAGGTGAAAAAAATAAATAAATTAAGAATTATAGTTCCATATTTTAAATATAATTTTAGATAAATTAGATATTATTATCCAAATTCAAAGGATGCCCTTCTTTTATCTTTGAAAAAAGCCATTGACTATTGGATAAATAATTATATATTGTTATTGAGAATTGAAATTCAAACCGTATATTTTAAGAATAGTCTCGTTTTTATATTCCTTAAATGGAGAGTACTCTTATTTTTATTATTGACCTAAGAAATTTATTTATTTTTGTGACTGAGAAAAACATTTAGAAATTGTTTCGTATAAAGTGAATTCTATAAATTCATTTACAAATCGAAGTTTTCAATTTTTTAGTATAAATGAAAATTCATTTGAACTTCACATTTTTTATTTTGTGGAATTAGTTATACTTAGATCTAATTCTACTAAAATTGATAAGATTTGCAAATAAATTCTAAAATTAAAAAGTAAAAGTTATTAAAACTAAAATATTCTAAATTCATACACACAAAGACGTATCCTAACAACAAATGCATATACGACATTATAATAGATTCAGGCCGAAGAAAATTCATTTGTGAATGATTTTTATAGATAGTAGATTTTAGATGTATAGTTTTGCTAGTTTATACTTAAAAGCCCATTAATTTTAATATATATATATATATATATATATATTATATATATATATATATATTTATTATATATAAAGTGATTTCCAAATTTGAGTTATAAATGTAACTAAATTTAAGTGGAATTAAGATATATTATAAATTATTTCCAAATTTAGTATAAATGTAACTAATTTAAGTGGAATTAAGATATTAAATTTCAAGAAATTTCCTTATAACAAGCATAAAAATTTTAATTTAAAAACAAATTTTATGAAATTCATCTATATAATTTAATAAAATTTACATGTAACAAACGAAATAAATTCAATGTGCATCCATCTATTCCCGATCCAATACTACTAGTATTATCTTTGCGCTAGCAGCATCTCAACTAGAACACGTGTGTGTCACTGACCGCATATTAGTATTACTACGGGGACAAGGGTAGCATTGTCAATTAATAAACCGAGTGACATTTAATTGGCTAGAAACTCACACGTGGCACTCTGAATTAATTACATTCTACACACAGATCTGAGAGCGTCCGTACTGTACAACGTACATAGCTGTCTTCGTTGGAGCTTTGAAAACGACAGTTGGCTGTGATAGTATCATCTCTTCCTGGTTGACTTTTTGAATCAGAATTTTCGATCATCCATTGCGCGCGTGTTAAACACCTTCAAATTATAGTACCAAGCACATGATTCGTGAAATTAACAGCTTGATACTGCGATTGTGCTAAGAACTTGTCGTGGTAATCTATGTTTGGCTAATTAAAAGCAAGATTTGTACTTCAGGGTACAAGCGGTGTACAGTGACGGTGGAGGCCGACAAAGCTCATCTTACTGTCCGACAGAATTTTTGATTTAAAACGCCGACGTTCAGCACCATTCAAGAATCGAGATTCATCCAATTTTAAATTTTATAATAACATTAATGTCGCAATAATATATATTTCTTAAGAAACTTTTATTGTCATCTATTTTCCTTTTCATAAAAAGAAAGTTGAAATTAGGCAACCACTATCTTTAACATATTTTTTATTACTTAGTTATTGTTTTGGATTAGGCATTTATTTGCCTGTAGGTTCAAGTCAATACATTTAATGAATTATAGTCAACCTTTCAATCAACAAATTGATTTGAACGTTAAAATAATAATTTCTCTAGATCTTATATATTTAGATTAATTTTTTTAAAATTTACAACATATGATAAACACAAATGAATTTCTGCTACTACGCATCAATAGCATCAATTAAGAAAATATATCGCACTACCAAGTTTTATTGATCAAAGATCCATATATGTAAATCAAGATCTAAAGTCTCTGATCAAATAAAATCAAATATAATATTTTTATTTAATAACAAATCCTCACAAAGAAAGGAAAAAAAAAACCTTGGAGACAAAGCAAATATAACAAAAATAAACAAAAAATATAGATTTATTATATGAAAAATAGATCTGAATTTATTTAAGTGAATAAAAAATTAAAAGCAAAAGAAGGTAACCAAAAGGAAGAATAAATGATAGGGGTTACCACTAATAATCAGCAACATGCACAAACTAAAACTAGGTTAGAAGATAAAAAAAAAAGTGATGCACTCATCCCGAACTTTTTGACTAGTTGCAATTTCATCTTAAATCGACTTTTGCACCGCGATCACTCTAAACATATCATCTTATAAGTTGATAGTGGTGAATCCATGGAATATAATAAATAAATCTTTTGGTTTTTATGATTAGAAATATTCTCATGTATCTAATTTAGATTTTCTTCAAGTGATCTTAAATGTGCTGTCTCCACACATCAATCTAATTTAGTGCATTTTAAAATATTTTTTTAATATTTATAAAAATATAACATCTAAAAGAAATCAAATTAATTAGTTAATATTTAATGAGAAAAAAGAACTATTGACTTTAGCTATTTAATGTATACAATAAATAAAAAATTTGTTATTTTGGGATATTTTGAAAATCTTTTATACTAGATTAACTCAATTAATGCAAGCACATTAAATGAAGTTTTTCTTATATACATAAAAAAATATTTAAAAGAAGAATAGATCTACCTAACTTCATAGTATTACATGTCATGTTTAGAATTTCACGTTTATTAAGAAAATCATTAAATTTATCTAAGTTACAATAAATTATTGAGTAAATTAATTATATTACCCTTAATTTAATACTAATTCTCTAAAAAAACTATTAAATAATAAAAATTTTGAGTAAATATAATTATATTACCCTTAATTTCAATACTTAATTCTCTAAAAGAAACTTATTAAATTTAAGAAAATCATTAAATTTATCTAAGTTACAATAAATTATTGAGTAAATTAATTATATTACCCTTAATTTAATACTAATTCTCTAAAAAAACTATTAAATGAATTAATAATTATTGGTCATCGACAAAAGGTAAACATGAAAAAAACATTTATTACTCCTAGAAACAACAAATGTGACAAGTATTTTGGAATAAATTATTTTTTTCAAATGTAAGAAGTATTATGGAATAGAGATAGTACATCACAAGCAAACACTAGTAGGTAAAAAAATAAAATGTTTCCAAAACCTCATCTTGATACGTGAAGTTGTTGTTGAAATTGCTTGTTAAAAAAAAATAATTTTATGTCCATAAATCGACTCAAAAATATTATTAACAGTAAATGTTTAAACCCTAATTAAATAACTTCAGGTAAGAAAAGAGAAAGAGGATGAAGAAGGGGAAGAAAGCTATGGGCTAGCAGGAAAGTGAAAAGACAATAATGCATACGTAAGTGATGATAGAGAGACTCGAAGAATTCTCTGGCTTTGTAACCCCACGTGACTAGAAAAATTCTCTGGCTTTGTAACCCCACGTCACTAGAAAAGAAACAGCTGGTTGACCGTTGAGGTTAATCAATTCCTAGTCACTGAGATAATGACTATAAAATTATAAAAATTTTGCCCTAAATGTGGGCAATTGACTCAACTAAAGTCTTTTCTTTTTTTTATTTAAAGAAAAGTTTTTTTTCCAATCGATTTGTTTAATTAATTTATTTTATTTACATATATTAGGCTTAAATGAAAATAATATTTAAGTAAAATTTTTTCAATTTTATATTTCAAACTTCTAATATTACAAATAAAATTTACCTGAAATATATTACATTTTTTCTGATTTGCGTTAATTTTATTTGAATTAGTCTCCAAGAGAAATTTGAAACGTTACGATACAGAAAATTTTGTTAAACAATTTCAAATTCAAATCCTAATTTTTTTTTTTGGGATGAAAGAGATTTTGACATGAAGAAAAGGAAAAAAGATTTTGACCCATTTCAGAAGTCACTGTAAAATTGGATCCAAGACATATTCAACGAGTAATCAAATAAATCTTTTTCTCTCTTGGAGAAGTTTTGCCCATGATCAAAAGAATGGATTTTTTGACTTTCTTTTTGACTTCAAACTTTGATTTTTTTTGTGAAAAAAAAAATTCAGAAATCAATTATTGTTTCTAAAAATGCAATGTCTTTTATTTTTCTGTAATTTATAGTAATATAGTATCAAAATTTTTATCAACTAATAAAGTTTTAAATCATAAACATTATTTATATATTGTATTTAAAGTTTTAAACTCTATCAATTTCTAATAATTAAAATTTTAATTTTTATTAGAAAAATTTTGTTGTGCTACTTATTTCAATTTCGTTTTTTTTTTAAATTATATTCTATATTCTACGCTTGAGAATTATTTTCTTAACAAATATCAAATATATATATATTATATTATTATATAATATATATATACAAGTGTTATAAATTGACAAAGAAAAAGAAAAAGTATTAGGACGGTAAAAACTTGTTAATATTAAGCTTAAGAGTAAATTTTTGTTTTGAAAAGAAAACGAAAAAAGAAAAATCCTAAATGGTGTATGACACGTGGGTTTGAGGTGTTTGACTGTGTTCCTTCGTTAGGCTGTTGCACTTACCTATCCCTTCTGTGCTGTTGCTATGAAATTTCTTTCTTTTTTTTTTTCTTGAGAAAAATATTATATACAATTGTTATAAATTGACAAAGAAAAAGAAAAATATTAGGAGGTAAAACTGTAATATTAATAAGAGTAAATTTTTTGTTTTGAAAAGAAAAAGAAAAAGAAAATCCTAAATGGTGTATGACACGTGGTTTGAGGTGTGACTGTGTTCCTGTTAGGCTGTTGCACTTACCTATCCCTCTGTGCTGTTGCTATGAAATTTCTTTCTTTTTTTTTTCTTGAGAAAAATATTTTTTGAAAATTTTCTTTCTTTTTCTTCTATATATAAGATTGCAAGGATAACAAGGAGGCAACCACCAACCCCATTTTTGTTAGCTTTCAAGAATACATTGATAGAGAGAGAAAGAAAGCTCCAATGGAAATATTGAAATCCATTCTGTTAGAAATGATTATAACCTTCAAGAATCACAACTAGAACCCGCATTGTTCGCTCTCTCACACATTTTTTTCTTGCCAAAAAATCCCATCTCAGAAAATTTTCTTTTTCCAATTTTTCTCTTTTGGGTTTTGCTTCTGTTTTGTTGTTTGTTTGCTTTTCTTTTCTTTTCTTTGGTTATACCCATTTTCAGTCTTTTACCTTTTCTTGGCTCTCTCTTCTTAAATCACTTTGCATCACCGTTTTTCTTCGTCCCTGATTTGGGTAAGTCTATAACACCCTTTATTTCACTTTTTAATTTGTTGGGTTTTGTCCTGTTCCTTTCTTTTTTCCTTTTGAATATTCTTGTTTTTATTTGTGAATAGCAGACAATGCAAGTAAAAATGGTGCCTTCTGTACATTTACTAGTTGTTTAATTATGCAATGAATGTGATAGAAATGGCTTTTCTATGGAATTTGTATAGATAAAAAAACTAAAGATGGATTTTTTACATGATTTTCCCTTTTATGAAATTTTATTCTCATTGTTTTCTGCAAATATGGGTCTCCTGAAATGTAGGTCATTTTTTTTTGTTCAGTTCATTTTATTCTTAACTTAGTTTAGAAAAATAGGCTTCAAGGATGGTCCTAGTGCATCCTTACATGAGGATTTATAATTATATTCACCAATTTAATATGTTGGCAATAGTCAAATGAATGAATTTGGTTTGAACCCACATTGATGTTTTGAGTTAAAAAGTTTTTCTTTTTTTTTTTCTTGTTTTGGTATGCAATTTCTGTTTAGCTTCCTCTTTAGAATTTTGTATCCCCACTTTCCATGAAGAATCTTGGCTTTATGCTGTATAGTAGTTTGTTCTTGTCATTATTTGCTACAAGCATATATTGACTAAAAATTCTATGTAACCAGTAGCTGCGGATAAGAGGATGAGAAAACAATCCTTAATTTATGAAGACAGAGACTTGAACTAATGCTTTTTCATCGATAGTTAAATTTCTTGAATTTGTACTTTGAATTAATGTCTGTTTCCTGCCTATTTTAAACAGTTATCAAGACCCTCATATCTACTATTTGAGAAATTGGTTGTTGGGAAAGATAAGGAAGATATTTGTTATTTATATTGTCTTGAAAAATGGGGATAGCGCTTTCATGCCCTTTGGCTGATTTTGAAGATTTGGATAGTCATTTTGATGCTCTTCTTGTGAAATCAATCAAATATGGACATGGGAACGTGAAGACTGCTTTTCGGTCTGCTAGTTTCAATGGTCGTGATTCAAAACCAGCTATTATAAGATTTAAAGGAAGAAATTTGAATGCCACATTTTCCTTTAGATCTCCTACTACAGAAATGCAAAAAGAATTATTATCTAGACCGATCCAGGCTCAAAGTGAAGATAAGAGTGGTCAAAGCTCGCTTGAGATAAAAAACCACATGCAATGTGATGAATCAGGGAACAGAAGATACCAGGCTGCATTGAGGTTGCAGAAAGTTTATAAAAGTTTTAGAACCAGGAGGCAATTGGCAGATTGTGCAGTCGTTGTTGAGCAGAGATGGTATTGATTTGACATCTCTTCTTATACTAGATAGAAATGAAACTCTCTTAAGGAACAGTTTTGTGTTGATTAGACCTTTTTTTTTTTATTTTTTATTTACATAAGATGATTGCACTTTGCAGGTGGAAGCTGCTGGATTTTGCCGAGCTCAAGCGAAGTTCTATATCTTTCTTTGACATCGAGAGACCGGAGACTGCTATTTCGCGTTGGTCAAGAGCAAGAAGAAGAGCTGCCAAGGTAAATGCTTTCAACAACATATTTGTTCAGTATCATTGTTGTTATTATTAGTTTTTGGTTTTGTTGTCAAATTTCAAATTAATTTATACGAGTACATTATTTTTATACTGTTACTTGATGTCTTGACATAGAACAACAAGTTGCCACAACATAGAGAAACCACAGAAAGTGGTCTTCACTTGTTAACATGTTCAAGTTCTACTATTGAACAACAACAGTCAAAAAGAGTAAACAAAAATAACATTGACAGGCTCATGTAATTCAATTAATTATGATTCTACTTCTATTCTGATCTGCTAGAAATTTCTCGTTTTGTGCAGGTAGGAAAAGGTTTGTCTAAGGATGCAAAGGCCCGGAAGCTTGCTTTACAGCATTGGCTTGAGGCAGTAAGTTCTAGTCTTGAAATAAAACATCTAGATGAGCCTTCTAGTGCTCTTTTATCTTATTTTGGTTTTCTTTTTGCTTCCTCTTAATAGATTGATCCCAGGCATCGATATGGGCATAATCTTCAATTTTATTATGTCAACTGGCTCCACTGTCAAAGTAAACAGCCTTTCTTCTATTGGTAAGATTTCTTGGAATTGAGGGCTTTAATGTGAAAGATGTCTTTTCTCTTCAATAAGGAATGTGTTATTTATAGTTAATGTTTTATAAACCTGCAGGCTTGATATTGGAGAAGGAAAAGAAACCAGCCTTGATAGGTGCCCCAGATCAAAGCTTCAACAACAATGCATAAAGTATCTTGGTCCTGTGAGTTTTATCCTCCATCACCATTCTTGCACATCCGTAGTCTTAAGCGGACTCACAATTTCTTCCCATTTACAGTATCATTTATTAAAAGAACAAAAAAAGGAAATAACTAGTTGAAATAGCAGTTTATTTATTTTGTTTAAGTTGGGAAAATCAATGAGATGTTAATATTTTATAAATTTTGTGTACCTCTAGATTTTTCTTTTTGAATTGCCTGGCTATTGAATATCTATTTATTATTACTATATGTTTGACTTCCAGACTGAAAGGCAGGCTTATGCGGTAGTAATCAAGGATGGGAAGTTTTTCTTCAAACAAAGTGGGGAACTTCTTGATACAAAAGGACAAAAAGATGTTAAGTGGATTTTTGTTCTTAGTACATCGAAAACCTTATATGTCGGTGTGAAGAAGAAAGGAACATTTCAACATTCAAGTTTCTTGGCCGGTGGAGCCACGCTATCTGCTGGAAGATTAGTTGTGGAAGATGGTGTCCTAAAGGTAGAAACAGAAACTATGCCTTGGGTTTTATGATAGAGCTTGATGAATTGCATTGTTTTTCTTTTGTTGGAAGTTTGTCCACATTTTAATTTGATTCCTCTCAACTTTATAGGCAGTCTGGCCTCACAGCGGACATTATCTTCCAACAGAAGAAAACTTTCAGGAGTTCATGTCCTTCCTTAGAGAACAAAAAGTAGACCTCAGCGATGTAAAGGTATAAATGCTCAAGTTTTATTTCAATAATTCTAGTGAAGTTCAAATTTTGCTATCGATTTAGGATGAGTTTCTATTATAGTATAATAGGCTTTGTGAACTCATGATAATAGCAGATCGTTGTCTTTCCATTAATGCGCTTCTTTGCATATGTTATTACTCAGAAAAGCCCAGCCGAAGAGGAGGAAGAAGAAGCCACTATCAAAAAGTGCAACAGCAGTAGTGTCCGAGATCTCCGACTTGATGCTGATTTATGTCAAGATACCAAAGTAACAAATGTCGAAAGCATGTCACAGGAAAACACAGATTTTAGGGGACAAGATTCTAGTGCTGCAGAAAATGATGGTCTGCAAACTTTAAAATTGTCTTGTGGATTCCGCTCGAGAATTGCTAAACTTGAGATACCAACAAGGGATAATGTGCGTGAAATTTTCAATGAGGTTGCACCTTCAACATTTGATGTTGGTTATCAATCAGCACAGGATTCATTTTCCCATGATGATGGTTATGAATCAGCAGAAGATTCATTTTTGACAGAAGAAGATTTCATGTTTCCTAAGATAAATCTATTTGATGAAGATCAAGAAGAAGAAGACGAAGAACCTATCCCAAAAGAAAAAATCTTGGAAAGGATAAATTCACATAAAGGAATGAGGTCATATCAGCTTGCTAAGCAATTAAGCTCTAGATGGACTACAGGTGCAGGGCCACGGATAGGGTGCATGAGAGACTATCCTACAGAACTTCAATTCCGGGTTTTAGAGAGTGCCAACTTATCACCAAGGAAAGGAACATGGAGTGCCAATTCAACCCCCCGGACTGGATCCTGTTCTAGTCCAAAGTATTCAACAACAACATCCTGTCTCATTCCAAGTGATTCAACAACTTTCGAACGGACTGCATCCCGTTTTAGTCCAAAGCGTTCAACACCGACATCCTCTCTCAGTCGAAATGATTCATCAACTTCTGAACAGAAGGAAACAATGTCAAAAAGTCCCCTTGGTGTAGGTCGGGAGGTAACAAATGCATAAAGTTAGGTTATATAAGATGCAAGAAAGATTATTGCTTAATTCTTTACACTGGGTAAGGTGAGTCATATAGGAAGCCTTTACATTTTTTCTGCACAATTACTTCATACACTTTTTCTTGCCTTTTCTTTATTCATTTGTACATCAATGTGAAAATGTAAGGGTTATTTCAGATTCATTTTTTCTGTTCCTATATTGTAGGAATCTCCTTTCAGGCATCTAATGCCAGAGTAGGTATATATGAGCCTCTTGATCAGAATCAAACTTACCACATTATGTTTGTTCCTTTGCCTTTGGTACAACTAATATAGCTCTTCTCAACTACTCTGCTATTGAAACTGTATTCTTCTACCAATAAATGAGTAATCTATTATTATTACTTGCCTTTTGGTTTCCGTTCGCTGTTTTTTTCAAAATGCTCGTCTTGAGGTGGATTCCATAATATGGGATTCACAGTGGTGGCAAAATGAGTTGGTGTGTCGATTAGGTTGGTGACACAAACACATGTAACCCCCTAGTGACACGAACACGAAACATGTAACCTCCTAATATTATAAGCAAGTTAAGTGGGACACATGTAATCCCTTAATATTTCAAGCAGGTTAAACGGATCGTATTGACCCTTATATGGTCCTTGTAACTCAACCCGGATTAACCGTGCAATCTGTTTAATATCATAAGCAGGTTAAGTGGATCGTATTTACTTATACACAACCTGCTTTAACCTATTTATGATATTTTTAAGTTTTAACCTATTTAACTTAAATCATATTTAAAAATAAATTCTCATACATAAAATGTTCTTCATGATTTATAACTAAAATAAAAGAAATTAATACAGAAAATAAAAATATAATTTTAGTTGGAATATTTATATTTGAAACTAAAATTATCTCTTTACCTTTAAATAAATGAGTCACTCATCTAGCCCATGATACGATACATTTATATTTGTGTCACAAATCAGTGACCTGTTTATGAAATGAACATGTTTAATCGTAATACTAACCTGTTTATTTCACGTGTTAGGTGAATGGTGTTCAGTGTCATGACCCATTTTACACCCCTAGGGACTCACAGCATGTCAGTAAAGGGAGTATGCATAATTTCTCTTAGTGGAGAGGAGAATTTTTGTATGACGATATGATGTTTCTTGTTTCTTTTAACTATCAAGAAGAGGATTTATACAACATTGTGTTTATAGCTTGTTGCATGCTATAACAAATATTTATTTCCAAAGGAAAATATACAGATTCAACTCTTCTCTCTCTGCTCAGGAAAAAATACTTAAACAATCCTCAGCTAAATAAAAGGAAAGATGACATATTCAGCATAAAAGAGGTTCCATATAAACTGATAGAAAGCTGAGATTGCTTCCTGCAGAATAGAATCCAGCATATAATTATCAGGTCAGGAAACAAAAAATTCATAAGACCACAGGCCACAGCTAAGAGTAAGAACTCCAGATACGCATTTACAATTGCAGACCACAAGTCACAACAAATTCATAATAGTAAAACTGACGTGCATTTCAGTTTAGTGCAAATTTTCAAAAATAATTTAATGCAACAGAAGTTGACATTACCTTTGTGTAATTTGCTCGTTCCAACAACCATGCCTGATAAAGCAAATTGAAAAGCTAATATAAATAAGATTTCAAGTAAGACATGCCGTAAAATCAACAAATAGGAGGCAAAGGTAAATGTGAATAAGATCTAGACAGGTCGAAGACACCATGAAATTATTGCACCACAGTACGCATGCAACTCATTCAAGTCTGTATAATCCATTCAAACGTTTTTTGTCCAAAATTCCTCACACAGAAAATGTTATCAGGAACAACCTAATATACTCATGGTTTGTTACGTTTGAACGTGAACAGTGAGATAAAGCCTATCCCAATTCCAATATTATAAATGAAAAATATGCCAGTTTTGCAACTAGCGAGGATTGCACGAAGTAAAGATTATCAAGCCACTCATTATTGGTTGAACTTTTTGTGTCTAATATTAGATAATTAACAACTAAGAAATTTAATTTGATGAATCTACTGCATTTGTGAATTCCTAGGCACCCAAAAATGGTACAAATTGCATATTCATAAATAAGCCTTAAATGATGGCCATGTCTGGGAATCAGGTATGCAAAGCATGTGTATTATATAGTAGACTGATAGGAAAAAGAGCATAAATAAATAGTGGCAGGAATCAGTTTCAGCCAAATTTCAAAGTCAATTTTTACCTAAGCAAGAATCATAAAATAAAGGATCAAATCTATAAGGCATGATTTTTGCCACTCAATATGCCTAAGATCTCATAAATACTGGCAGGAATCAATTTCAGCCAAATTTCCAAATTCATTTTTACCTCAACAAGAATCATAAAATAAGGAATCAAATCTGAGGCATGATTTCTGCTGTTCAATATACCTAAGTTCTTAATATCTTATAACTTGTGGTTGATGTAGGACAAAGTTCTGCAGCTTTGTCATCTTTTTTTCCTCTTGCTTGCAAAAGCAAATATCTTCTATTCTTATGTTTTTGTTGCAGTCATATAATATACTATCAAGAAGATCTTATGTACATTACAACTTAAAAGGCAACATTCTACTAAATATATTATATATCACTAGGAGATCAAATTGACAGTTTAAGTTCAGTACCCATCAACTTTAAAACAAGTTCCTAAAAAAATATAAGCATAAGCATGCCTGTTTACAAACATAATCAACACAAACTTGCATGTATCCTTTTTCTTAAAAAAAAAAAAAAAAAAAAAAATTATTGTTCAAACTTTTTTATTTAACTTCACAAATGAACCTAAACAAGCTTTCGTTGGGAAGTTTCGTTACCCATCAACTTTAAAACAAGTTCCTAAAAAAATTAAGCATAAGCATGCCTGTTTACAAACATAATCAACACAAAACTTGCATGTATCCCTCTTTTCTTAAAAAAAAAAAAAAAAAAAATAAAAAAAATTATTGTTCAAAACTTTTTCTTATGTTAACTTCACAACATGAAAAAAAAAAAAAAAAAAAAAAAAAATTATTGTTCAAACTTTTTTATTTAACTTCACAAATGAACCTAAACAAGCTTTCGTTGGGCTTGTGCATGAGCTGTTCAACAAGCGCACAGGGATTATCTCCCTTTCAATTTTTAGCATCCATATTTCATTATAGGATTTCTATTTCTTCTACCCTACTATAATTCTATTATTCTCATAGGCAGAAAACCAAACAATGTAAATTCTCTACTCCAATGTCTTTGGTTGTGGATTTACTGAACAAGTTTTAGAAACAGAAACCTTGGTACAGGGATGCGCTAATGAGTAGTAACAAATAATGCTCCTGGCTGAAAGTTAAAAATATCACCAACATCTACGATCAACTATGGAAGACCTTCTCATGCACCTGGTCACTAAATCAGCAGGATCAAAGGCATAAAAGTGATTTTGGCTCCTGGTGTTAGAGTCTACCACATAGACCTAGGAAGAAAGACTTCATGACAATATCCAATCTGATAACCATTTTAGGAGAAAAGAACTTGCAAAAAAATGCCCTCCAGATGTGAAACCAGTAACATTCCTGTGATAAGGCAGCTTGGAACACTCATTCGAGACCAATTGGAGAGCCCTTCTATATTAGCATAGGTTCATGATTCCTTTTTTCCATGTAAAAGAATGCACATAGGAGAAAACACAAGAGGAAATGAATATGATCTTGTAGAATAAATAAACAAATGAATGAATGAACAAGTGTGGATAAATTTATATTAAAGAAAAAAAAAGGTAATAAAACATGCCGGCTCTTTCTTGATATATGTATAGATGAAGAAACACCCACATTAAATATCGCATTATGATCAAGGTACTAATCAGTACAGTTATAACTTACAAAACCCACGAAACAAACCTGGAATATCAGGCATGCTGCCAGGATTGTATGTGCAGGTATCATTAGGCTACGCCTGAAAGCCTGCAAATGATGAAAAGAGAAGAAGGTAATATTGTGTGGGATAATATTATCAAATTAGATGGATCCTCAGTTAATTCACCATGTTACTTCCAGGTTAGCTCTATTCTATAAATTAGAAAAAAAAAAATCCCAAGCAAATTAAAAAGACAGCCTTCAGAGAGAAATTTTTTACCTGAGGCATGTAAATTGCCGCCCATACAGCACCAATATAATTCAACAGCAAAAGCCCAGTGCCAAGAAATGCAATGTTTCTAACTCCAAGATTTGTTGCTAGAGTTGATATTTTGTATCTGCAGTTGTTGTGTTGAATGAGAGATCACTCACATTCACATGATTGCATCAAAATACAATGGGTATCAGGCCTCAAAGAAAAACAGTGAGGTTTAGATTGGATATATGAATCAAGAAAATAACAGTTCAAGCAAAGAAGCGCAGATTACGACAAAGTTATTGAGGGAAATTTTGAATTAAGTAGCCACAAGTGCGAAGGTTGCTTGTTACAGTTATTCATGTTTTACAACTCAGAAAGCAAACAGTATGCACATAATCACATGGAGGCAAATTCATATTAGATATCAATCAGTTTGAATAAAATTGTAAAAGAAGTACCAATGTGCAACTTACTTGCGATCCCCCTCTACATCTGGAAGATCTTTTGTTATGGCTATAACAAGTGCAAACAATGTTACGAAGATTGTGATGAATGCCACGGGTGAGCTGCAGGCAGAAAATGAACCATAGACATGAGAAGATTTATCAATACTTTGAGATGTTGACATAGATGAAAGACCAAACTTGATATATAGGGCAAACAAAATTCTAAGATGTTAAGGCAGACTATTTATAGCTCTTGTTCATGGTAAATGTGGGGCCAGTTTCTACAATGCTATAACTTTGTTCTTCATTTGTTGCTTTTGGGCTTTAGCTCTTTGTGTGAGCCAGATATAGAGAGATAGAGACAGTTACATCGCTTTCCCCAGTATAACATTCAAAATATCATTTTTTTTTTTTTTTTTTTAGAGGACAGTTTACAACATCGCTTTCCCCCAGTATAACATTCAAAATATTCATTTTTTTTTTTTTTTTGTTAGTTGGTAGTCAAATGCCAGGGATTTAGGAAGAGATTACAGTTGAAATGGAATCAAACAATATGAGACTCTTTTTTTTTTTTTTTTTTGTTAGTGTAGTCAATGCCAGGGATTAGGAGAGATTACAGTTGAAATGGAATCAAACAATATGAGACTCAAACTAAGGACAAATTGTAGCTTAAATGACAGAAGATCCCACCAATTTAGGTCAGGAGATCCCTTGACAGATTAATGATCTAAATCTCTCACAAAAGAGCGCATGAAACTTCCAAACATGCATTAAACTATGTCACAAAGCAACTGATTATCCAGTTCTATTTACGGGAAACTTGAATTCTATAGTCAAATCCTGCTGTGGAAATATCTATCTCATCTTGCCAAGGAAATAGCTAGAACCCTTACTTATTTAACCAGTGCCATGACTCCTTGTTAGGTGGGTTGGAATCAAACAGGATAAACTGAGATTCAGACTAGAGCATTAAAGGGTTGATTTTTATTTCTTAGGCAACATTCAATAGTCAAACCAACAATTTTTTTAAACCCCATATTTCATATGTGTGTTGAATTAGAATGCTTCAACTCAACAAAGTACAAAGTAACGTGTACAAAGGCAATTCACCTCCACTCAAATGGAAGTCCAAGGGCAGCTCTTGTGGCATGATATACTCCAAAGTTGAGAAGAAAACCACGCACCTGTAAAATGATTCTCTCTGTTGAAGTTCTGCCTACCCATAATGCTTCCTCAGAGGCACTTATAAATTGTAATATGGACAATGATAACTCAATGGAGTCCCACTCCCAATTAGTTATCTTTTAAAAAAACTAACAACAATCATTATACCAATTCCTACAAAAGACAATTAAAGATGTATGCAAGAATTAAATAATGACCACACTGATCCAGAAATCGTTGAAACCCAAAAATCACAAAGCCTTTCTATCTTACAAACAATGTTGTTGTCAACTTTATGAACTTCTTAACTTCTTTTTTTCTTTTTAAAAAAAAAAAAAATTAAAGTTAATCAACAGCATTTTTAAATTAAAATTAACAAAAAAAAGGATTTTTTTTATATTATTCAGTATTTTGGTAACTCTATGTCTACCAATATATTCAAGCCTTAGGACAGCACAAGAAAATCTTACTATACTTGTCTTTCATGGACTCAGAAAATGAGCTATTTCTTTTCAATTAATTGCAAGAATTATTATTTCTCAGAACTCAACTACATTCATTTAAGAATATTCCATCTATTCCTTTGTTATCAATTCCACAATTTAAAATATAATAGAATTAGATAGCAATCTTGTTTTTCCAAATGTTAAGCCAAATTTGCAAATCAATGTTAATTCAATCTCATTTAGAATCAAATTCAAATACCAATGGTGAACCACATAAGTTTAATTCCTGAAAAACAAAAGAATAAGAAAATGGGAAGCTATACCGTAGCAATTATAAGAAATGCCACAACAGCAAATCTCTTCATTCTAAATGGAGGAACGGAATATATGGTACCCAGGAAAAGACCGAGGCAGTAAAGCGAAGTGATGAATGGACCAAAGTTTAGTCCAACAATCAGGATTCCAGCCACTGCAAAAAATATCACCAGCAACCATGCAGTTTGAACTGAAAGATCCCCTGCAGCTATAGGTAAATAAGGTTTGTTAACCCTGCAAAATAAAGAGAAAGAGGCCAGCTAAATTAAAGAATTTTGTATTTACATATCTGCAAAAGTTACTAACACTTGACATGAAGAATTTTTAAATCCACCTTCTCATATTTTTATATGCAGCCTGAATCTAAAAAATGGTTTAGAAATGAAAGGAAATAGACAAAAAACCTTAACAATAGCACGTGTTAATGGGATTGTCAAAATAGTTTGAAAAGTAAAAACAGGTTTCGTAAATCACGTCCACCTGGTTCTTGACAATCAAAGCTTGAAATTCAAGAGTGTTTTCCCAACATAAGTTATAATATACAAAGATAACTGGTTACAAGATGGTGCTGCATACTTGTCAATTCCAATATCATAGATCTGATTGATGCCAACTATGTAACCATTCCCACATATCAGAGCAAAAAGGCCAGAGAATGCCTTCAACAGCAGTGACCACCTTATCAGGTTTGAGTTTTCAATTAATGCTCTTGCCACCAAAGCACTGTCAGCAGAATAAATGATGAAAATCTTATCAAGTAAGCAGCAAAGGAATAGATGCCAGTTCATCAAGAGCATACAATACTACTTACGTGGATCCAAGAGCGGTTCCACGTATCGTATGAGGCCTTAGAAATCTCCAGCATGCATCTTTGAAATCTGAGATTTTCTTTAGTATTGGATCAGATCCAGCAGCTCCAACTTTACTGCATGCCTGGCAGAAAGTCAGTTTCACATTAATGGTGTCTCATAGGCAAGGCAAAGTATTTATCTAACAAAAATCAAGTTCCACACTGTGAAGAAAAAGTAAACACAAAAGAGTTGTAAATGCACTCCTCTATATAGCAAATTGGAATGCAAGTTAATGGCGTAAGCAAATGTTGACTTGAAATTGATCACTTACACCTTGACAGCGTATCTAATGGTATGCTTTGTTCTGATCAGATTAATTAAATAGGTCAAACTTAATTTGCATGTTTATTGACAGCTTGGACGGTTTACCCAGATCATTACAAAACCAAAAGACCATCGTATAAGGTTTTGCAATATGTCAGAAGTGCAATAAGCAGCAGAATTTATCAACTACATAGAAACCAATCCATTGCTAACCATAAATTCCATACACATCATTGCTTCAATCATCATCGCCACAGATACAACACAAGCAAGACACATATTATGAGAATCTAAATTATCCTTTTCTTTGAAATTGATAAATGACAAAATTGATATAATGGCCAATTAAAAACTGATGTATAAAATTTCAAAACTTATATTTTATTTTATGCATATAAACTTCAAAAGCCTCTATCCATTTATGAGTCCCATAACTCTTAAGTGTTTAAAGATTAATCTTTCTTCAAAAAAAAAAAAAAAAAAAAAAAAAATAGTTGTTTAAAGAATTAAATGATTTCTTTCAAAAAAAGAACAAAAAAAAGAAGAAGTGGGCCTGAACGCCATTCAGTGGCACAAAATTACGCGGTATACCGTGCATACTTTTACAACTCTCCCAATTATTGATATTGAACGCGTGTAAATGACACTTGAGTGTCACTAACTTTGAGCTTACTTTCTATTTGATTACCAAATTTTTTTTTTTTTTTTCATTTGAAACATTGAGATTTCAGCAAATTTCTCACGAATAGTAAACATAAAACTTGATATAATCAAACATGCAAGTCTCACGGGAAAGTTTTTTATTATTGTTTGCTTAAGCCCTTGCACATTTTGCTTTAATCAAATTATTTATGAGATACACCACTTAGCTGCTGTATCAATGACTTCTCAACAGCGGAATTTTCGCTGGGGGCCGCGTTAAGAGTGCGCTTGGAGTCACCGTGTAGCTCGACCCCAAGACCGCCGATCCCATTCGTCCAGGTAGTCTAACCATTGCTGCATCCATACAGATCACCCCCTCTGCGTGCCCACGCGACACCGCGGCCACTCGACCCTCATACAATCTTGCGGGCGGTCGCGCCTGCGCTTGCGAGTAGGAGCCGAGTGACGTAGACGCGTCGGGGCGGTATGAATGATGGCGGTGAGTTAAAAAAAAAAAAAAAAAAAAAAAAAAGTGGCCACGCCAATTTCATGGCACAAAATTACAGGGTATACGTCATACCTACAAATTTCCCTAATTATGATATTGAAGGGTAAATGACACTTGAGGTCACTAAACTTTGAGCTTATTTCTAATTTGATTACAATTTTTTTTTTTTTTTTCAATTTGAACACATTTGAGATTTTCAGCAAATTTCTCACCAGAATAGTAAACATAAACTGATATATCAAACATGCAAGCTCACGGGAAAGTTTTTATAATTGTGCTTAAGCCTTGCACATTTGCTTACTCAAATTATATGAGTGAGGTAGCTGTTCATATCAATATCTCCAGCGGAATTTTGCTGGAAAATTTCAAACGTGATAAAATTTCAAAAAGAAAAAAAAAATGAACTTAAGTGTTCATTTGTATCTAATTGATGCGTTGTGATCAAATGAGAAATAGCCTCAAAGTTTAATGACCTCCTGTGGCATTTATCCTAATATTGAATTCAATACATGTATCCATAACTGATAACTAAAAAAATGAATTGCAGTCTCTTAAGCCATCCTTGATGGCCAGCTTTCTTCAGTTAATTAAATTTAAAAGCAAACTATCCATTTGTGAATTGTTATTCCCTTCACAAGCTACATAACCCATTATAATAAATTGAATTCCATATCAAAACTAGAACAGAAATTAATACTAGACAATCAAAATACAAAAAAGAGTTGAAATTAAACCAGAATCAGAGCATACCCAGATGGAATTACGCCTAAAACTTCTCTTTGGTGCAAGTTTTGATTGGCTGTTGTTAGTGTAAAATCCAGTTGAAAGAAAAATTTGAGAGCATTTGTAAAAGGAATCTGATGGAGACTTGCTTGTAAGCTTAATGGGCACCTTTGTTTGATGGCGATGAGAAGAAGGGCTGCAATGAGAGGTTACAGCTGAAATTTTAAGAGAAGACGAAGGAGAGAATGCGAGCTCCATTGAAACAGAAGACAATTGAAAGGAATTGGTGGTCAATAACGGTAGTAATGGTAGCTCACTCTTGAACTACGTCACAGACACAGGTTTTGGATGTTCCATATAAGTGATGGCTAATTACCTTCGAAGTGCCTCAACCTTTTTGCTTTTCTCTATTTCAGAGTTTGAAACTTTTGTTTCTCATGTAAGTCTAATTTGGCTTCAAATTTTTGTAAAATTCATTTGGTACAAAAATTTTTGATACCTAACTATTCCGCACCATCTTCTCATGCAGCATTTAGTTTTAAATTAGTCAAAATACAGTTTCTATTATGAATAGTATTCGATCGCTGTGTTTATAATGGTGCTTAAAGTTCAAAAGAAAAGTTTATAATGATCTTTTTAAGAGTGTAAGTTATTCTTTTAAACAGTGTAAATGAGTCAAGTCCGCTCGCATATTGTTTGAACTCAGCTTAAGAAAAGTTTATATATATATAATATTTATTTTAAACTTATTTGAATATTGAGCTTCAAACGGCACTCAAGCTTAAAATTTTTTTGAGATGAACTCAAATCTTAAGTCGAGTTTAAATTTAAAATTTTCAGTCTTGTACAGTTTCGAGTTTGACTCAACTTATTTATAATCGTACTCCCTTTAATGTTTAATTTTATGGAATATGCCATGGTAATAGATCAAAAACTATTAAAATTATTTAAAAATACAATAAAGTTAATATAATTGAATTATTTTATTTTTATAAAAACTTCTTATTACCAAATATGACAATTTGATATATTTACAATTATTTTCCAAAAAAAAAATGAAAATAACGATTTTTTTTTTTTTATTTATGAAACATTAGAATTCCAGTGACTAAACTCTCCTAACGAAGAAGACTTAAATAACGATATAATAGTAATACGTCAAGCCAACTTGGGCAAAGTTGTAAATGCACAAGTAACTCTGTCCCTCTAAAAACCCTAAAACTCTTTACAACTCTCTTACCTCAAGCACATCGTTTGCGAGAAAACTAGCCGCTTGTGTTTGCTTCTCTTTCCTTTCCTCTTCCTTCAGGTGCGTTTCTATTCCTCGTTCTCGGCTTTCTTCTGTTCATGCAATGTGATTTCGATAATTCTTGATTGTTTCTCTTCATATATAATTTTCTTCATTAGTCGTTGATTATAGTGGATCTGATAATAGTTCAATATTTCTTGTAATACTAAATGTTGCTTTAATTAGTTGTTTTAGGGTTTTTGTTCGGTTCGCAGAAAGAGTTGGAAGAAAGGGAGTGGACAATTAATGGAATTTAGCTTTATTTAGCCTGTAAAACTGGTTAATGTGATGTTTGTTTATTGGTCTGCTTTCTTTTATAATTATTGAATGGAAATAAAGTATTTTGGAGGATTAGATTGGATTGTTAGTACAGGGTTATACATACATAGTTTTGCAACCTTATTTTTACTATTTGAGCTACTTATTTTTCCTATTTTAGCTAGAGAGGAATTGAAATTTTCTTAGCAGTTCATTTGGTTTCTTGCAGAATGGATTCACAGATTAAGCACGCCGTGGTTGTGAAAGTTATGGGTAGGACTGGATCTAGAGGTCAGGTGACTCAAGTTAGAGTGAAGTTTCTTGACGACCAGAATCGTTTTATCATGAGGAATGTTAAGGGACCTGTTAGAGAAGGAGACGTGCTTACCCTTCTCGAATCTGAAAGGGAAGCTAGGAGACTCCGTTAATGGTTGCATCTTTGCATTTGTTTTGGTGATAGTAGCAAGACTGTTTTGTTATGTTAGCTAGAGGAATTGGTCATGCTGTCATGAGCTTTTGTTATCTGGTTTTACATTTATGTCAAGACTTCAACTTTTGATTTATGTGTTATTATCTAAGGAATGCTTGAAATTTTGAAGTATGAAAAGACCTTAAAGATTGGTTTGAATTCTGGTTTTGTGTTTATTGGATTTGAGAATCTCAACTGTTGCTAATCTTTTCCATATTTTAACCCTTCATGTCCATGTAACCATAATGTCGTTATAGTTATTTACTGAAGCAAGAGATGCCAGACGGGATTTTATTCATTGCTTATAATTTTGTTTGTAATGCAAAATTGTGCTAATAGCCTAATGGTACCTTCCTTAGAGGAGGGTGGAGGACAGCATGTTGTACATCTTTGCATTTGGGAAATTTAAAGGCAATTAGACTGGAATTCTTGAATTGGAAAACTTTACACTGATTTTGCTTTTAGTAAAGTAAAATTTTATTTTCTTGGACATAATGAAATCTTTGTTTTCTAATGGGTGAAAGGGGAGAGTGAAAATGAGTTTATTAAGAGTAACTTCCATTTGTTTTTGCTATCGTTATTACTATTATTAAGGGGATAAGAGTCTTAATACTGGTTTGAATTTGAAGTTCGGTGTCTACTGATTGTATTTTACTGCTTTTCTTTTCTGAATATTTGAGGAGCAGAGCTCCTGCCAGTGGTGAGTTTCAAAATCTGGTAAAATCTGATAAAACTTCTTGAGCCTAATGAGTAGTTTCAATAGTCGAATCGTTCGGCGGACTCGTTTAAGTCAGTAATGAGATAATGAGTTTCACATCTCAAACCCGTAACTTCACATCAAAATTTTCTTGTTGGACATAATTTTTTCCGTTTAAAATAAAACTAGTTGATTTATAAGATTATTATTCTTATTTGTTATAGTGATCAAATCACGAGCAAATCTTACGTTCAACGAACTACATATGGTTACATTGCATTATACTCTTCTGCAAATTGTTTAAATCGACTCGCAACATTTTAAGTACCTTCAGTTTTACGACCTTCATATTCAAGAAATATGCCAATCATTAGTTGTTAGCGACAAACACAACCGTTGTGACATACATAGAGATAGTGATCCATGGTTGATCAGTTCATTTTGAAAGTACCAAATCACCTCAATAGAAGAGCATCATGTCTCTCCTATTGCTCCTCTGGATTAAATGAATCGCAGCAAAATGAATGCAAGTGTGCTTCTAGCTCTAAGTCTTCATTTCACAAATGGAACCCCAGAGGGTGTTACCCGAGCATATTCCACGTATTCAGACCCAAAAAAATGCCTCAAGAAATACTCTTCATATGGTATCCGCTCTGCAAAAAAGCGCCAGACAACAAAAGCAAATCCGATTGTCGATATGGGATTACACAACATTATTTGAGTGCCAACTGACCAAATGAAGAAACCACAGTATCCTGGATGACGAACAAATCTATAGATTCCATGTGTAATCAGCTTGTGATGCTCCTCGTGATGAACCTTGATAAGATGTGTGAAGGACCGCCCAGCTGTTATAATTGCTATTTTCCGAATAAGTTCCCCAATTATCACCATAGCAAGACCCAAGCTACTTACCCACCAATATTCCTTCATCCCAGGAAATAAAGAAATCTCAATAAAGTATTCTAGCAGTGAAAATATCATTGCCAGAAGATAATTTTTGCTGATGAGAAGCGAACTCAGAGTAACATTTGATTTTCCATGAAAGGCAATGGCTAGTATGTATTCAGACACATGAAAGAAGATAATGGCCAAAAACATCTGAGATAACTGTCTGCAAGCTGTGTAACTGAAGATCTCTGTCATTTTTGTCAAATTAGGTGAGTTAACTTCACTTTCTGATGTATTGAAACAGATCTGCGGTGCTAAGCTATCTTAGAGAATGACTAGGATGAAGAAACTTCAGACCTGAAAAAGATGTAGAGCTATATAGCATTAGCACTGAGACTTCAGTTTTGATATCACCCAAAAGGTACTTAAAAAATGACATCCTCAAAAATGGAATCTTCTGCAAAAGAGAGAAAAATGAAACCAGAGTTTAGGAATTGAGCATAAATACTCAGAGATAGATGTGTATCTGCTCAGATACTTGAAGATTTCAGATAACATCCAAAAAAGTTATATCATTGAATTCAACAGCATAAAACGCAAATCACATGCTTCTCATCTCCGACATAGTATAAGCAATAAATAAGAACAATGGAATAAAAGTCATGTAGCCATCTTGCAAAGGATCCATTTATCTCTCTACATAAAACAACTCCAAAGTACTGAAAAAAAAAAGGCAAACGTTAGTAATATAGCTTTTCCACATAATTATGTGTTTAACTTCCATTATCGGATGATTGCCGTACTCCCTCGAAAATAACTAGAAACAGAAGAATTTCAAGAGAATCATAAAATTGGAGACTTGACTTGCACATTTTCAATGGCAATAATGGGAACAGATCAGCAATGAAGCATTCGAGTACAAAATAAAACTGAAACAGTAGAAGGCAAGATTCAAGTTCAATAAAAGAAGGTACTGCTCTTGCAAATCTAATCCCATAAAGTTTTTCTTCTATTATCTATTTAGGTACACTTTCTTTATATCTAACTTTATAAATTTTTCCTATTTTGTTCCTTTGGCACCAATTGTAAGCTCAAGACCTAACTGTCATTTGTATACTTTTATGAACAATAGGAATGTAGAGAGGCAGAAAAAGAGAAGAAGAAATTTCTGAATAATTAAAGCATTAGTTTTTCTCTTTATCAAATTACTGAAATATAAATGGTTTATTTTCAGGTATTGACAGATTTTATTAGATTCAACTCCATGGCTTTATTCTCATAACTCGTCTAACGAACCACACTCAATTTCTCAAAATTAACAACATTCAAGCACTCATAGGCATCAAATGGACTTTGAATTCAGTATACAAATTACCAAGTGAAGCAACTACCGTTTAAGCATAAAATCAAACACTTTGTAAGCAAAACGAAAATCACGAACTTCTTCAAATCATGCACAAATAAATTAAATAACTTAACGAAAAATTTAGATCCACTACTAACCTCCTCGAAACTCCAAAAAGCAGGGATACCCAGAAATTTACAGCAGCTAAAAACCTTAACTTGGAAAAAATAGTAGCAGACTTGACAGAAATCTCCAAAACCATTTGAAAATTCAGTCAAATTTGGTAGGCATACCAGAAAGCGGATGGCTTCGTATAAAGAGAATGCTTGAAGATGGGGAAGAGAGATCAATCTTCAAGATGGAGATGGCGACACGGAGAGGAGAACACGGCACTCTTTTTGAAATTCGTTCAAGGTAAAAGATGGGTACCTGTTGATTCCAAGTTCAGTCTTTTCTTTTCTCAACGATTTAATTCCCTTATTATTAACTGGCAGCACGTTTAATGAAAAAAGAAAATGAATGAAAATTATGCCGATGAAACCGCTTTTACTGAAGTGAAATTCTTCTGTAATAAAAGACATGAACAAAGTGAGATGCTATCTCTGAGAGTGAAAGTGATAATTAGTGGATAAATATCTGTAAATTACGAAATGGTGGAATTTATAGAGATACAATTTATAATTAATTGATTAATTATATTTAATATAATTTAATTCAGTAAATAAATAATCATAAATTTAATATATTTTTAAATAATTTATGTTGAGTTAAATATAAGAAATAACTGTTGATATCATAAAAATCCGTGGATTAAAACATAACCATCCATCTCATTAAAATCCATAAATTAAATGATTTATTCATATCCCTAAAGAAAAGGCCGATTTATTCATTTCATTAAAAGTTATATAAAAACAATTAATATGTTATTAATTTTCTAATATTATAATTAATTAATTTTATTTAACAGACTTTCATTCAGTAAATAAATAATTATTGATTTAATTTATTCTTAAATAATTTATTTTATAATTAATATCAAAATAATTGTCCATATTATTGAAACCTATAAAGTCATATATTTAATTCAATAATTTAATAAATAAATAATCGTAAATTGGATTTATCTATTTATATATAAATATATAAATATATAAAAGTTGAGTCATATCAAAGTTGGATTTTAGCGGGGCAATATCAAAGTTGGAAATAATTTTTATATTTTAAAAATAAAAGGACCGGATTTATTGACTTTCATTAAAAAGTTATATAAAAAACATATCTAAGTCATGTTATTTAATTTTTATAAATTATTTAATTAATTAATTTTATTTAACAGACTTTCATTCAGTAAATAAATAATATTGATTTAATTCGTATTCTTAAATATTTATTTATATATTAATATCCAAATTAACTTGTATATTATTGACCTATAAGTCATATATTTATTCAATAATTTATAATAAATAATCGTAATGAGATTTATATATTTATTATATCAATATATAAATATATACAAATGAGTCATATCGAAAGTTAGGATTTTAGAGGAGGCAATATCTCAATAGTTGGAATAATTTTACTATTTTAAAATAATATTTTTTTCAATATAATTAATAGAGCATTTATTTAATATCATTAATAATATTTATATTTTAAAAATTTTTTTTCAATATAATTAATAGAGAATTTAATTAATATCATTAATAATATCATTGGTATTTTAAAAAATTTTGACTTTCTTTTTGTAAATAATTAACAATGTCATTAGTATTTATTCGCTTTCATTTTCATTTTTTTACTTTCATATTTTTACAGAATCTGTATAGACATCTATTTCAATATAAATGAAAATATAAAAAAAATCACATCATATTTTCAATAAAAATAAATGAATTCTTTGTAAATAATATAATATTATTTTCATTGCATTTTTATAAATGTGAATTTGATCAATGTAGTGATAGCAATGGAATTATAAAGTGTATTCAGTTTTGATGATCAACTAAGATATGATTTTGCGATTTGTAAATTATTTTGTAAATATTAGCGTATTTGATCCGTATGAAAGCATTTTATTTATTGTTATTACAATTAAATGTTTGTTTTTGTTCATGTACAATGCCACCTAAATCATAATCACCTTTTTACAGCACTATTTTTAATAAAATTAAAATTAAAATTTATTTTTTAATGTCATCATGTGTAAAATAGAGAAATATTTTATGATAAATTGATATGTATATTTTCGTTTGACAGTATTTTTCAATCTATTTCAAATATGGGTAAACTTTGATGAATTTTTTTTAAAAGTTTTTAATGTTTTGGATTTATGCCCATATTTTAGATTATTTACTAAAACTAAGTTTAATAATAACCAATATTTATAAAAATTATTTTAAAATCTATTAAAATATTTTTAGAAAATAAAAATTTTAAGCTTAATTATAAACTTGATTTATATACGTATATGTTAATATATTGATTTCCAAGAATCTAGGAAAGAAATTATTTTTTATTTTATTTCTTTGAAAAATTAGCAAGTATAATATATTTGATATTTGGATTCTTCAAAATGATTAGGTACCCACAAAATTTATTCTGCTCATATCCAAATCCGCTTAAAATTTTTGATATTTATACATATCTCAAATCTATTTAAAATTTATACATATCACAAAATTTGTACTCCTCACACTCAAACTTATTTAAAAATTTTATTTTTTTATCCATATCCAAACCAGTTTAAAATTTTAATACTTAACCTATTCTATATTCGTTTAGCTAATGTATAAACTCGCTTTAAATGTATTCATACGTGTAAAATACTCACAAAACCACTTTCTTATATATACAGTACCTCACCAATCTATTTATATTAAAAATTAAAAATTGATATTGTAAAATTAAAACTGAAATATTATAGTAATTTCCATTCATAAATTAAAAGTTCAATATAATATCATGAATATATAAAATAAAATTTATCATAAAATAATACCATAATATTCCAATTCTTCTCTTGAGTTAATGTTTGATATCCAATTAAACTTTCAAAATTCATGGACAACTGAAAACATTGAAACAAATGCAAAATATATATATATTATTTTTATGCTTATGAATACAGATATTTTTATTAATAATATGCACAAAAAAAAAAAAAAAAATAGATATTTTTTATTAATAAATATGCACTCAAAAAAAAAAAATTTGAAACTTTAGTAGGTTTGAGCAAAAAAAAAAAAAAAAACTTGAACTTTAGTAGGGTTTGAAGCTTTGGATTTGGATTTTAACTTATTTTATTTTGGGAAAACCTTACAAATGGAAAAAATAAGGTTTCACACTAAACAAAATGTCAGAAAAACAAGATAAATTTTAAATTTTTTAATTGCTTTTTAATATTTTGGGATATTGAAGGAAAAATAATCTTTTAATTGAATTTTAAACGGGCACCAAAGTCTTTAAGAAAAATTATAGAATAATATGGAGTTTGTGAAATTTAAATTTTGATAATTAATGAGAGGAAGATGCATGTATAAACATAATCTTTCTCGTTCATTTTATAAGTTTTCCATGTCTATACTTGATTTATTTATGATTTAATAAATTTTTTATTTCACGATAGAAAAATTATTTTTTCTTTAAAATATTACATTTATACTATCTTATTCTATGTAAAAAAATAAAATTATACGCCTCTTAATTAATAAAAAAGTCATAGATTTTTATATATCAACTAGTTTAATTAATATCCAAGTCTGCTTTAAACGGGTATTTATAATTGAATACCCGTGAAAATCTGTCTCCTATCCCCAAATATTGATATTGATTGATTGATCCGCATCCTGTTGGGCTCGTGCAAGTGGTCGACCCAAAGGAAAAGAGGACAAAGCCCAGGCCCATTAAATAGATGGGCTCAATATTACAGCATAGACCCTAACATACCGAAGAAATTCTCAACAAAACCCTTAACCCTAAGTTGCATCAGTATAAATTAGGGTTTCTTCGTAGAACAATTCCCCTAATACCAGTGCTGGTTGCAGAGCCGCTTCCATCTTTCATCTCAGTCACTCCTCCCTCTCTCCAGCTTGTCGATTTACAGGTTCTTAACTCTAAATTTTTCTACTCCATAGCATTTTTTTTTTTTTGAGTCTAAATCGCACTAAAATATCAATCTCTCTCTCTCTCTCTCTCTCTCTCTCTCTCTATGCTTTCTTGTTCACTGCTCTCTGTTATTTTTACAGGTAAGCAATGGCGACAGCTGTAGTAGCACCGCCGCCGGCAACCCCAGAACCTACACAGCCTTACACTGAAGTGAAGCTCTTTAATCGATGGACTTTTGAGGAAGTTCAGGTTTTGAATCGTTCCTTGTTATTGATTTGAGGTTCATATATCACCATTTTTTATTTTTATATGTTATTTGTTTGTCTAGATCTGTGCTTTTATGGTGTTGTTGTATCTTACTATATTTGTATTGTTTTCATTTCGTTTTCTGGGTTTTGCTTTGATTTTATTATTATCCATTTACTGTTTTATGTTCTCTGGTACTTAGTTTGGTGAATATAGTTTTTTCATTTTAAGAATGAATTTAATTTTGCTTTGGTTGAGTTGAATGTGGCTTAGAAAACGATCCTTGAGGTTTTTTTGTGGTTAGTATAAAATTAGTTTTAAAAGGATGAATAAAAAAGTATTTCGTAAGTAAAATCTCGTGGTTAAAGAATATACATTCCTGTAGAAGTAGTATTATTGCTTTTCCCTTTTGCTTTATTTTGTTCATAACCTAGCTCTTGATGCGTTTTATTGTGATTGGTATTTGATATGTTGTATAACCTAGTTCTATTTAAAATTTGATTCTAGTTGTACTTGCATATAATTCTTCTTGATATATATTTGATAATTATTGCTATTGACTATTCCCCAAATTTTGAGTTATTCCAATTTTTTATTCTAGTTTAGTTTTATATCTGAATTTACTCTTAGTATTAGTACTTTGGCATAAAATTGCTTGTTTTTTTTTCCGGTTTTTGCAATTAAGCTTTTCATACCTGTTAGTTTTTAGATTAATAATTAGGTATGGTTTAATAGGAAAGTCTTTAGTTCACTGGAGTAAATTTCTAGTTGTAGTTCCATGGTTAATCTATTCCCTCATTGGTCCTGTGCACTATGCTCAAATCTTATTTGAAAATTTATCTTAGGCCAATTGTTTTCAATGGTTTATGTTTAAAATTCTGTAAGAATTTTCAGAATGTTATAATTATGCATTGACAATTTTGTTATTGATTAGGTTAACGACATTTCCTTGTGCGACTACATTGGTGTGCAACCAGCCAAGCATGCCACCTATGTTCCACACACTGCTGGAAGGTACTCTGTCAAGCGTTTCAGGAAGGCCCAGTGCCCAATTGTTGAGAGGCTTACAAATTCATTGATGATGCACGGTAGAAACAATGGAAAGAAATTGATGGCAGTCAGGATTGTGAAACATGCTATGGAGATCATTCATCTTCTGACCGATCAAAACCCAATCCAAGTTATTGTTGATGCTGTGATTAACAGGTGTGATTTATGAATTCTTCTTTTCTACACATGCTGTGTCTTTCATTTGCCTATTCTTGTTTTTGAAGACAATTATGTTGACTAGCTTCATATATAAAAAAATTTTCTTGGTTCTTAAATTTTTTTCCATTACTACAGTGGTCCCAGGGAAGATGCCACCCGTATTGGTTCTGCTGGTGTTGTCAGGCGTCAGGCTGTTGATATTTCACCTTTGAGGCGTGTAAACCAAGCTATTTATCTGCTTACAACTGGTGCTCGGGAAGCTGCTTTCAGAAATATCAAGACCATTGCAGAATGTTTGGCTGATGAGCTTATCAATGCAGCAAAGGGCTCCTCCAACAGGTTTGGTTTTCAGTCTATGTTTTCATTCTTTTGCTTTCTGAATAGTTATGTGGGGCTTTGTTGTTTATTAATGGTTATGCTCCTTGTTCTTTCAGCTATGCCATCAAGAAGAAGGATGAGATTGAAAGAGTTGCTAAGGCCAATCGTTAAGAGATCAATACTGTATGGCAGAGGAAGAATTTTGTCTCTCTTAAGAATTTTTTTTTAGCGTTATGTTTTAAAGATTTGAACATACTGATGTTGCTCGGTTGGTTGTTATTTGTGTCAAAGATTTGCTCTCTTGTTTAGTTTGCAGTTTTATGATATTATTAAGAATACATTATTGACCTAAATTTCTCAAGTTCTTGGTGTGTTTTAAATTATTAGTGGCATATGGGTAATATAGCATTGACAGCTTTAATTCTTTAATGTGTCAGCCCTTCATAGATTCACTAGATTTAAAGAAATTGTTTCTGGTGAAACTTTGGCCTCCCTTTTCACCTTTGGAGGTTGTCATTGCAGTTGTCAAGAAAAAGCGTTGGCTAATTAGAATCTGTGCATGGCGAATTGTCTAAAGCTTAAAATATACAGCCAGGCTATTGGTGATTAATTCCCAGTGGCCCTGGTTCATATCATATTTGTTTGGTCTGGTTAAATTGGGTTTCGATCCGACTTGAAAACAGTCACGGTTATGATTAGTCCTGCTCGACCTGCGCAATTTATGGAGAATCAATCAATATAACTTGGTCGTCAATTCTATACTGGTTGGGTTCGTTTATAGACATGCCATCAAGTAAAGCTATGCTCTTCAATCCAAAATGACACTTTCCATAAAGCAAGCTTCAAATCCCAGTAAACCAGCTTGAATAGAAGAGAATTTGAAGGAGAGTTGAAAAGTTAGCGTTTTGATAACCTTTCAAGCGGAAAGGTAAAAGCGAGTTTAAGTAAACAAGAGTCCAGCGGGGTAAGAGGCAGGACACGCCTCTCTCTGGTCTTTGATAAATGAAGTGTGTTGGATGCATAACAAAATCATCAGCCATGGATGGTGCAGCACTAGCAAAATGGAAGATGTGAGAGGTATGTTTTAATTATTTTAAAAGGGTACATGAAACATGTTTCACCTGGAAAAGTCCCAGATCCAACTCGTTTTATATAAAATCATTCAAAATCGCAAATTGAATATTCCAATTTCTCGGTTTTTATCGTGTAGCGCGGGTGAATAACTATGTACATCTATGGAATTCTTTCAACTATGGAGCAACTTCTTTACGCAAGGATCTGTTTGAAAATGTTCTTGAATGCTTTTAAAACCACTGAGATAAACGAGTTTTAAATGCTTTTCCTTTTCCTTTCACACCCTTCTACATTTATAAATCATGAACTGAACAATCAGAAAAATTTATACATACTTATAACTTCTACTATCATCGCACAGAGCTAGAGTACCTCTCTAGTCGATTCGTTCCTAAAAGCTAGCAGATGTCTGGAAATGCACTCTAGATGGTGGGAAGAAAGAAAATAAAAAAATTGCTGGAACTTGGGATCAGATTTATCCCAATGGGAGCAAGCGTAACAATATGGTTTATAATGTAAGACAGCAGGTATAGTAAACAAAATTTATCACTATATAAACTTTTCAGATTAGCATTCAACATTTTTCCTCCCGACTATCGTCCCCATCTGGCTCCAGGAACTCAGGTGTGTTGCCATCTCAAATCATCATACACACATCTCTTATCTTACATATGATTCAACAATCTCTCCTGAATATCTATCAGGAATGATACCATTATCCACAAGTAATTTTATGAATTTTTCCACTTTCTCAAACTCTCCCTCTCCATTCAAGTACTCCAAACAGGAAGTCAAACTGTCGCTGCTTGGTTTCCACTTGGGTCCCGAAACCACTATTGCTTTCTTCATCATTTCCACAGCTTTTGGCGTTTGATCATTCTGAAGATACATTGTTGCCAAATAATACCATGTATATGCATCAGGTTTCCATCCTTTTGATAGTACCTTGTCAACAAGGGTTTCAGCACTCTCCACAAGACATTTTCTCGAATAAGCACCAATCAAGGCATTTGCAACTCGGATATCATGTACTAGATTCTGGGATTCCCACTCCTCGAAAACCTTTTCTGCTCTTTCAATGTCATCAAACTTCAATACAGAGCGTACCTTGCAAGATAACCCTTATTGTAAACCTTTTCTTTCTCATTGTAAAGTTCCCATATTCTTAAAACTTCATCTTTTTTTCCCTATTGCGGCATATTGTGAGATAAGTAATTCATATGCTGCACTTCTTCTTTTGCTAGTAGCAATAAGACTTTCAGATTCTTCATCATTTCTAAAACCTTGTCCAATAGCCCTGCTTTTTTTTACCCATTTGCTGCAGTAGAATAATTACTCCAGGCCAAACCAATCTTGGAACCAGATTCCATCTTCATAATAATCTTTTCCATTCCTTCTATGTCAGGAACAGCTGCATAGAGACACTTAGTTGTATGCCAATTGTGAATTTATCACAAGCAATGCCATATTCTTCCATTTCATGCACCAACATGTAAACTTTCTCAAAGTTTCCAGTCTGATAATAAAGATCAAGCATGGTATTATAAGTCAATAACATCTTAGCAACAAAACCCAAATCCTTCATCTTTTGCATCCCTGCCTCTGCTTTTCCAACACATTTTGCACCAGCATAACAATTGAGAATTGCAGCATAAACCTCGAGGCATTCAAATTTTTGTGGAATATTATTAAAATATTTCTCAGCTTCTTCTATCCCACGAACTTTTGACATCAAGTCCAGACGGAACGTAACGTCTCGTGGACTAAGTGCAAAGTATCTTTTGTCAGTCATCCACATTGAAATCTGGAGGAAAATAATGAGATGTACATATACTAATCAGTTAAGAACCAAAAACTATTGCAGTTAAGAAAAAATCAGACATGTTATCAACCTTGTCGCATAATAACACAATTTTTTAAAACAATAAGAAATACTCTCATTATGTTTCACTTTTTTTTTTCACTTGTACAATTCCATTAGGCAAAATACAGAACTCACCATCGTATGTTTTGCGAAAAACCTTGTGGCACCTAAAAGTTTAGGGATACATATTATGCTCTCTAAAGTAATGAATTTTGATAATATTTCACACTTATTCGGAAGAGAGACTAATAGCAACAGTTTTTAGGAGTTTGAGCATCTATGTGCCAAATATTGATTTGTTCTGTGTTTAATCATTTATGTTACAAGTTGAAGCATTTAATCAAATGATTTGCGAGTTGAATTATTCAGTATGTGCAAATTAGTTGAAGTGCTCGATAAAGTAAAAGTTGGGGGTGCCTTTATGGGTTTGGTCAATTCCATTACCGTCTGCTATAGATGAATTCTACGAAATTGCAATTCATTTCCAAATAGGAATATGGGATACATTTTTTCTTTTTACTTAATTAAAGAAAAATAACAATTTCACAGAAAACAGCACCCTATTAATCTATGAACACTCACAGATACAAAATTCAAACTATAAACAAGAAAAAAAAAATTATGATAACAAATAGAAATGGAAGGAGCAATAAAAATTAAATCAATCCACTAAATTTTATAGAATGATTGAATCTAGTACCTCAAGAGCCTAAGAGCAACGCTTGTGATAACGGAGTTCCTTGATGATGCCAATGAGTTGTTCTTTATTTACAGATCGTCCTTCTTCTATCCACTGATAAAGAATCGGAACATTCGAGACCTTCGAATTACCGAATGGGGAAATCCGACGGTAGAGGCGGCTGAAATCGTCTTCGACTGGTCTTGTAAATTTGTGGGCATAGAAGGGTTGTGTCGAGTAAAACAAAGAATCCAACACATTTCGAGAACTTGAACGAGCAATAGTGTAGAATACACTACTCGATCAAACAAATTTCATTTCTTTAAACAACAGCATCAAGAAAATTTCAAGTCGAGAAAAAACGAGTGGGAAAGTTTAGGATTCAAAGAGGGATAATAATTAATAAATATAATGGGCAGCAGATGTTTGGGCATAGACTTTTGTTTTGACAGGTTCAAAATCCAGACACAGTATCACACTAACCCGCTTTCCAAACACGCCACAAATGCAAATTTTGCATCCACTGGGAGGAGCAAAACGACCGGTTCGGTTTGAGACGAACACACCTAGGCGAAAAATGCAAGCCAAACTCTCCAGACTAGAAACCGAATTAATCTGAAGTTGGCACTTGAATCGAACCGAACCTGTTGGTTTTATGTCTAACCGATTAATTTCTATAAAACCAAAGCTGATTAATAGTACATAATTCCGGTTCAAACTGATGAAAATCGAATCCTCCTTAAATAGGCTGATAAATACTGAATCTGATTGTTTCTAGAATCAGCAACAGAACAACAATGAAAAAGACACGTTTAACAAAAACTTCAAACAACCATATTAGCTCTTAAGACAGATATTCATGTTGAACAAGCTTCAATAAGTTTACAAAAAATTCCAGACCCAGTATTACACTAAACCGTTTTCCAAACTTCTCCCCGAACCCCAAATTTTGTCTCTACTCGAATTCTACGGAGTGATACATTGCACGGATGAAATGAGTTAATGTAAAGGATAACTGAGTCTGAATCAAGCTTCAACTTACTAAATGCGAAATTCAATTATAAAAATTTAGCTCGGCTCATCTTGATGAGCCTGAAAATTTTAGGTCCGAACTCGGCTATAAATATTATATATATATATATATATAAGTTCAACAATGTTTGATGAATTTTTGAGCTGAACATAGATAAATTCGAGCTCAAACTCAATTTGAGCCAAATTTCTTTTTTTTAGCCAAATTCAAATAGCTTGCGAGCCATTTTAACGCATTTACACCCCCTAGTTAGAATATATTTTAAACAAACCAATCTACACACTAGTTAGAATACATGTTAAACAAACCAAAAGCTAATGAAACCGACTAATTTGGATTGTTTGATTTAGAATTTTTGTCCGGTTTGGTTTGAATCAATGCCATTATTGTTTTTGCTTTCTTTTTTTTTAATGCGATCAAAATTTTAAATTATGATATTTGTTTGCACTTTTTTTAATTTAAGTCAATAAATTAAAACGAGTAATCAAGGAAATATACTATAAAAAATAAGTTTGTCTTATATACAAAATCAAGAACAAAAACATATGCATGAAGTCTTAAGATTATAGTTTAGTTTGACTTTAATATGGGAACTGAGAGAAGTGTCTTGAAATGAAATATTTTTTGATTAGTCTATGAATCTTATCATTTGAAGTATGACAGAAAGTAATGAGTTTTTGAAGGGTATGATTAATAAAATAATCTTTTGAATTATTGATTTTTTTTATTAAAATATATAAGTGGAAAATTAATTTAAAACATAATAATGTGGATTATTGCATTGGGACAGAGAGTAATAAGAAATAAAATAAAATAATTGAAAAATTCACCAAGAACATGTTATATACAAGAATATAAGAATCTATCCGGCTAGCTTGCTTTATAATATTCTTAATTTTTTTTGAAAAAAATAAAAAATTCTTATCGAAGAAATATAGAAAAATCGTAGATGAGCTTATCATTGCAGCGAAGAGCTCCTCCTACAGCTTGATTTCGGTATTTCTTTCCATTCTTTTCACTTTCTAAATAGTCATTTTGCTTATTACTGGTTATAATAATTGTTTTTTCAGAATAAGGATGAGATTGAAAGAGTTGGTAAGGGCGGTGTGAATGAGCCAAGCCCGCTCGCAAACTGTTTGAGCTCAATTCGAAAAAAGTTCAAAAAAAATTAGCATAATGATATTACATTCAAAAACTCGTCAAGCCTTATCGAGCTATTATATATACGTACATATATAATACTCTCTCCGTCCCATTTTGTTTGAATAATTTGATAAAACACGCATATTAAGAATTTAATCAACAAAAATTGTTTTACCCTTTTTTACCCTTAACTCATTAAGATATTAATAAAAGTCCTTCATTTTGATAAAACACGCATATTAAGAATTTAATCAACAAAAATTGTTTTACCCTTTTTTACCCTTAACTCATTAAGATATTAATAAAAGTCCTTCATTTAATACACAAGAATAAAGATTATTATAGGAAAATAAATTATTTAAATATCTAAATTTAGAAATTTTGTAAATATTTTAGAACATCCAAAAAAGTAATAACAAGCAAACAAAATGGGACGGAGTGAGTATTATTTTAAGTTACTTGGGCCTCAAGCTTAAAATTTTTCGAGTTGAATTCAAGTCTCAAGTCGAGTTCAAATCAAACTCGAATCGAGCTTGTGTTGAGTTTCGAACCGATCTTCGAGCCGGACAGATTCAAGCTCAGTTCACTCCTGTTAATGACTAGCGTTGAGAGATCAAATACAATGCTTTTAATGCTTTAATGTTCTTCCTGCATACCTACCTACTTTTTTCTCACTAAAGAAACTTTTCAGAGTCGCATTCAATGTTTTTCCTCTAATATGAAGTCACTAACATCCCCATCTGGCTCCCAGAACTCATGTGCGCTGCCAGAGTTCTTAGCTTTGATATGATTCAACAATCTCTCCTTCATATCTAAAGAAATTATACCATTATCCATAAGTAATTTTATGAACTCTTCCACTTTCTCAAAATTTTCCTCCCCCTTCAAGTTCTCCAAACAGGAAGCCAGCCTCTCTTTGCTTGGCATCCTGTCAGGTTGCAAAACCACTTTTGCTTTCTTCATTGTTTCCACAGCTTGCGCAGTTTGATCCTTCAGAAGATACCCTGTTGCCAGATGACACCATGTTAATGCATTAGTTTTTCCTCCTTTTGATACTGCCCTGTCGATGAGATTTTCAGCCCTCTCCAAAAGACCTTTTCTGGAATAAGCACCAATCAAGCAGTTCGGAATTTGGATATCATAAAATAGATTCTGAGATTCCCACTCCTCAAAAATCTTTTCTGCACTTTCAATGTCATCAAACTTCAATAGAGAGGTTATGATTCTCGTATATCCCTTATTGTAAACCTTCTCTTTCTTCCTGTAAAGTTCCCAGATTCTTAAAACTTCATCTTTCTTCCCTAGTGTTGCATACTGTGTGATAAGGCCTTCATATGCTCTACTTCTTTTGCTAGTAATAAGTCTCTCCGATTTCTTCAGCATTTCTAAAGCCTTGTCCGCAAGCCCTGCTTTTGCATACCCAGTTGCCGCAGCAGAATAAGTTATCCAATCCAAAACAATCTTCCTATCAGATTCCATCTTCTTAATAACCTTTTCCATTCCTTCTATGTTAGAAACAGCTGCATAGGCACTTAGTTGTAAGCTGATTGTGATTTTATCATAAACAATGCCATTTTCTTCCATCTCATGCACCAAAGCGTCAAGTTTCTCAAAATTTCCAGTCCGGTAATAAAGATTAAGCATGTCATTGTAAGTGAACAACGTCCTATCAAAACCCAAATCCCTCATCTTTTGCATCAATGCCTCTGCTTTTTCAACATGTGTTGCATGAGCATAACAATGGAGGAGTCCACCATAAACCTCAACAACTTTGAGCTTTTGTGGAACATTATTAAAATACTTCTCAGCTTCTTCTATCCCATGAACTTTTGACATCAAGTCCAGACGGAGGGCAATGTCAGGCGAACAAAGTGCGAAGTATCTTTTGTCAGTCATCCACGTCAAAATCTGGAGCAAAATAATGAGATATACATACACTAATCAAAAGCTTGCATTAAGAACCAAAGATCATTGCAGTTAAGAAAACATCAGACATATTATATGTTAAAAATCAGAACCAAACAAAAATAAGAAAAATAAAAATGAAAAGACATGTTTTCACAAAATGAAAACATGTGTAAAATATGTTCTCGCCGACCAAAAATCAAAGGTTGAGATTAATTTTCATAAACCATTTTTGCCTATAAATATGGTCTTTGGACATTGCATTTTGTATCAGGTTGAAGAGGAAAAGAATAAAGAGTGAGGTGTCTGTAGTAGTGAGTGAAGAAGAGAAACATATGTGTTATGTGTAGCAAAATTTGTGAGTGAGAGAGGAATTACAATTATGAGTGAATTTGTAAAATTATAGTTTTGTTCTAATAAATAAAAAGCTGCAATCTGATTTTCCATTTATAAAAGTCATTTTAAATTGAGTGCAATTTATTTTTCTCCTTCACAAACTTAACATTATAAATTTAATAGACTGAAAATTATCCTCATTATGCTTCACATTTTTCTCTTATACAAATTCCATTATCCCTAGTTTCGTATAAATAAATTCTACAAATTTTTTTGCAATTCATTTCGAAAAAGGAAAACTCTTCATGATCCTTTCTTTAAAGAACAACAATTTCATAGAAATCAGCACACTGTTAATCTGAAAACACAAAAATTGAAACTATAAACAGGAAAAAAAATCTTCACACTTCAATATTCTTTCATCAAAATATCAATTAAGAGAAACCTAAAAAGAGAGAGATTTTCTTTCACATGATCCAAATTAAATCAAACCAGTAAATTGTGCAGTATGTTGTTATAAAAATCTGCAATTATTCGGCAGCAACATACACAATAATCTATACAACTATAGAATTTAGTACCTCAAGAGCATGAGAGTAACGTTTGTAATACCGGAGTTCCTTGATGGCGCCAATGAGTTGAAATCTATTTACAGATCGTCCTTCTTCGATCCATTGATCAAGTATTGGAACAATTGAGACCTTGTGATCACCGACAGGCGAAATCCGGCGGTAGAGCTGGCCCAGATTGTCTTCTCCTGGTCCTCTAAATTTCCAAGCAGTGGAGGGTTTTGTCGAGTAAAACGAGGAACCCAATACATCACGAGAACCCAAACGAATAATAGTGTAGAATACACTGGTCAATCTACCAAATTTCATTTCTGTAAACAATGGCATCAACAAAATTTCATGTTAAGAGAAAAAGGAGGGGAAAGAGAGTAGCCTGAAGGTGTTTACTGACTGTCATCGGTTTAAAGAGGGGATAACGGCCGCTAATATCCGGGTATTGGGCTTTTTCTTTGAACTGGTTCAAAATCCAGACACAGTACTACACTAACTCGTTTCCCAAACACGCCCCAAGAACCCTAATTTTGCCTCTTCTTTAATGGTTCGGTGCAGGCTGCACAAAATCTGACCCAATCTTATTCAGCCCGAGCGATCTGACAGATTTGAAAGAAAATTAATAGATTGAGTTAGATGGTTATACTTATGATTCACGAGCTAGATTGAGCTATAGGTTCGCTAGTCAAATTCGTATATCCAACCCAATCAGTAAATAATGATAACTATATATATATATATGAATTTTTTAATTAATTTAGTTTGGTTTATAATTTTAAAGATAAACCCTAATTTTATTTTGAAACGATGCTATTAGAATATGTTGTAATTTGTGAAACTTATTATATAATTTTGTACAAAATATATTTAATTTTGATGGTAATTTTTCTTAAACAATTGTATTTGGTTTGTAATTATTTGTATTATTTATCATTTAGTTAATCTCATAGGTTTACGTTCTAACTCAATCTAATCCAACTCATTTATATTCGCGGGTTTACCTATTTGATCGATTGAATTGCATTAAAAAAATTCAAAGACTCATATTTATAGATTGAGTAGTTTAAATCAATAAACTCGATCCAATCCAAATCATATGCAACCCTAATTCAATGGATATATTAGGAGGTGTATAGTAAACCATATCAAAGTATTTTTGTTTAGAAATATAATTCACTAATCATTAATAATAATATTAAGCATTATAAGTACTCATATGGGCTAGAAATATAATTCAAACCCTCACAAAAAAAAAAACTTAAAAGCTCCGAATATGAAAGCAAATAACAATAATTAAAAAATAATAATAAAAAAAAGCGGATAAAAGATTAAAAGCAAATAAAGAGTAGAAAGTAAAAATTAACGCTAATTAATAATCGCAGTCCCAAATAAAGATTAATAGATTAATGTTGAATGAGTGGAGAGAAAATGGGAAGAAAAACATAAGAATATATATATATATATATATAGGATTTAGTGTAAACCGATGATGAAACGGCAATCAAAGCAAAAGTCAACAAAATCAACTAATGTGGATTGGTTGTTTAGAATTTTTATGTGTCGGATTTTAAGTGTGAAATATACTACAATCGTTTAAGATTTTTATATATAGATAAAGAAAACAATTAATTCTTTTAAATTATAATAAAATCGAAGGTAATTTGATCAAATTATTTTTTATCTCAAAATCAATAGTTAATTGTGCAAGTATTTATTGTATCTAATATAAATAAGGATAATATTAAAAAATATTATTTATTATTCCTTAAAATAACGACTTATATTTTGGAATAAAATAATTATTGAAAACAATTTATATTTTATATCTAATAAGAAACCGGTGATTTAGATAAAAAAAAAAAAAAAATTAAAAAATATATTGTATTATTCCTTAAAAATAACGACTTAATATTTGGAATAAAATTAATTAATTGAAAACAATTTATATTTTATATCCTAATAAGAAACCGGTGATTTAGAATAAAAAAAAAAAAAAAAGAAAACGCTTTTTTAAAAAAAAAAAAAAAAGAAAAAGCTTTTTTGACAATCATTTATTGTGGCTCCAATAGTTAGCTTAGTAATATTATGCATTTTTTTACTCTACTGACAGTAATTTTAAGAATTTTTATATTTTTTTATGCAAAATATTAATTTGATGTGCAATTAGTATAATTTTTAAAACAATTATTTTTTTTTTTTACTCTTAGACTATTTAATACAAAATAAAAAATAGAATGAAATGGAATAGAGAATTTATATTACATTCATGTGTTTGATTGACAAGAATAATTAAGGGATAAAATAGGGAATTAGTAAAAAACTAAAATACTCATATCAATGAATTTATTATAAATTTATTTATTCAATTAATTACTTTATTAAAGAAGAATTTTCCTTGAAGATAATCATATGGTTAGCTTCAGTATTTTCAAATAACGACAATGAAAATTATTTTTCAATCTAGAATTTTTATTCCTAATAAATTAATATGTGAAATATTTCAGCAGAATCAGTAAAGCAAATTTATTATTTTGATTCGAAGATATATGTGATCTTTAATAAAAAAAATTCATAACTAGTTTTATAACGCTACTCAATCTACCAAATTTCATTTCTTTCTAGCAAATTTGCAGTGAGGAGAAAAAGCGAGGGGAAAGAGAGTAGCTTGAATGTGTCTACTGTTTAGGGTTCAAGGAGGGGATAACACCCATTTTCCCAAACACGCACCAAAACCCCAAATTTTGCCTCCGCTCGAATTCTGTCTTGTTGTATCTGGTTCGGGTTAAGTGGGTTCGCGGGTTTATGCTAAATCAAACCAAAATGTTTGGTCTGAAGAATCATGAAATCAAACCAAAAGGTAATAATTAGAGTTTAATTTGATTTTAGCTGGTCTTATAATGGTTTATTTTAAGGAAAAACGTTCAACGTACCCTTGTATTTGGTTCATCTGTACAAAATACCCGTTTTTAACTTTTGGGCCAAAAATCTCCATGATTTATTTTAACTGGCTCAATTTGCACAGTATCTCAGCTGGAGAAATGGCGTGGAGTACACGCGGTCAATATAAGAAAGAGAAAATTAAATATTTTTTAAACAAATATTAATGGTTGGTTGGAAAAATATGAAAATAGCACTTTTTAAAGCATAAATCTCCAAAATCTCTATTTGGAGAACGAAATCCTAATCCCGTAAAGTTTGTGTGCTTGGCTTGATCATCTATCTTGTAAAAAATTTTTCTTCTCTCTATTAATTGCAGCAGATAATTACATCTCTTAATTCATAGCATCTCTCTATCCTCTCTGTCTTCTCTAAATTGTTTCTTCTCTTTATCAATTGTAATAAATTGTTATGTTAGCAGGAGAATGCATTGAAGCCAAGAGAGAATGATAATAAAGAGGAGAGAATATGATAAAGGAAATCTAATTTTAGAAAAAATGGTCTATATCCGATTCATGTTTTTTCTCTCTCAATAGAAGACTGATAGAATCGAATTATTTTTTAAGTTTTTCTTTTTTCTTTTTGTTTTTCTTTAAGTTTTTCTTTTTTCTTTTTGTTTTTCTTTCAAGGATTTAATTGTTTTAATATTTCTTTTCTAGTTTTCACAGTGACCATGTATAAATTCTATTCCTAATTTTTTTTTTCTTGGTTCTTTGTTTTTTTATAAATTAATTTCTCTATAATTTTAGTATTCTAAAACCTTCTTTGCTCTTCTTCTCCTTTACAATTTCTTTTAAATTGGAAATATATTACAATTTTCTATTATACTTCTGTTATTGGAAAAAGAAGAGAAAAAAAATTATACAACTTTTTCTCATCTTTTTTTCTTGGTTTTGGCCTTGTTTATTGAATTCATTTCTTGAATAATTTGAGCTTTATTATTTTTTTTGGTTACCATATATATCTTTTGTTAATTATATAAAAGAAAAAAATGGAAAGTTTTTTGGAAAAAAATAAAAATTGATTTAATTCTTGAAAATTTGTCTATTTCCATTCAATAATGGCATGAATTTGTCTATTTCCATTCAATAATGGCATGATAATTATTTATTTGATATTCATCTAAATAATTATTATAACAATAAAGAAAAGAAATGTCTCATAGAATATATATATAAGAGAATGCCCATTTAATAACACGCAGATGTGTTTCTACTTTACCACGCTCCTTGGCCAATTGAGAGACTATGTTAATTGAGCCGGTTAAAATAAATTATGAAAATGTATGACCCAAAAGTCAAAAAGTGGGCTTTTTGTACATATGATTCACGTTCAGGGTTGAAATTGAACATTTTTCCTTATTTTAATGTTTCACTGTGCATGCTTAGCTAAACAAAGAATTTACAAAATCTCAGAATCGATTGGTTTCGAAAAATAATTTATTTTTAAAAAATATTTTTTTTTGAAAAATATTTTTTAACTTATCTTTTGGAAAACTTTTTCCTTAGAAAATATTTTTTAAATGACTTATTTTTTATTGTTTGGTTGTAATATTGAAAATTAGTTAAAAATATTAAAATCTTTTAACTTTTCAAATTGTAAAAAACATTTATAATAATAGAAATTTCGTATTTTAAAATTTTTATTATTCAATATGGGAAAAAAATACAAAAAAAAAAAAAAAAAAAAGAAAAAAAAAATTATAATAGAGTCGTCGGTGATTGGTGGTGGTGGAGAGATTAATAAATAGTATGTATATAGACTAAATGGAGAAATGAGGAAGATGGAATAAGATAGGGTTACAAAAAAAAAAAAAAAAAAATTATAAAAGTCGTCGGTGATTGGTGGTGGTGAACAATGATTGATGGTAATGGTTACCGATGATTAGTAAATTAAAAAATATGAATTTATACAGTTACAATAAATTTGTCAATATCTGAAAAATATTTTCCTCTCTTGAAAATTAAAAGTCATTTTATTTAAAAATGACTAATTTTCCTTTGACCATGAAAATTAAAAGTTATTTTCCTTAAAAATGACTTATTTTTCTTTTAACCGGAAAAATATTTTCCATTGAATTATTTTTTTAAACGCCCCAAACAATGAAAAATTATAAAAAATAATTTTTTGTAAATTATTTTATAGAAACAAATACAACCTTATTTATTAGTAATATCATTTAGGCTATTTGGAATTGAAGTGTATTGGCATGTGAAATGCTTAATATGGCTTAGCCAAGCAAGGGAATTGGTTAAAGCCTAAAAAAAGTGGAGTCAATCTACTGTTACAAAGGTCAAGGTCAGAAAAGTTCACAAGAGACTGTTCTTAAAGTGGTGATTAACGGCCACTTACACCAGCACATTTCATTTGTTATATGCTGCTGCAGTGCTGCTGACATCTAGTTCAGAATAGGGTCAAAGTTCTTTTCTGCACTTCTTTTTTTCTCTATCGCTAAATGAACTTTTCAGATTCCCATTCAACATTTTTCCTCTGATATGATGTATCGTCCTCTTGAACCAAAAATACATCATTCAATACGCTGAGTATATCTGCGTTGGACTTCTTACTTCTTAGCTTCCATATGATTCAATAATCTCTCCTGAATCTCTGTAGAAATAATACCATTATCCACCAGTAATTTTATGAATTCTTTCACTTTCTCAGAATCTCCTTCCCCTTTCAAGTACTCCAAACAGGAAGCCAAACTCTTGCTGCTCGGCTTCCAATTGGGTTGCGAAACCAC